ACCCTCTTGGTCTCCTCGCTCGCTACGTGGCTCCTGGTCGACACCGACCTGAGCACATGGCTGCTGCTAAGAGGGTACTGCGCTACTTGTGCAGCACATCAGGCATGGGGCTAGTGCTTGGAGGGACGAGTGAGGTTGTACTCACTGGGCACTCAGACGCTTCTTGGGTTGACGACCTGGCTACTCAGCGGTCGTCACAGGGTTACACCTTCAGCCTTGGCTCTGGTTCAGTTTCGTGGCGTTCTACACGCTCGTCTTCAGTTCTCGGCTCCAGTTGTGAGGCTGAGATCTACGCCACCGCCATGGCTGCACAGGAGTTACGCTGGCTCACCTACCTGCTGACTGACTTGGGAGAGCAGCCTCGTTCTCCTCCAGTGCTGTACGTTGACAACAAGGCCGCCATTGCCTTGTGTGAGGAGCACAGACTGGAGCATAGAACGAAGCACATTGCTCTGCGTTACTTCCTGGCTCGAGAGTTGCAGCAGCGAGGCCAGCTTTGTCTTCGTTACGTGGCCACTCGGGCCAACACTGCTGATATATTCACCAAGGCACTTCCGTCTGGTGATCATCAGCGCTTTTGTACTCTGTTAGGCCTTGTGCCTACGCTTCCACACTTGCTGTAGTCTTTGCTTGTACTGTGATCTATATACATATATACCTGTATGCTGGCTCTTGCTAGGTAGCCATCACTGTACTGTCATTGCTTCATATATATCTCTGCATGTGAACTGGCCTTGTGGCCATTTGCTTGTGCTCAGAATGTGTGGTGACGTTGTGATCCACCCTGAGCTTGTTTTGCTTCTCTTGACTGGTCTTGTGACCCGTTGCTCTCCCCCACTTTGCCTATGGGGGTGTGTCAAATGATATATATGTGTGATATATATTGGTAGGCTGTAGTGGGGTAGATGTTATAGGGGATAACACTTTAGGGTTGTGTTATTTTGTACCAAACTCTCGATAGTCAATCCAACCTTGCCTGATTCTCTCGACAGCTGGGGTACTGCATGGACTACAACATCGCCACAGGCCACCTGGAGCAGATCCTCGTCTATGAGTTCGTGCCCCACGGCAACCTATCCCACTACCTCCATGCTCCTCCTGGTGCAACCCAAGTGTCACTCTCCTTTGAGGAGCTCGTATGCATTGCACTGGGTGTGGCGGAAGGACTGGCATATCTCCACCACTCGCTCTATCCTCCCATCGTACACCGCGATGTGAAGCCCGCGAATATTCTAATTGGCGACGGCAAGACGGCGAAGCTGGGTGATTTTGGGCTGGTCATGACGGATAACCTGGAGGTTGCGATGCCAACCCTGAGTATGGTAACGGCAAGATTGCAAGGACCGCGAGTGATGTGTACAGCTTTGGAGTGGTGCTGCTGGAGATGGTGTCGGGGAAGCGGGCTGTGCTGAATGGGAGTGACACTGCCTTCAGCAACCAACACATATCCATCTGGGTACGTTACTATAATCCTTCCAGCCTGGCACCATTTTTAGAAAATGCGGAGCCTCTTGCAAGGTCCTCTCTTGGCTGAATCTACTTACTCCCCATTCTCGATTACGTGTGTAGGCAAACAAGCTTTTGATGGAGGGCAAGTTCCCAAAGTGGTGATGGAGGGGCTCAAAGCCCCACGTGATGCCTTCACCATGTTTATTGGTCTCGCCATGGATTGCTTGAAGCGGCCTGGAGCTCTAAGACCAGATATGCGGGAAGTGGTACAACGCCTCACCAACATTCTTGCCATTGTATCGAGTAGGAGCTAGTGCGGTGAAGCAAAGCCATGGACGGGTGGTGTTGGGAACGATTCAACTATTAATGTTGTTAGATAAAGCAGCTCAGCCTACCTTTACTATTCATATCGAGCGTTTATGCTATTTACTTGCGTGCTGCTGCTTAGAAATAGCTGAGCAATAAACTGTCTTTACCTTCAACATCACAACCTGTAGACATGATTTGTATAGCATGTGATGAGCAAATTAGATAGACGCACATGTAGTTATCGCATTTATGGAACTTATCAGGGATGTCAGAGAACCTGGGGGACGGCGAATCTTTCAATCAGCCATTGGAGCATCTCCGAAACAAGCGACACCGTGATGACCGTTGCTCAGCAGAGCACAGCCACGGGTCAAGAGTATTTTGTATTTGCACGGATGCTGTATTCAGCAAGTAGGTCGCAGCGCAGGTTCTGTCAGTCAGGCAGATTCTATTGTTTAGTGAACCCGTTACGCTAATTCTTATTTTTCCAGTCAACGCGATGGCGGACAGCGATACTGACTCTTCTGCAGATTCCGAGGAACTTGAAGAAGGAGAAGAAGAGCCCAGCTCGCTTACCTTCCGTTCTGATGGCGGTTGGCTGAAGCGCTTCTTTGACTCGGCATTTTTTTGCGAGTGGATCGCCGTCACGTACCTTTTCAAGTAGGCGTGGACAGAATGCTTCCTGTTAGAAGGACGAAAAAGAATTTGAATTTTGACAGCCGTGTCGTTGCTGTTTCAGGCACCAGAACGGTGGCGTGCGAGACTATTTGTGCGACAGAATGTACTCGTTACCGGTGGAAGGAGTTCAGGACTACTTATTTCAGATTTGCTACCTCGCTGTTCACAAACCAAGTCCGTCTCTTGAAAAGTATACCACTGATGTCTGTTCCCTGTCGCTGCACTCATTCCTGCGGGTAAGGAGTCCAGTAAAACAGCTGCATTTTGCTCATTTGTTGAAAAAGACTGAATTCTTTTTCTTTTTTCTTTTTTTTTTTTTTGGGTCGTTCAGGTGTACTGGTTTCTGTCAGCTGAGCTCACTGATCGACCCAACGACCTATCTGTTGCTACCATTCAAGCCAAATTCTACGAGGCTGCCGTGCAGGGTTCGGTTCCTAGCCTAAGGTGTCCCAGACCACCACGGGTTTCGTTTTTTGGTCGCCAAAACGTGTTTCAACTCATGTCATCAGCCTCAAGGCGTCTACTTCCCCTGCCTTCTACCTCCTCGAGCTCCAGCCATGCATTTGATGGCAAGCACACCATTTTAGCAGGTGCATCGAGCTATGTCTGGGGAAGAGAAACTTCGCTGCAAGGACCTGACCTCCCACCTCCCCAAAGCGCTGAATCCGTCCCGTCTCTTGAAGATGAGCCAAGCTCCGAAACGAATCTGAAGTCTGAACCGAGTGATGGCGTCGTTACACATGAGTCAACATTTTGGCGTTTTCTCCGTGAAAGAAGGCTCGGCTCGCCTGCCACTGATACCAACCTGACCCGTCCAGAGAACATCACTAGCTGGAGCTTTTTGGGGGGAAGAAGAGAAGCAGCGTCAACCATTGTGGGAGAACTTGGAGCAGTGACAGAGGCTGATGAAACTCAGACAGAGGATGGAGTGAGTGCAGGAGGTTGCAGCCCGTCGTTGAATCAAGGCAGACGCAATTCTGGAGGTGAAGCAAGAAACGCTGGTGTTATGAGGCGGCTCTTCTCAGTGGATGGCAATGGGGTGGAAACTCTTCGACTTTCTGATAAGAATGACACTTTCTTCCAGCGGTTGTTTGGGGAGTCGTCTGAAAAATCTGGGGCGAGCTCACTGGATGGAAGCCTGACGGCAGCTTCAGTAGCAGAACCACATGCCACAGGGGAGAGTTGTTCATCTGTTGGAGCAGGAGACTCTGCAGTAGCTGAGACAAGCGCGGCAGTTACTGAAGGAAAAGATAATGAGCTTTTGAGAGTTGGAACCGACGAGCTTTCTGATTCAAATGTCCGAAGGGGTTTTCTGCAGAGGTTGAAGGAAGCTGACTCAACTGAAAGGCCTGATCCATCTGACAAGCCAACAGAGCAGGCTGCGCAGGATGAAGGTGGAGCTGCAGTGGCAGCAGACAGTGAAAATGGCTTGCTCAAGTGGATCATGTGGAAAAGATCTGGTGGCATGAGCAAGGAGGCAGTGACTCTGATCGGAGGAGAGTCGCACAAAAAAGAGTCACAGTCAAAAGAAATCACCGGGAGCGAGCACGTGGGACTTTTAAGTCGCATTCTGCATGACAAGACTGAAGCCGCTGCTTCAATCAAGGAGAGGTCGCAATCTGGATCAACAGATGGAGCAGCCTGTGATGGTCATATTGAGCAGATTGAAGGGGAGCAACGGAAGGAAATGCAGCAGCATCAAGCGGATTCTGTGACCTCATCGGGCACCACAGTGCTCAAAGCGCTCGTTGCTACGGCTGCAGATGCTGCCTCTGGTGTCGTCGCCACTGCTGCTGGTGCGGCTGGTGTTGTTGCAACCGCTGCCACTGCCACTTCTGGTGTTGTTGTCACGGCTGCTGGCGCGGCGTCAGGTGTTGTTGCCTCGGCAGCTGGTGCTGCTTCTGGAGTGGCTGCCACAGTCGCTGGTGCGGCAACAGGGGCAAGGCTGCTGGTGGGGGAGGCAGCGAGCCAAGCAGTCAGCATGGTTCCCAAGAATCCACTGCGACGAAAGGCTCCCCCAGAGGTGGGAAATGGAGCAGGGTCGGACTTGGGGACCAGTCCAACTGATGTGAGCTTTGAGCACATGGCAAGCCCGGAGCATGAGCATTTCCATGACATACAGGTTCCCCGTAGCAGCATGGCAAGCTTCCTGGCTTCACCGGCTCAACTGTCAGATTCACTGAGGAGAGACACCTCTCCAGCAGTGGAGTCCATCCATGAGCAGGACAGCAAGCCTACGCCTAAGCCATCCCCTGGATTTATGCGGAGGCTTTTTAAAGACAGGCCAGAGGAGGAGCCCAAGGAGCCGTCGTTTTTCAGCCTGAATGCTGCTGCCACAGCATCTCCGAAAGGAAGTCATGTCCCGGTTGTTGATGCTCCGCTGCCCCAAAAGCAAAGTGCACTCCGCAGTCTCTTCAGCACACCAACCTTCTTTGCCTCTGGAGCGACTAAGGCCAAAGACACGACTGGAGAGGGTGGTGAGGAGGTTACGCCAAGTTTGGCAGACCAGTTTGCAAGCAGGATGGGCTCACTGAGAAGCTTCAGTGGGGGCTGGTCTTCGGAGCATGCACTGTCTAACAAACCAGCCGTTGAGAGTGTAGCTGCGAATGGTCAGACTGACACAAGCGAAGATAAGGAAGCTGATGCAGAACCGCCTGCAACTTCGGCAGAGACAGTCCTCCCTCTGGAGTCTTGCGAAAGTGCTGACTCAGATGTACCGTTGACTTCTGCTGGGGCTGATGACGCCAGTCTCTTGACTGCAGGAGTGGTCATGGAGAAGGCATGCCCATCTCCCTCTTGTAACAAGCAGCCTGCAGCGGCTTCAAGCCCCTGGTCGCTGCGAGCAGAGGGGCTCTTTTCCGCACTCAAAGGAGGAGTTAGAAGCAGCCCAAACCCCTCAGGGACACCCCTGGGACGTGGAGCAACAGAGGGCGTTTCCATAATTGATATCGGAGCTTCCGCTTCTCCTCAGACTGATGTAAGCTTTCGTCATTACCCATGCCATTGACTTGCTTGTCCTGAACTTGTCACTCACTCGTAAAAAAATTCGTCGTGCAGGATTCACTGGAAGGCTTGTATGGTGCGCCGAAGCTCCCGAAGCACCCGTCATTCAGCATTAGAAAAAGCACTATTCTGGCCACATTGGACTTTGTGAAGGCCCTTGGAGACATCTCCTTTGGCCTCGTGGATGTCTTTCCCAACGAGGACAGTCAAACAGCCCTCGCAGAGGTGAGCCCGGCTGCACCCGAATAAACCAACTATGTCCTTTATCAGTGTCAGTCAATGATGCCCTTACACTGACCATTCTCATTTTGCAGTCCCTGGCAGAGCTCAACGCACATCTTGCAGGCATGCCGGCAAACGAGGGTCAGTATTCATCGTGCATTTTGAAAGAAGGTGGCTTACAACAGGGTGCTAGCTAGAGCATGCTGGAGGTGTCTCAATCCAAGCAAGCTGTGCGTGGCAGGAGTGTTTTTCCCCATGGGCAAGGGGTGCTTCAGGGTGGTGAGGCTACTGGAGGACGAGGCTGTGCTAATGAGTTCGCGGGACAGAGTGCCTTTCATGCTGCTGCTTGAAGTCCTCAACTGCCTCCCCTTGAGGTCAGTCCCTTCCATTTCTCCTCACCACTGCCCCAAATGCTACTCATTTATCTCCTTGTCACCCAAATTTGCATGTCCCCTCTCCCAATTAGTCGTGTTTTTGCTCATCTGTTTGCTCATTTCTTCATTCACCCACAGTGCACGCAAGGCCGGCACGGCACCCGAGGGCATGGCGCCGGCAAAGTCCGGCATCCCCCTGGCGGCCAGCCAGCCCCTGCCCATGCGCCCGCCCCCCTGGGCGCTGCACATGTGGAGCCACGCGCGCCCCTCCTCTCAGCATGCGCAGGACGCCCCCCTGGGTCTCTCACGCACGCTGTCCGACGTGGCTCTGGACCGCGCCATGGCCAGCATGTACTCCCGCATGCGCCTCGTGCAGCTCAGCCTTGACGTCTGCAAACGACCACCTGCCACTGCTACTGCTGCTGCTGCCGGCCCTGCTGCTGGTGTGAGGACAGACATCCTGAGTCAAGTGCAGCAGGCAGTAGCAGCTGGAGCAGCGCTGGTGGGTGCTGGCAGTAGGTCCAACCCGAGTTCAAGCACCCCTCCTGTGGCATCTAACACAGATACGGAGAAAGGGGGTGATGCAGTGCAGGCTGAGTGGGAGGAGTATGTGAGTGTGAGGCTGGTGGCGGTGCCAGGGGTGACTCTTGACGAACTCACAGGCCTGGATGCTGTCAGCCTCTCTCGTGGTCGAGCCAGAGTGCCCAGCAGTCTTGCCATTGCACACGTCCGGGTACGTTCCTCCTGGCCCCCCTGCACCCCAACATTCTATAATACTAGCTAGCCTGTAAAACTTACGATTGTCTCTGGAACGATCAGCAACTTTCAGGCGCCCATGCCTCTTACTTTCATTGCCCATGGCAGGCGGTCACCCATCAAGGCGAAGGACCTCCTCCAGGCATGCCTGTCACCAGTCCTTCTTCGGGAGTCGGCCCCGCTCAGGTCTGTGCTGCTGAACTTCAGACTTTGCAAGCCAACAGCTACCACTTGTCTGCTCATAAAACCTCCCCGTAAACTCGCTTATTTATCTGGGGGGAGTGCAGGAACTGCTGGAGAGACAACGAGTGGATGAGAGCTGGGAGAGTCGCAAGGCAAGAATCAGGCAGTCTTCCAAGTTTGGCACATCGCCAGACTGGGACCTGCGGTCAGTCATTGTCAAGAGTGGCGATGATTGTCGGCAAGAGCATTTCGCCTTGCAGCTTGTCTCGCACCTATCTGGTGAGCAAGACGTGCGGAACCTTTGAGCATTACTTGCTGCTCATTCTCCTCCATGCAGCATGTGTAACGATATGATCATACCCTATCCTGCAGACATCTTTCAAGAATCAGGGCTGCCACTGTGGCTAAGACCATATGAGATCCTGGTAACTTCAGGCAGCACTGCTCTCATTGAGACCATCACGGATGCTGTGAGTGACATCATGCGCTTTCATTGTTGAACGCGTGTCACCATGAAGAATCATTCCCTCAGCTTCGAACCTTTCGTTTCACAGATCTCATTGCATGCCCTCAAGAGCCGGAACCCCCACATCAAAAGCTTGCGGCAGTACTTCTGCGAGAAATTCAAGCATGGGTCTCCTGAGTTTCGCGTTGCTCAACAGAACTTCGTGGAGAGCATGGCGGCCTACTCTGTTGTCTGCTACCTCCTTCAGGTAAGTCTCCTTCTGTCCACTTTCACCTTCTCCTGAGCTCAATGACCAACCCATCATCTGAGTATTTTTTTGGTGCAGCTGAAGGATCGGCACAATGGCAACATTCTTCTGGACGACCAGGGCCACATTATCCACATTGACTATGGCTACATGCTCTCCAACTCGCCTGGCTCTGTCAACTTCGAAACTGCACCCTTCAAACTCACCCGTGAAATGGTTGAGGTGGGTGATTGTTAATAGATTCTGCCGATATTCTCCCAGCCGCGTTTCTCAAGGAACCGTGTGAAGAGTTAATGGCCTGTCATCTGCTTGATGATCCCGTGACCTGTTGCCGTCTGCTTCGTGAAATGTTCAGGTTATGGATTCTGATGCTGATGGTTCTCCAAGTGAGGCATTCGATTATTTCAAAGTGAGCTGTCCTTGTATTTCACTTGCATGCTCTGTCCTGCTCTGCACGTATGTTCCCTCCATGCAAATATCCTCCCCACTATTTACCTCCCTAATCAGCTCTATGTCTGCCATTGCAGGTTCTGTGCATACAAGGTTTCCTTACATGCCGCAAGCATGCAGAGCGCATCTTGTTGCTGGTTGAGATGATGCAGGTATGTAATCACTTCCAGTTGAAGCATGGTACAGTCGGTTTCCTACAATCTCCACTGACTTGTAACTGTGCCGTTTTCAGCAAACACGGTGTCCCTGCTTCAAGGCAAAGCACCGAGTGCTACATAACTTGAGGAGGCGTTTCCACCTTACACTAACAGAGGAGGTAAGACTGTTGATTGTTTCCACTCCAATGCAAGCTCAGCAACTAACTCTCTTTATTAATATCCTGCAGCAATGTGTCTCGCTCATTCTGTCGTTCATCAGCAAGAGTGTTGATGCTTGGAGTACCAGGCAGTACGACTACTACCAGCGTGTTCTGAATGGCATTTTGTAAAGCCTACATGTTAACTGTGCTCAATCAAGTTGAAGTCTCATGCTTCTGGGCTGTCTTCTCAAGAACACCATTAGTTATCAACAATAGTAAATCCATGCGCAAAATTTTGTGTTGGAGTGGAGAAACCAGGCAAAACGGCTTCGCCTGGACGCAAAATGGCTTCGCCCGGACTTGAACCGGAGACCTTCAGTGTGTTAGACTGACGTGATGACCAACTACACCACGAAACCACGTTGCACATGGTACGCAAATTTTATAAAACCTGAAATTTGCCTTCGTGTTTCTTCGATCGTGGCCCCCTGATCAAGTGTTTGCAATGGCGGTGGAAGCAGTGAGCCCCGTCACCCAGGAATCTGTGCACGCTGCTGTTGCCGCGAAGGACTTCTCTAGGATAGCCGAAATCTGTGGTCAGCTTGAGCTCGAGGTGTGTGATTGTCTAAATCTTCTCTTCCTTGGACAGGTCATGTATCGTAGGTTTCAGCCTAGTCCCTGTTGACGCCATCTGACAACCATGATCAGTCCATGACAATTTCGGCCTAACGGAGCGTCGCTCATTGTATCATGATTCGTACCTGTAATGATTTGGACTTCAGTCTCCACTCCTTTCACCAGCCCAGCGCGTGAAGTGTTCGTTTATACTTCACTCCTTCATGGTGCAGGCTGCAGCATCGGGAGCACCGCCTCTACCCGCAACGATCCAGTCGCTGCATCTGCTTGGCTTGCTTCACGATGGAGATTTGTAAGCGATCCTCTTGGGTTGAATCTGGAAGCTGCTGTGTGGTCGCTGGTTTTTTGAAGCGTTTCGAATTGTGCAGGTTTCTTAGGACTGGCGGTTATTCAGTCCTCATTCCGTCTAGTCCAACCCAAGCTTCGTCTTCCATTCGTGGTTCTTATCTCCACCCTCTTCCTGTTCGGGTTTTTGGTTAGAAATGAAGCGCGGTTTTTATGGAAGCGGATACCTGCGTCAGTGAAAGATGGCAATGCTGAGTTGGCAGCCACGTGGAAAGTGGGACAGGCCATGTGGAAGCGAGACAGCCAAGACGTTTACGAGGCCTTGAAAGCCTTTGACTGGTCGCCTGCTGTGCAACCCATGGTCGCTGCAGTCACAGGTACGTGCCACCACCTTGGTGTTTCGGTCTGGATGTGTACCGGACGTGATTCTTTTTGCGTCTGGCTGAAATTTACATTTTCAAATAGCAGATAGTGTCCTTTTTGTTAATTCCCCCACGTATGTGCTCTCCAATCTTGCCTTTTTGTCTTTCCCCTATACCGGTTCCCTTTCCCTGCATTGCAGACAAATACTCACACACCATGATACAACTGTTGGCTCGTTCTTTTTCCACCATCTCACCCTCACATGCTGCCACGTTCCTCGGTCTCTCCTCTCAAGAAGCCCTCTCATTCCGTGAGCACTCTCCCCTTCAACCCCACTTGCCTTGATTCATAGACACCCCCACTCTTTGGTCCTGTCTCGTGTTCTTTTATGCTGTTTCCTCTCTGTGGCTTGCAAGGCACATATTGTTTTCTTCCAGGCACATCATTGCCCTGCCCGCAACGCAACACCATAATGTTCTTTATAGAAGCACGTACTACCGTATATGGCCTGCATACCTATTCAATTCAACCCCCCCCATGTTCATGCAATTGTTGGTCACGGGTGTGGTTGAGTGTGAGCAGTGGAGGCCAAGAACTGGAAGTATGATGCTACAACAGACATGTTAACTCCACCAGTGGTCCAAGCAGGGAAGGACAGGGGAATTGAGGAGGAGCAGAGGCAACTAGCCCAGGTGAAACGTTTGACAGAGTATGTCTTCAATCTGGAGCATTGACACAGCCATCCACAGTGGAAGAGATGCAGTTAAGGTTGTGCCATAAATTGGAATATCAAGCAAGCAGTCTCATACTCTGCCTTAATTGGTTTTGTTTTGCACTGTAAATGTGTGACAAATTCTTAGTCGGTTCATGCCAATGGCAATACACTGATTAACAAGCTGATTTACGAATGTCATTGTTTCGCAGCTATGCAATATGACATGCAGCCAGAGGCAGTATGAAAAGCAAACAAAACGCATCCTGACAGGCAGGCCAAAACAGGTGAGCAGGCTGGCCGCGTAGCTGCATATATAGCCCCTGGCTGTGGATCACAGGCACCACATCAACCTTGTGATCTACACGAATGTCAAAACTTTCTCCTACAGAAGCAAGCCAACCTCGCCCAACACCAATTCAGTCACACATAAGCCTGAGTGAGGACGGTGTTACCACTCTCTGTTACTGGCGATTCATGGAGTCAAAGAAATCATTAAGCTCCGTTCATCGACCCAAACGCATCCGACCTGCCACTCTTCTCGGCTGCCTCTGCTATCTCACCATTCACCACCCTACCATTCGGCTTGCCGTTGACTTTCCCCCTCACTGCTGCTGCATCGTTCACATTCCTCGACCCACTATTATCAGCAGCAGTGCCAGCATCAGCATCACTACTCGCCTGTTGTGCTCTCAGCTCCCTCCTCCTCCGCCTCTCCTCCAGCCGCCACAGCCGCTCTGCTGTGTTCTCTATGTCCCACTCCGTCAACCGAGCCTCGCTCTGCTCCTGCCGAACCTCATCCCAATCACCCGCATCGTATCCAGTGCGCTGCTCAGCCTTACCCTGCTGCTTCAGAGGCGACCAGTCACTCAAAGGAAAAGCTCGGATGCGAATCTGCGGTTCGGCATCCGAACCTGTTCCGTCCCTAGCAGCTGCAGACATGTCATGAACAGCATTCTTCCCTTCCTCGTCCTCTCCTGCCCTATCAGCATAAACCTCGTCACTAGTCCTGTTCCTTAACACGCCCCTCACACTCTCAAACATCCACCCCGCTGCTCCAGCCACCGCCCCTCCTGCTGCCCCTACCGCTCCTCCCACTGCCCCTGCCGCACCAACTGCCACCACCTTAGCACCGTTCAGCACCCCACCCACAGCTGCCACCGCCCCTGAACCCACCACTCCTGCAACACTAACCAGCGACGGTTTCCTCTCCTCCACTGTTCCCTCTCCACCTGCAGTGCTCCCCTCGCCCCCCTCCTCCGCCCTTACTTCCGCCTCGTTACTCGCCACCACTTCAGTGATACTAGCCTCCACCATCTTATCCAACCCCTTCTGCTCTCGCTCCTGCTGCAATGCCCGCATTGCCTCTTCATCCACCTCCCCTTCTGCTCCCCCCTCCGGCGCCGTTCCCTTATCGCTGTCCGAGTCACTCTCTCCAAACACTTTAATGTAAGCGATAGGGGCGGTGGGAGCCGGAATGGCGGATACCGCGTTACCACCAGTGTTACTAAACGTGGAGGATTCGTCGCGGTCCACGTATGACTTGTAGGTGAGGAGGATGCGGATCTCGCCCTGAGCTGCTGGCTTGACGCCGAAGGGACCGTCTTGTAACAGTGGTAACCACATGGAGAGCGGCACACAGTCCTGAAGTTGCCAAATCGGCACCTGGCGTTGTGTGGGGCAAGGGGTGTTGTGTGGGGTGGTGCATTAGCAAAGGCATCAGCATGTAACACCAACAGGGCGTCATGTGGGATAATTTTCAAAAGAGCAATTTTCAACATGTGACCCAGGCAGAAGACCAGCATACGGATCCAGCACCCATGCAAGCCAGCACGTCTCATCTGATTCTCATCTAATCCCAGCCCGAGTACCACACATGGAGATCCCAGCCCAGCAACTACTCGCCGCGGAGAAAACTTACCTCAACAAAGCCGATGTTGCGGTTGAGCGCCATGGAGTCTCTGAGCATGACGGTGAGCTTCTGCCCCACGGGGTCCTCCACCCAGAAGTGGAAGTCCTGATTCCACACCGGGTCCCGCGCGCCTGAGGGGTGTGACGTCTCGCTGTTGCGCTTGCTCTCCACCATCACGTCCCCCACCATCAGCCGACAGTAGGGATTGCTCCATACTGTACGCATAGGCACACACCGACACACACATGCACCGACACACACATGTACACGCCCAGACACGGGACACAGGTCAGATAGGGTTGCTGCAACGGGAATGCAGAGCACGACAGCCAAGGCCCATGTGCTGCCGCAGCGCCCACTTGGAAAGGCACCCATCTGGTAGCCCATAGGACGGCACCCACCTGATAAGCCGTAGGACGGCAGGTTGCGCGCCTCGCAGAGGGTGACCGAAAGCTCCCCCACGAACGAATCGCTGGGTTCCATGCGCGTGGGCACGAGCCCCGACGCTGCTGATGACGGCCGCTGACCCGCCAGCCCCGTGAACGTCTCCGATTTAAGCAGGTCCAGTACCATTGCGGACGCCGCCGCCGCCATGTGCTGCTGGGGGTCTTCCCCGGCTGGGAGGAAGTCGAAGGTGATGTGACGTGGCAGCACGAGCAGACGTGGCAGGTCGACTGTGAGTAGCTTGGAGAGGAAGCTGGCGGGGATGGGGGTCGGAGGGTCGTGGGATTGACGGGGGGCGGTGTGAGTATGGTGTGAGCGTGGCGTGCGTGTGGTGGGAGTGTGGTGGGAGTGTGGTGGGAGTGTGGTGGGAGTGTGGTGGGAATGTAGGACATGGGACAAGCACAGGGTGTGGCTCAAGCAGCAATTGTCAATGCAGAGAACGCATGGTTGAAGAGGGCCGGAGGGATGGGCATGGGGGAAATGGGGGTGGTGATGGGGGAAATGGGGGTGGCGGTGGGGGGTGGATGGTGGTGGGGGAAGAGGGGCACAGGGCGGAGAGAGGGGCTAACCTGGAGAGAAACGGAATAGCTGCTCACGGCGTTGAACGACGGCAATCCCGAGACCGAAAGACGGGGAGAGAGACGCAGCCGGGCGGAGAGAGCAGGGAAACGGGAGAAGAGGGAGAGGAGGGGAGAAGAGGGGACAGATCGGAAGAAAAGGTTGGTGAGATGAGGAAGCAGAGCGCGCGTGGCCAAGCAAACAGAGAGAGCGCAACAGGTAAGAAGGGGTGCGAAAAAAAGACGCAAGCAGAGAAAGCATGGACGCTGACAGACACGAGAGGCCACCAGAGACAGGCGGTCGGCGCGCAGCGCACTCACCAAAGAGGTTGACGATGCGGAAGGGCGCGAGGACGAGTTTAATGGCGGGCAGGCGACTTTTGAGGCGCCTCAAAAGCCGCTCGACGCGCAGTGCACTCACCAAAGAGGTTGACGATGCGGAAGGGCGCGAGGACGAGCTTGATGGTGGGCAGGCGCACGAAGGCGATGGAGAGCGTGCCGACGTACGGCTTGCGCGGCGTCAGGCGCAGCTTCACCCACAGCTCCGCGTCCACGTCGAGATCGTGCACGCCCACCGGCACCGCGAAGTCCACTCCCGCCACGCGGAGATGTAACAGCAGCAGGCAGCGCGCGTCGCCCGTGTAGCGCAACGCCACGTGGTACCTGTGGGGGTTGGCGTGGGGTGGGCGGGGTGACGGCGGGTGGACGAGGTGGTCGAAGGGGAGGGGGGAGGGGGAAAGGGGGGAAAAAGGAAGGGGCAGGGGGGCCGAGACAAGGGTTGAGGGGGAAGGGCATGCGGGATTGGCGGCAATTAAAGGCATGGGCATGAGGACGGGCAAGGGCACGGGCACGGGCACAGGGCGAAACTCACTGGAGGTCGTTGGCGCGTCGGCTGGCGCGGCGCTGCACGTTGCGCACGGCGAGCGGCTCGTAATCCAAGCTGAACTCGGCGATCTCGACGCGCGTGACGACGGCGGGCAGCGGGAGCGTATCAATCGCCGGCTGTAGCAGCCCGACGAGCCACGCCTCGATGGAACGGCGATACACCTTCCACATCTTATGCAGCACCATGTTTACCCACTCCACTGACTCCTTGCCGCCGCCCACGCCCACCTCCGCGCCGCCCATCGCGCTGCAGGGATCCGCCGCCGGCGGCACCTCGGGCAGCGCGGCGGGTCCCCGCTCCTTGGCTTCCGCGAGCACCTGCAGGAATGAGGGAAATGGCGCGAGGCGGATTTCGGGCGAATACGAGAATTCAGTGAATTCTGCAGCGAGAACGCGTCGCTGGGGGAAGGATGGAAGGCCATAGCTGGCATGGCATGACACAGCATGGTACTGCTTAGGTTCGATCGCGAGGCGGAAAATGGCTTACTCCAGGATCCGCAATCGACACACCTTGGACTCTTTTCGCTTCGTCAGCCACGCGATGCACCCCGACGCCATGAGAGCCGTCGCGGCGCCGATCGTCGCGAACAGCAGGTCGCGGAGCGGCCCTTCCACGTCGTGTATCGAGATCGGCAGAGCTCTCGCCACATGCGACCGAGAGCGCGACCGCTTCCCGAGAAGCAAATCCCTGCCAGGATGTGCGGCTCCCTGCTGGGACCCCTCCCGCGGAGCATCGTCGATAATTAGAGAGTCGCTGGTCGGTTGGCTTGAGGCGTGGCTAGCAACGGACGGTCTAGATGACGCAGTGGAAGTGTGGAAGGCCTGTCCGCTGCACGACGGCGGCACGAGAAGTGGTCGACAGGCGTGCACTGCGGTGGAGTGTCGCACGTGCGACTGGCGAAGAAGTGAGGGCTTCGCGGGAAGAAACGACGTCGTCAATTTCGGACTACATCGCGGTTCTGACGGTGCTGGAGCAGCGGGCGGCGACTGCTGTATACCTCGTGACTTGGTCTGCTCAACGCAAGGAGTCGAGAGCGGGGAAAGCAGAGTGCGGCTAGCTAGCGAACTCTTGGCGGCCATGGCCGGGGCTTGAACTGCATGACCCATAAGTGTGAAAAAAGGCCACCAGAATCCAAGCCTCCGCACGCCTAAACTGCAATTCACTAGAATTCACTCAAGACGAAGACAATCATAAAAGGTGATCGCGGAAAACGGATCGATCTTGCTACCAAAAGTTCGACACTATGACCAAGACCTCCAGAGCAGCAGCAAGTTCGACAGCGAACAGACGTGGATGTGAGGTGGGGACAAGAAGAAGCACGACTGTCAGCTTCGCTTTCCCTCCCCTCCACTTTCTCGCGCCTTCACGTCCTCTTTCTCCTCGCCTGCACCAACCTCCCCGATATCATCCTCGCGTGCACTGATGCAAAACCGTGCCCCGCGACCACCATTTCGCGCCCTACTTGAACCGCCTGCCCGCGCCCCTCTGCTGCCATCACCATCATGCTTTCTGCCCGTGCCCTGCCCCCGGTCACACGAGCAGAAAACGTCGCTTTTCCTATGCAGCAATTTTCTGTGCCTGCCTCGAAGCAATGCCCCCTTGGATCCGCTCCGTAGCGCACCGAGCCCTGAAGAGCAGCGGGTAGAAAAAAGTTACATTTGGGGGGGCGGTGGTCCCACCACCCGCAACTTTTGTTGCGCAAGAGCCTGGTCTGTGAGAATTTCGCACGAGTCTGTGGTGATTGAGAATTCGCCACATGATGTATGGATCTGACCACAAGTTTCCTGCGCCCGAGGGGACACTATCGTGGTGTACTTTTGCACCGGAAACCAGTCCGGGCAGATTTGCACTTTTCATCAGCTTGCCCCCAACTCTTGGAATGGGAGGGTATCCACTGCGATTGGCTGGGTGAGAAAAACTTGCATCCCTGCTATCATCGATCTGGCCCTTGGGACCGTCCAATCAACACCTCGGGGTGGTCAGCCACGTTAGGAATTTTGAAAACCGTGCTGGCGGCAATGGACTGGTTGCGCCAGGTTTCGTACCTTTTGTGGTTACTGCCTCCCCAATGGCAGGGTGATTTCTGTTCTCCGTGCCTGAATTCGAGGGGATTCGGCTAGCAAACTATCGGTTTTGCTGGGAAACGTTGAGCAGAACAAGGAAGATAGTTTCTGCCATCGTATCTACACCCGTAGATTGACATTGTATGTTAACCTAGGCCGCCTGAAACAATGCAGCTTTTCCTTTCATTTTCAGAATAGGTATTTCATTCATAAGCTCGGACAAAGTTATGATATATTCTTGTTATAGCGTATATGTACATGCATTAACACATTAGCCAGGATCAGTCCCACCTCCGAAAGCCTGCTTATCGTAATCGACAGCTTTAAGGTGTTCAACATCAGCCCACCGTAAGATGGTCCACTTGTCGGGATGCGGTATCCTAAGTATGCCAATCGATGTGTTGTACACTTTCTTCGCATGCCTGTTCCCTGACGCCTTCATTTGGATGCAATTGCACACTCCACCGTGAGTCACCAGGAGCACCCTTTGGCCTGCAAACAGGATTCAAAAAGCGTCACCTACACGTATAAAAATGCAAAGAAACACGCACGAGTGTTGCTCTCCTGCTCTTACCAAGGTGCTCCTTGGCAATGCGATTGACGGTTGCTGTCACTCTCCCATACATGGCCTCCAAGCTCTCTCCCCCTCCCTTGTGTTCACACAAGCCAGATAGCGACAGACAACACAAGAGGGCAACCCGTGAGAGCGTGAGACGAGCCGACAAGGCACAGTGCGGGCCGACCAGGCAACAAACAAAAAAAAGGACCAAATGGAGGAGAAGCGGCGGCCGAGGAGTGGCATACAGGAATAGGTTGACTCCAGTCCTTTGAGGTCAGTACGCCGTACGCCTCAGGGTGCTTCTGAGAAGCTTCGTCCCGAATGAGGCCCTCCAGAACCCCCAAGTTGCGCTCTCTGAGCCCCGGCAGCCGCACCACCTGCTCTGCCCCCATGCCCACCGCCTCTGCCACCGCTTCTGCTGTCTCAGCCGCCCGCCTGAGGTCCGACGAGTACAGCGCTGTGAATGGCAGGTCGCCCCCCGCGAAGCGTGCTGCCAGCTGGCGAGCGGAGAGGGGATGGAGAAGGCATGGAGAAGGTATGAGAGGGGAGGAAGGAAGAAGGAGGAGGGATGAGGAGGGGACGGAGCGTATGGGAGCCTGAATGGGGGGAAATAAGTGCGGGGGGGAGATCGGCAGCGTGGCAGGTGATGGAGAACGGGCATGTAGTGAATGGGCATGCGACGAACGGGCATGCGACGAACGGGCATGTAGTGAATGGGCATGCGACGAACGGGCATGCGACGAACGGGCATGTAGTGAATGGGCATGCGACGAACGGGCATGTAGTGAATGGGCATGCGACGAACGGGCATGTAGTGAATGGGCATGCGACGAACGGGCATGTAGTGAATGGGCATGCGACGAACGGGCATGTAGTGAATGGGCATGCGAACGGGCACGGACACGGGGACATAGGAGAGGACGAATGACTCATTCGGAAGACAAGCGTGAGGGGGGAGGCGGGGCGCACCGCGCGGGCCTGAGCGCGCCCCGCGTCGCTGAGGTCCGACTCCGTCTGCCCCTGCATGCGGTTCTCGCGATTCCACGTCGTCTCGCCGTGCCGCACCACCACGACCTCCGCCACGTCACGCGGAATGAACGGATTCGATCGGTATGTCGACGTGGCTTGCGTGGCGCCTTCCGCTGAAGAATCAACGCGAGTCGTGGCGGCGGAAGCGCTGGTCGCTGCCGTGAATCCTGGATCACCAGCCGCTTCTGGTCCCCCCGGCATTGTCACACTATGGGATGAAACGAGGCTATTTAGCAAATGTGGAACGACAGTAGACGAGGTAACCAGCTTCGTGAAGGGCGATGGCGAAGAAGGACGGTGAGTAGCGCGGCGAGCAGCGGGCAGCCAAGTGCGGAGAAGTCCAAGTGAGGGCATGAAGTTGACGCATAAAGAGGTAATGCGAGGAATGAGAGGTGGAGGTGGTGGTGAATGGTTTTTGTACCCGCTTTTCAAAGCTTCAATATGAGAAATGAGTTGGGAAAAAAAAACTATCAGATTTTCAACTGAATCCACAAATTTTCGGAACCATCATCGGCTGCTTGCCCTACAATTTTGCCCGTCAAAATCACCACTATCATTCTTGCGCCAGCTTGTGTCGGTCCCCGTAACTCTCGCAATTCGTCGCCCGTCTCTGAGACGGTCGTTAGATTTCAAGAGGAGAAAACAACGCGCGTCGCGTTTATCGCCGTGCGGCGTGGAGCCGAATGGCGCACGTGCTGCTCAAGCGCACATCGGCTCCTACCGCCACAGCGGCACGTCGGGATGACGGGTCGGATTGCTCTGCAGGGCAGGTGAATCTTCTTCCCCTCGCACCCCGCGTCTCTCTCTTGCTTTAACCTAACTCTTCGCCTTGGCTCTACGGCTAAGGCTTGAAATCGCCATACTTGCCCCTTACCCTAATCGCACGTTGGCTACACGTTGTATCTCACCACGTTTCATTATCACCGTACTAAACCGCAGATGGAGCACCTCCAGCGCTACGAAGAGGAGCAGATGAGCCAGCTCCGCTATTGGTCGCCTGCTCCCGCCAGAGCTGACGTGGCGCATCCATATTTGCTCGCTGCTGACGTGGACGATTTACTAGAAGTGGCGGCGGCAATAAGACAAGTGGATTCGGATAAGAGCCTTACCAGCCAAGTCAGCGACACCGGAAGCCAACAATTGCTGCTGACTCAGCAGCACCAGCCAACGCATGGAGGACACGTGGCAGCTGCAACAGCCTCGGATACGGCAAGGAGTGGGATGGATGAGGAGAGGAGAACCGGGAGCAGCGAGAGGGGAGGGGCCGTGGGGCAGGGTAAAGGAGACGAAGGGTTGATGGTGCATGCTGGCAGTAGGGGAGGCGCGGTGGGAGCAGCAGCAGCGACAGCCGCCGCGACTGAAGCTGCAGCGGTTCTCATTCGGCCCCGCGGGCTGTACGCTGCCGGCCAATCAGGGCGTAGCATGGGTGGGGGAAGGCGACTAGCCAGGCGCGGTGAGAAACACAAGCAGGGAGAGGCAGTGACAAGGAGAGGTGGTTGGGGAGGGGGGGAAAGGGCAGGGGGAGAAGGAGAGGGAGACGAGGGAGGAGGAGGGGGAGGGGGGGAGGGAGGGGCGGTGAGGGCAGTGGACAGTGTGAGTCTGCTGCACCAGCAGCAGCCGCTGCTACCAGAGGGCGTCTCAGAGGACCACCTTCGCCGCTTCGGCTCCATCACTCGCTCCCTCTCCCTCTCCTCCTCCTCCTCCACCCCCACGGCTGCCACCGCCGCCGCTGCAGCAGCGGCTGCTACGGCTGCTGCCGGTGGGATTGAAGGCGTCACAGGCTTCCCAAGCTCCCTCCGCCCTTCTCCCTCTCCAGCCGTTTCCTCCCGAGCCTCAGGCGCAGGCTTGGCTCAAGCTTTGTTGTACAGGACCGAGAGCGAGTGCGGGCGTCTGGAGAGTGGGGCTGGGCGAGTGGGGAGCGAGGGGGCCGCGTCTCCTAGTCTCTCTGCCACGGGGTCAGCACACACTGCTGCCACGTCAGCATGGGAAAGCTGCTCTGATGGGTCAGTGGGGGCGTTAGAGAGTGTGCACGAGGCTCTGGTGACGAGCAGGAGGGGCGAGCGGCAGTGGCGGGGGAACAGCATGAGTAGTGTGAGTGAGGAGATGGGAACGGGTGTGAGGAGTGCGAGTGAGGGAGTGGGCATGGGGATGGGGCGTGGGAGTGCGTTGGGGAGGGGGTATGGGGTGGCACCACACGAGGTGGAGGGGCGGTGGGGGTCGGAGGGCGGGTATGTGACGCGCAGGGAGATGCATGCAGTGCTGGCAGGCATGGCTCAGCTGCAACACACCGTGGATGGGGTTCTCCTTCACCTGCAGCAGCAGCAGCAGCAGCAGCAGCAGCAGCAGCAGCAAATGGGGCAGATGCAACAGCAACACCACCACCATGCGCAGCAGCAGGAGTTTTCAGGGACAGCAGAGGGCAGGAGCAGGGGTCCAGGTAACGAGCAGCAGAGCCCGCAAGGCCGCGAGTCATTACGAAGCCGGTCTGCATCCCAGACGCACAGCTCATGGGCAGGAGAGCGGGGGGGCGGAGGCAAGGAGGCGCTGCTGCTGCTGCCCTGGCCTGCAGTGCTGCTGCTGTCGTGCCTGGTGGCGCTCGTGCGTGCCCTCTGGTCGACCTGCAAGTGGGGTGTGGGGCTCGTGTGGCCGCTGTGCCTGCTGCTGCCCCTGATGCACCGCGTTGAGCACCACTGCCGCCTGCACTGCCAGCTTTGGACTGCAGCTGTGGATGGCACAGACTGAGAATGAAAGGCTTTTTGCTGTATGTGGTGTGGTGGTGTGCATTCGATTGGTGTGGTAGTGGAGCTGCTCGCTTGTGGTTTGCTTCGCTTGTTGATTGCTAGTGGGTCAATTGTGCCTTACTATTAAGCGTAAAGATTCGCAGTATGAAATGGCGACTTAGCTTCTTGTAAGTAGTTGCAGAACATGCCATCCACAAATGCATCATTCAGAAAGGCGTGATGCATAAAGCCACCTTCTGAAACAACCCTAACCACCTTGCTGCTGCCCTCGCCTGACTGCCTGCCCACATTCAGTCCCCCCTGCCCTATGCGCCTTTACCCCTGCTGCGATACCCTCTCACCATTGGAGACAGAGGGGGTCTTTTTCTCCCCGGTCTGCCGCGCCCTGCCAGCACCGCTTTCACTCTCGACACAATGCTCTTTGCCGCTTGGCTTATGGCGCCAGGTGGAGGGGAGGGGGGCAAGGGGCGCAGGAGGCGTTGCGAGGGCGGTGGAGGAGAGACGGGCGGTGGGCATGGGAGGGTGAGCTTGCAGGAGGCGGAGAGGAGGTCCCAGTTGTGCTGGATGAGGAGCTTGGAGCCGTTGACCCCACCAGGTTGTACCTGGCACCAGAATCGTCAGTGAGAATGGGGGTGAACCTGCAGTGGAAGAGGTAGAGAGGAAAGGGAAGAGGGTGAGCTGGCCGGCACCAGTGGCGAGGTCCCAGTTGTGCTGGATGAGGAACTTAGAGCCGTTGATCCCCACCAGCTTGTATCTGGCTTCTGATGGGTCCATGCGAATGGGGGCGAACCTGCAGAAGAAAAAGAAGGAAAAAGAGGGGGGAATGAGGGGGGTGTGGTGGTAGGGCGGGGGGGTTAAACTTGGAGGCGTTGACCCCACCAGGCTGTATTTGAAAGAGGGGCCTGTCCGAATGGGAGAGAACCTGGATGGGGGAGGGTAGTGCACAAGGGACGGGAGGGGTGACTGGGCCAGGCCAAGAGGGTTGGGCCTGCATTTTCTCACTTATGTATGTTGACGTAAGCGGGGGCAGAGGGCCCATGCAGTCATGAGAGACGCAGAAAGAGCCCATCAGGAAGCAGCACTCGTTGAATTCTGAGACGTCTCAAAACTGACACCGGTATACTGGTAAGCAAACATGAGAGGCAGAGGCACTGTGAGCAAACATGAGAGGCAGAGGCACTGTGAGCAAACATGAGAGGCAGAGGCACTGTGAGCAAACACGAGAGGCAGAGGCACTGTGAGCAAACATGAGAGGCAGAAGCACTGTGAGCAAACATGAGAGGCAGAAGCACTGTGAGCAAACACGAGAGGCAGAGGCACTGTGAGCAAACATGAGAGGCAGAAGCACTGTGAGCAAACATGAGAGGCAGAAGCACTGTGAGCAAACATGAAACACGGGAGCAGACCTCGTGGAAGCAAGCTTTGGGTGCAATCGAGATAGGAAAACATGAGAGGCAATGCACACTCACGTCCACGAGCACTTGTCTGCGTTCTCCCCGCCGTCGCTGTCAAACCACGTGGAGACGAAGGGGCTGGCAGCAGCCTCTGCGAGCTCGTGGGCCAAGACAGACACGAGGCCATCCATGCCGGGATCGCCCGTGGGGGATAGAGAGGCGTTGCTGCGGATGTCTGCTGCTATGCACGACGTGGGGCACTGCAGGGGGTGTGGAGGGGAATTGTGAGAGAGGAACAAAAAAGAGATGAGAGAGGTGAGGTCATGGGTTGCGGGCGCGAGAGGCTGGCACATAAGGTGAATGTAACGAAAGGTTGATGATAGCGAAACGAAAGGTTGCAAATTTAAGAGCAGCCAGATGATCAGCTCTCCCCCTTACAGGGTACCAGGCCAACCCTTTCACGCACCTACTCACCCACTCCACCAGAATGAATGCCCACCCTCCCACACACGTACCAACAGAAATTCCCACCCACCCACCCACGCACCTGGAGGTCCGCCTTGCCTGTCCACGCGGAAATGAACGTGCCGAAGCCAGGCGCGGATCCGAAGAAGTGCCACCCACAGAACGCCTCACAGAAGCGGTCCGCCTGGGGATTGTCGGAGCTTGCCTGCGCCACACGCGCGTCCGAGAGCACGAAGTACACCCCGTCCGCGTTATAAGGCAGCCTACGGCTCGTGATGGCGTCGGCGAGGAGCGCCGTGACGTCAGAGTCGTAAAGCGTAGCTCCTCGGGAGTATCCCCCGTCGTCCGTCTCGCCGCCCCACGTGACGGTTTCCGTCACCCGACGCCCCGCCTGATCGTGGTACTGCCGGTTCACGCTCCACCACAGCGGCACTGTGGGGGATTTGGAGCACGGGGAAGGGAGAAAGGCATTGTGGGCATCGGGGAAGAAGGGGGTTGGGGGCATCGGGGAAGGAGGGGGTTGGGGGCATCGGGGGAGGAGGGGGTTGGGGGCATCGGGGGAGGAGGGGGTTGGGGGCGTCGGGGGAGGAGGGGGTTGGGGGCGTCGGGGGAGGAGGGGGTTGGGGGCGTCGGGGGAGGAGGGGGTTGGGGGCGTCGGGGGAGGAGGGGGTTGGGGGCGTCGGGGGAGGAGGGGGTTGGGGGCATCGGGGGAGGGGGAAATTAGGGGGACTGGGGGCGGATTACTGGATGGGGATTTACTGGATCGAGGGTACAACAGCAGCAGCTTTACGTTCTGCCATAGTGAAACTGTGAGGACGCGTGGGGGAAATCGGGGGAACTGACGGCTCACGTTCCACCACAGCGGCACTGCGATTTGGATCTGGCACGAGGGAAGTGGAGAGCGGGGAAGAGAAGGGATAGGGGAGAATGGGGGCATTCGGCCGCACGGGATTGGTGGGATTTGCGGGGAGAGGGCAGATGGGGTTACTCATTGAGGGTTGAGATTGATGCACAGGCTTTCGTGAGAATGCGCGGTGGCCCCTTTGAAGGAGTTCCCCAGGGACTGCCTACCAGTGACGGTGATGTCAGCGTTGGGGCTGAGCGATGCGACGAAGGAGCGAACCGTCTGCTTCTGAGCGTCCGAAAACACGCCGTACCACAGCACGAACACGCGGATCGGCCGATGCAGCACGCCGCACCGCCCATCCACGCAAGTGCGGTGAAATGCCGAATGGCGGCTTGGCAATGCCTGCCGTTGATACTACAACTGCTGCTGCAGCCGCTGCTGATGCACGTTGCGTCGCGAGATTGGTCGTGCCCCGCCCCACGCCGCTCTGCCTCGCCAAAGAAGCTTCACTCGAAGCCTTTGAGCCCGTTAATTGAGCTCCCAATGTAGCTTATAGTGCCGGCGACGCCTCGCCCTCTCGTTGGACTAACCCTCATCAATCTTCTTTTGGCTGCTCTGATACTGTCCGCCTGTTCCCTGCTCTCTGTGTGTATTTCCGATATCATGTGGCGCCCGTTGCTCTCATCGTGGCGCAGACCGCGAAAATGCGTCAGATTGTGCCTGCCTGGCGGGCTGCCCGGGGAAGCAGGCTGGGATTCCTGAAGCGACACGAAGACGTTGTCGGCATGCGCTACGCGTGAGTAAGAGCAAGCTGTTACTAGGAGATATAGCACTGCGCACACGCAGACGCGCGACATCCCGCTCTTTGCTTTGCTTGCGCGTAAATCTCTGGTCGTCCAGTAGCCTACGCCACGAAAGCTCTCGTGCAGAACGGTGGTGTGCAGGGGAGGACTTGAGTCGGAGGTGATGGGAGGAGGAGGGAAATCAAGGAAACTTGAGTCGATTGAAATGGCAGTGCGGAATTGTCCACTCGGCACATTCGGAAATTGTTCTGGATGAATATTGTCGGTCGCATCGCGGAAAAATTCGTCATCGGACCGCTTGGTTTGTGTGGGCGAGTTATACCCGCTGGAGCCGTTGCGAATTCGTTTTATGATACAAACCACACGGGCTCTCTTTGGTTATTTGCGGGAGTATGAAAGCACTGGACACTGAATGTGAAGCAAAACAAAGTTAGCCATTTGATATGGTGACCCACACTACTACCCAGGTGTCAGCCAACCTCCAAAATAAGAGGAAGTTATGATAGTACAAATATTTCTGGCTTTGAACAAAATAAAACATTACATGCTAAACAAGGCTACTTTCCTGAATGGGATATTTTCTTCATGAAGTCACCAAACCCTTTATTTGACAATTTTTTTGGAGGCGGGGGTGCTCGTTTTGGAGGAGGAGGTGGTGGGCTAGGCGGGGGAGGGGGTGAAGGCGGAGGAGATGGTGGGCGTGTGGGGGGAGGGGGAGGGGAGGGAGGTAGGGGAGGGCTAGGAGGTGCGGGAGGTGCGTATGGGACGGTTAGAGCACAGGAGCCAGAGACCAGGTTCCAGTTTTGCTGGACGAGGAACTTGGTGCCGTCTACTCCCACCAGGTTGTACTTGATGCCAGAGGCGTCAGTGGCAAGGGGGTTGAACCTGATTGGTGGGAAAGAAAAAGGACAGGAGAGGGAAGGGTGATGAGTGGGGTTTGGAAGGGGGGGATCATTACCGGAAACGTGGTGGAGAATGGAAGTGCTACTAGCAGTGGTTGGGTAGAAAGCTACAAGGTATGAGCAGTTGGCAGAGTGGAAAGGCAAGGGCTGCTCACTTCCAGGCGCACTTGTCAGCGTTCTCGTAGCCTTCCCCGTCGAACCACGTGGAGACAAATGGGCTGGAGGTGGCTTCTGCAAACTCATGGGCGAAAACAGACACGAGGCCATCCATGCCAGGGTCGCCCGTGGGGGATAGAGACGTGTCGCCGCGAATCTCCTTGGGAATGCAGGCTGAGGGGCACTGCACAGCACAGGCAAGAACGAGAACTATTGACTAGGTGAGTGGTTAAGTGAGGTTTGGCCACAAAACAAGGCATGATGGCGTGGTTGGAATGTCATGCTCAATAGTCTCCAGCCCCACTCACAATCAGGTCTGCCTTGCCGACCCACGAGTAAATAAAATCGCCATAATTGTCGGCCCAAGAGTGGTGGTGCCAACCACAGAAATGTGTGCAGAATTTCTCCGACGTGACCTTGTCGCCCCATTTCTGCAGAAGCAGCAAATAGATACACGTGGCAGATGAGGAAAATAGTTACAGGTAATGCGCGGTCCAGCCACACATGTTTTGCAAGAAGCATAAACACATTCATGTCAAGTCATGTCCTTTGACACAGCACCACACCACAAGCCGCATGTAACAGCACGCATTACACCACAGCACACCTGGTTGACAAACGCGTCCGAGAGGAGGAAGTAGACGCCACGAGGGTCGTACGGCAGTTGTTGGCTGCTAATGGCCGAACCAAGCAGGTCCTCTACGTGGCTTGAAAGCAGCGTCTTGCCCTTGCTGTACGCCCTGTCCTCCAGCTCGCCTTCCCACGTCACGGATTGCGATATGTGGTTACCATCCTGGTCGTAGTAGAGCCGATTGATGTTCCACCACAATGGAACTGAAACAACCAAACAGCATGAATGGGTTAACACTGAAGTTTTCAGAAGAACATAACACCCTGGTAGAAGTTATGCTACTTTTCATGCTGTAAACGTTCAGGGCGAATGATTCTGAGTGTAGCGGCGGAGGCAGAGGGGGTTGATGGAAGACAGGTACACCTATGATAGAATTGTACATCAGGTGTAGCACACACACGAATGCATAAAGGGTTTTGGCGAGCATTTTCCTAAGCTCATATTTGTTCTTAAAAATCTCTTTGGGGGTTGCCTACCAGTGACGGCGGCGTCAGCGTTGGGGCTGAGCGATGCGACGAAGGAGCGAACCGTCTGCTTCTGAGCGTCTGAGAACACGCCGTACCACAGCACGAACACGCGGATCGGCCGATGCAGCACGCCGCACCTGTTCTCGCACCACGCTGCCCCCCAATGCGGGGAGATCCCGATGGGCGGCTCTGCGGTACCCATGATCGTCGCGCTGCGGCCCGTCGTCGCCGCGCCGCCGCCTTGACCTTCCCTGAGGTGGGCGGACGCGTGCAGCAGGGCTGGAGAGACGGTTACAGAAGCCAAAGAAACGGAGCGTATCCTTTTTTCGCAAAAGAATTTACTAATAGACGCCGGCGGTGACTACTACTGTTGCTAGACTCGGAACTTTCTCGCAATCCGTTTTTATCAGTATAGCTCAGACCGTCGGCGACGCAATCAGAACAAGGACGCACCACGTGATGATCGGCGTGATTCCGGGCCGGCGAGCCCCGGAATTCGGATCATAATGTCCCACGTGGCCGGCTCCCACTGATCCTTGGATTGACCGCAGGTGCTGTCGCAACAACCCGGACGACCGAAATGTGCTACGAGGCTGGACGAGCGTGCGACGACTACCAGCCTTGACTTCTAAAACTCTGTTGAGGAGAACTGTTAGAAGTATTGAAAGCGTAAATACGCACTGCGGGCTGGCCCTCCGTGGCTTAACGGTTCGACTCATGGCGTTTGCACGCAAAGAACCGCATTGCAACTTCAAGTTGAAGTTTAAACCCATCGCTAGTACTACTAGCAGTAGGCCACTGTCCGTAAAGACTTAGCGCCACGCTTAGCTGGGAAGTGTCCGTGAGTTCACGAGGTTCGCCGCACAGATAATAAACGAGACGAGCTCAGTACAACCTACTAGGTTGTCAACTGCTGTCAACATAAATGTAACATTGACGTCACTTTCCGCCCTTGACACTTCCGCGCTAGTAGCAGCAGGGCTTATTGGCACGTCATTCTGGGAAAGGGGGCCATGGACCGACCAAAAGGTGCATGTAGTCCAGGCCAGACACTCTAGTGAAAATTATCGCTCATAGCTAGGTATCTGCGTGAATGCGCCATTTGTACTGAAAAAGAGCGTTGTCATGTCATGCTACTGATTGAGCATTCGTAGGGAACCCTGAAGAAAAAGTGCGAAAACATTCCCCCCAGATCTACTCTGGTGTTTTGGATGGTTGGTGGTGGTGGTGAGAGACGAGAAGTCCACCTTTTTCGTTCAGGTTACAGCACGCACAACCACCCTGTGCGGGAATGCATGCTGCATTGGTGGTTTCCCCTGCGTCGCGTGGTGTTGGCTTGCTTGTTATTTGCGCCGCCAAAATGCTGCCATTGGGGCGGGCGTGTGACATGGCAGCGACTTCCAATTGCTTGTTCGGACTTCGCAAGGTTCGCGACGGGCGACCAATTTTACATCTTCCCAACTGCTCCGTTGACAAACAGACAAGGATAGCTTGATCGTGACATTGGCGAACGGTACAGTAGCGTCAACTTTGGCAAGGCGATCAGCCTTCGTTAGAGCGTGGAACATCCTTAGGGGATTTCCTAGCTTCGGGTCATCCGGTGTTTGTGTCATCCGGAAATTGTGGTAGCCAATTGGAAAACCCGCGGTTTGGAATTTGATTTTTCGATTGGATACCGCAAATTTCGGATGACATGAAGCCGGGATGACCCGAAGCTAGGAATACGCCCTTATGACCAAGTGTTTGGTCGCTTGTTTGGTCGCTCATTTTGTTTCGTCACTCGTTTGCGACAAGTTTCGCTTGGTAACACACAAAACTACAAATTGTGAATCAAATTCGCTTTGGGAATTTGGAAGGCACCCTGGTCGACCAGCAGCGAAAATTAGCGAGAATACACGAAGAGAAATACTTTCGTCATCTGCTTCGCAGCGAATCGTGTGCGATTATTTCACCCACGACAGCACTTGGTTGCACGTCGCATGTTCTGCTTGCCAAACCATTTCTTGTCCTTTCCGTAAGTGTGGGGCGACCTAAGTACATAAGCTGTGGAACGTGCATGCATCTTTCAGACTTCGTCACTCCCCTACGAGGCCTTATGGCGAGAATCGCAAATGGGGTTACAGTCGCATTTGGGCGACCCATGCCTTGTTCATAAGGATGTTCCACGCGTGTTTGGTCGCTTGTTTGGTCGCTCATTTTGTTTCGTCACTCGTTTGCGACAAGTTTCGCTTGGTAACACACAAAACCACAAATTGTGAATCAAATTCGCTTTGGGAATTTGGAAGGCACCCTGGTCGACCAGCAGCGAAAATTAGTGAGAATACACGAAGAGAAATACTTTCGTCATCTGCTTCGCAGCGAATCGTGTGCGATTATTTCACCCACGACAGCACCTGGTTGCACGTCGCATGTTCTGCTTGCCAAACCATTTCTTGTCCTATCCGTAAGTGTGGGGCGACCTAAGTGCATGAGCTGTGGAACGTGCATGCATCTTTCAGACTTCGTCACTCCCCTACGAGGCCCCATGGCGAGAATCGCAAATGGGGTTATACACAAGATGCCCAACCCCTGCACGCGAAATTGCCTCGCACGTTCCAGAAACCTTGCACACGAAGGTTTTTTCCCGGGCAGTTGCACCCACGTTACAAGCACGTCAACCAATACGAACCACAGAAACAGAAGAGACCGAAGTCAAACAGTCAACGGTGAGTTACAAAATTTTGCTATAAGCCCTTTTTGCCCGATGCGAATTGACGAAACCTCCACGAAATGCATGAATCACTTAAGCGCCCCCTTCACAAGGCAACCTTGGGTTAGTCAAACGGACATCGTGTGTAGTCGCATTTGGGCGACCAATGCCTTGTTCATAAGGATATTCCCGCTCTTAGGGTTCACTCCTGTGTCGACATTTATGTCTCAATCCACGTTTTCCCGAGTCGCGTCGAAAAAAATTGTCAATCTCGCGTCACAAAAAATCAATGTATCCCGAAACTAGGCGACCATGCTAAATGTACAGTTGGGCGCATTTGATTGGGTGATAAATATTACCGTACACCCGTTTCTTCAGTCGCTTGGCTGGGGTGTGGTTTCGGCGCGCGGAATTCTTTCCCGCGCGAAATTGGCATTTCGGGCAGACCAGGTGCATTGACATTTCGAACCGCATGCGATTTTTTAACAATGACGAGTCGGTTTACAATTTGTCGGCGACGTCAGCGCGTTTCACGCTGACAAATTAAAAATACAGTAATGGTCGCTAAAAAACGACTCGCGTTTGAGAAATTGAACGTTTTATGTCGTTTTAACGCGTCACAAACGCTTTGAGACACAAATTTCGACACAGGAATGCGCCCTTAGTCAACACCAATACAGTAGGCAAAAGCCAAGTCGAGCATCACATGTCGAGTCGGGTTCCATGGGTTGACGACGGTCTATTTTGGCTCAAAGTCGCAACTGTTTTCGCATAGCGTCGTTATCCTCGTACTACGACGACTAGGTCAACAAAGTTGGCATGGTTACTTGCTCTGCTTTGAGCATTCATCGTGTAATCTTTACTGTTGAACAAATACTGTACAGTATTGTGTCCCGGGATATGTACTTGAGGAAACGGAATTTTAACCCAACTTCTTGATACAATACTTGGTCAAAATACACTTAACCTACCGTAAGTTACCCTCCTGGCTTGAATATTCTGTTGATCAAGTCACCAATGTCATTCTTGAACAAGAAAACTACGGTATATACATAAGCGAGGCTACCCTCCCGGCTTAAATATTCTGTTTATGAGGTCACTAAAGCCATTCTTTTGCGGTTTCTTTGGCGGAGGGGGTGCTCGTTTTGGAGGAGGGGGCGGGGGGCGAGGTGGAGGAGGGGGTGAAGGAGGGGGAGATGGGGGGGGCGGGAAGGGGGGAGGCGAAGGGGGGGGAGATGGCGGAGGTGGTGAGGGTGGAGGGGAAGGGGGGGGGGGAGGGAGGTGGGGGAGGGCTGGGAGGTGGTGGAGGTGATGGGGGTCTAGGTGGTGGGGGGGGGGGGTGAGTATGGGATGATTAGCGCACACGAGCCAGAAACGAGGTCCCAGTTTTGCTGGATGAGGAATCTGGAGCTGTTGACACCCACCAGGTTGTACTTGATGCCAGAGGCTCCAGGGATAAGGGGTGCAAACCTGCCAGGTTGAAAGAAATAGAGAAGGTGGGGGGAAGGTTGGAAACGGGCGGGGAGTGGAAGTGCTACCATTGGTGCTTGGATGAGAGAAAACGATCAAGGTATGAGCAGGTGGCGGGGAGGCAAGCGCTGCTCACTTCCAGGCGCACTTGTCCGCGTTCTCGTAGCCTTCCCCGTCGAACCACGTGGAGATGAAGGGGCTTGAGGTGGCCTCTGCGAGCTCGTGGGCGAAGACAGACACGAGGCCATCCATGCCAGGATCACCCGTGGGGGCGAGGGACGCATTGCTGCGAATGTCACTGGGAATGCAGGACGAGGGGCACTGCACGCGCAGGCGAGAAAGGAGACGAGCAGGTGACAGTTTGTGAGAGGTTTGTCCAGGAAGCAAGCTATGTTGCTGTGGCTCAAGTGGCCCAGTTCACTGCTCGAAAGGCTCCCGCTGACGACTCACGAGCAGGTTTGCCTTGCCGACCCAGGAGTAGATGTAGTCGCCGTACATGTCGGCCCACGCGTAGTAATGCCACCCACAGAAGTCCGTGCAGAACTTCTGAGCCGTGCTCGTGTTGCCCCATTTCTGCACACGCAGCAGAGAGACACACACGGGCAACCAGACGTGCTCTGCTTGCCGCATCTCAACAGTGGCAACCAGGTCCAACCACACCTGTTGTTCAGATCAAGGAACACAGTCACCGTCATGTCCTTTGCACGGCATCGCTTGCACCACATGCTGCATCGCTTGCACCACATGCTGCATCGGCGGGGTTGCCATGAAAGCATACCTGAGTGACAAGCTCGTCGGAGAGGAGGAAGTAGACGGCGCCAGGGTCGTGTGGCATTCGTTGGCTGCTAATGGCCGACCCCAGTAGGCTCTCCACGTGGCTTGAGAGCAGCGTCTTGCCCTTGCTGTACGCCCTGTCCTCCAGCTCGCCTCCCCACGTCACGGATTGCGATATGTGGTTACCATTCTGGTCGTAGTAGAGCCGGTTGATGTTCCACCACAATGGAACTGAAACAACCGAATAGCATGAGTGGGATACACCACACGAATTTTCCTTAGAAAAAAGTAAGAACACAACATGAGCTGACATATGCCACAAGAACAATTTCAAATAATGTTGTTGATATATTATAACTTATGCAGTGTAAGACTTTAAGGTGTGGTGAATGCACACGCAGAGGGAGGATATGGAAATAGGTACACCTAAAGACGGTATACATCAGGTGTGGCACACGGATGTAATGCTTCAAGGGTTTCGGCGAGCATTTTGCCAGCATTTTTGTAGTAGGGGTTTGCGCATTCCAAGTCGACGATTTTGCAACGCGCAGTTTTCCTGCGAATCCTCCCGGGGCTGCCTACCAGTGACGGCGGCGTCAGCGTTGGGGCTGAGCGATGCGACGAAGGAACGGACCGTCTGCTTCTGAGCGTCGGAGAACACGCCGTACCACAGCACGAACACGCGGATCGGCCGATGCAGCACGCCGCACTTGTTCCAACACCCAGCCCCCCATCGCGGGTAAATGCCGATAGGATCTGAGGTACCCAGGATCGTCGTGCGGCGACCTGTCGTCGCCGCGCCGCCTTGACCTTCCCTGAGATCGAGCGCGCAGCAGAGCTGTAGAGACGGTTAGAAACGGATCCTATATGAAGCGGAACAAAGGATTATCCATTAGACGGCGGCGATACTACTGCTGCCGCTAGGCTCGGCTAGAAGCATTCCGTTCCTTATAGCTCACAGCGACGGAGAGCAGGACGCACCATTTAGTAGAGGTGGTGATCGGCGCGATTCCGGGGCGGCGAGTCTCGGCATTGAGATCATGATGTCCCACAGCTCCCACCGGCGGTGCCCATGATGGCTGCGGGAGGGGCGGAGCAGGCGGCAGCCCCGCGGATGCTCGGCGGCTTGGTCGTGAAGGGGGGGGATTCGCGCGCGGAGCTGGCGGGTGCGCGCGAAGCGACGCTAATCCTTGAGACCATAGGTGCTGCCGCAACAACCGGGACGAACGAACTGTACTAGAGGGATGGACGCGCGTACGAGTAACTACGTAATCGACACGATGTACTCGGCGAGTACCACCAGCCTTGGCCTCTGACACGCCTCTGAGGAAAACTGCTAGAATCACAAGCGCAAGCACAGACTGCGGGTTGGCTCTCCGCGGTTCAGCGCTTTGAATCATGGCGGGATTCGCATGCAAACGGCGGCACGACAACTCAAAAAGAGCTTTTCTTGAAATCAGTGAGTGGTTCAGGCGAGGTGGCAGTATTAATAGTGATTCCGTAAAAACTCTAAACACCAGAAAGAGAGACTGGGATGTGAGTGTTGATGAAATTACAAAGCCACACAGACCAGAACGAGAGTCCGCCGCAGTTCGAGACTCGAGGTAAGCGCTGAGCGCACGAACTGCATCAAGATAAGCTTATTGGCACGTAAGCTTGCGAGATAAGGCCCATGGAGTTGAAATGAGGCCCCTGGTCTGGCTGACACACCAAGAAGACAGTCATGGCTGATAACCGCGCTGTTCGCACTGCAGCCTTTGTTGGAGTGCCCCTTTTCTTCCGAAGCAGGGTGATCGGATGTCTTGCCATCCCGATCAGTGTTCTGGGCGTGGGAGGGTGAGGCGATGGTGATGGTGATGGTGAGCGGTGACTCGGTGAGGTGATAACTTTCATATTCATGACTAACTCGGTCGGGACAGGGGATCTTTTCATCTGATGACTAGCTCTTCAGTGTAGTGTTCCTTGCGCTGCTCGTCTTTACCGGACTTGTTCTCGCCGCCAAAATGCTGGCTGGCCCCATTATGGGGTGGGGTGGGGTGAGGCGGAGTGGCTTGGTCCCACCTTGCCCGCTCGCATGAACGAGTGGAGTTCCTCTTCTCAGGGAATGTACAGTAACATCCAGCTGAAATCAGCTGCCATCACCACACATGTATGAACCACTGCTGTTTGCCCCACAACACCAAGGCCAGGGCCTAGCTCTTTGTTGTTACAGTACCCCAACCAATTCTGCACCCCACCATCTGCCCAATCTCCAGTGAGCAGATAGGTCATGCGGCATATCGCGACGCGTCAAGCTCAGCCAGCGCCTCATGATGTACAAGACAGAGTGACGACAAGTATTTTTGCCGAACCCACCTGACAGGCATGGTGATAAGGAAAGCTAAATCTCGCCCCAGCGTGGCTGGGCGATGGGCATGGTCCCGAACCAACAATTAAAAGCTGCGCTGTAAGTACAGTAGTCCCAAAACCAGCCTGCATCTGCCCAAGAATTTGAGACTTATGCTGCTCCGGCGTGATGACGTATCCATACCGAATCGACCCATACCTAGCCTGACTGCCAGCCAGGTGGTCATAACAGAGCCACAGGGAATTGTCACCCCCTCACCAACAAGAACCCACAGCCCGAATTTGTCTTGCTTGAACATGGTTACCACAAATGTGTAGTCCTGATTTGATTGTCGCCAAACATGGCGCCAGCGAAGGATGACTAATGACCACACACACAGAAATACACCTTGCGCTCTGTATCGCGTATTTCTAAGAACGAAACCATCAGGTTCGATTTTTAACGCGGTTGTAAACGGTTGTGCACCTTTTGTATGCAAGAAGCGGGGTTTCAGTGCTGTGACCGGATCGATATCCCCGCAATCGAGCAACGGTCCTCACAGTCCTCCAGCAACGGTCGTGACTCATGAGGCTGGTGTGGTCAACTTCCTATGCACCAAAGCGGGCTAGGTAGCCAGCCTGCGAAGGTAAAATCTATGGCGAGGGGGCCTTTCTACTACCGCCAGACTACCACCCGAGCCAGCGGTCACGAGCGACGGACGCGCTGCTCGTCGAACGCGCCGTTGGCGTCACGATGACCCGAGAGTGCCGGAGAGTGTGTTGGAGGGACACCCTCGGCCGCATTGCCCCCCCAATAAGCCGTTTGCGGCTCGCCGCCAGCCCGCAAACCTTAATAACGAGCAACCTGCTTCTATTGCTACTCATTAGTACCCTCGTCGTCAGCATCGCTAGTTCGGAACGCGACAATCGCGCGACGCGGTCCCGGCGGACCTACCACCCGACGTTCTCTCGTAGCTTGCTTTCGTCGACGAGTCGCGACGGGATTCGCAGCGCAGGCCGGCCAACCGTACGGCCGTCGCCAGTTGTCCCGCAAGATGACACGGCAGATGACACGTTCGACGACGCGGCGGATGCGATCAAGGAGAGCGGGAGCGCGCGAATGGCGGTGCGGGTAGGAAGGGGCGGCGAGGATGGGGGCGCGAACGGGAAGCGGCAGGAGATGCTGTGGCTGCGGCGAGGCATGGCCGCTGCGAGGGGCGAGTCGCGCGTCGTGGAAGCCGTGGCTTCCGGCAGCAGTAACGGCGGCAGCGGTAACGGCGGCAGCAGTATCGGCGGCAGCAGCAGTGGCGGCAGCAGCAGTGGCGGCAGTAGCAATGACGGCAGCGGTAACCCCCTCCTCCCCCCCCTTCTCCCCACCCCCTCTTCTGCGCCTCTTCCTCTGTAAATCCCCCCAGCTCTCCTCCCCCCTTTCCCCCACTCGTCTTCTCGCTCATTCTACCCACCTCCTCTTCCCCCTCCCCTATCTCTCCCCCCCGTCACCCCCTTGCTCGCCCCCCCCCAGTCCCTCTGTGGTGGAACATCAATCGGCTCTACTACGATCGAGACATGAACTACATATCAGGGAGTGTGACTGTAAGGGGCGAGGTGGAGGACGCAGGGTATTCTCAAGGGACCGTGCTGCTGGACTCGGCTGTGGATACAATCATCCGTAACGCTGTTACCAGCAACCAGCTGCCGTTTGACAGGGACGGGGTGTACTTTGTGCTTTCAGACGAGACTGTCGACCAGGTGAGGCTCAGGAGGCTGGTGGTGGGTGGGTGGGGTCCTGGCAGTCTCTCCGAACCATCCAGCACCCCCAGCTGACATGATGCTTCGTTCCAATGTTGCTTTCTCTACACACGCGAAGGCACAAGTCACAGCAATGGCGTGCTTGACCCGCATGCCTCCCCCTTCATCATGCCCTCTCCACCTCTGCAGGTGTCAGATGGGCTTGCCTTCTGCTCGGACTACTGCGGCTGGCACTGGTACACCAAAGTGCCGGGGCAGGGCCTGCTAGTGTCCTCCTGGGTTGGCAACGCCGGCTCCAAGGTCAGCAACACCTGCCTGATCCCACACCGCCCTCTATCCGCCCTTCTTTCCTCTGCGCACCACCCTAGCCTAAACTCATTCTTCTTCCATCTTCCAGCCAACTAATCCTCGCGTGCGCTCCTCCCCTAATCCCCATGCTCCTCGCAACAGTGTCGCTCCAGCTGCATTTCATCTCAGCTGTTCAGCGGCCCCGGCCACTCTCCCAACGGCGACGTGGGCATGGACGGGCTGCTGTCGGTGTTCGCACACGAGCTCGCAGAGGCCACTTCTGATCCGTTCATGTCTGCTTGGTTCGACAGTGATGGAGAGGAGAACGCCGACAAGTGTTCCTGGGAGTAAGCACACCTGCTCGCTTGCATCCCTCTCGCTTCTCACCGCCTACTCTTGCCTGTTTAGGGTCTGGGAGTGTTCAGCAGTGCCTGTATGTTTCGCTCACTCCCTTTCCCCCTCCCACCACTCAATTGTCTGCCCGGTGCAGGTTTGGGGACATGCTGTTTGACTCGATAGATGGCCCCTTCTACAACCTTGTGGGCCTCAACAACCAGAAGTTTCTCATCCAGCAAAACTGGAACCTTGTCAAAGGAACATGCGCCACTACAGTATCATATGCAAACCTAGCTTCATCCACCACTCCACCTCCCCAGCAAGGTAGCGGAGGGGGCATTGGCAGGCTAATAGGAAGAATAATTGGTGGTAAAGGTTGATATATTGTGATGTAGTAAGTTGCCAGATCATGTATTTATTTTTTTTGGCAGATCAGTAACAGAATTCTGCCAGTTTAATCCATTGTTAAAATGATACCATGTTCGTCTGGGATTGTGCTTGAGGGTTTTATTTAAGGAAATGAGTGCCATGCCATAGTATGTCCTTCACATGCTTGGGGCACCACAACCCAAAATGGTCATGCAATACATTTTTTAGGGGAAAATTCGACCTAGACATTGTACAGCTTCTCAATCTCCTTCTGCTCGTTCTCCTCCTTGGCGCGGCCATAGACGTCGATGCTAAGGTCCTGCTTGATGTTGTCCGAGTCGTCCACAATGTTCTCCATGTTGAGTACACGCTTGTCCTCCACTGAGAAGTTGAAGTCCGACCTCACCGTGCCCAGCGGCACCAGGTTCCTGCAGTCCGGAGATTTGGGATTGGAACAAGGACATGGATAACTGAGTTTAGAGATTCACCCTATGAATCACATTGGGAGTCATTGACGAAGGGGTGTAGCTACTTTGCGCAAGTAGAGTTCAGTAAGACTTTACCAGGGTGGGAGAAAATGTTCATTCCGTCATTGGAGAGTGGAGAGTCGGATGAGGAGAGGCTTGGGAGGTGGAGGTAGTGTGAGGAGTCGGAAAGGGTGTAGTGTGGCCCAAGGTGAAGTATTCTATGAAAACGGACAATGGACCTTGCAGCGATGATGGCGCCTATTGATTGGGACAGCTGGAGACTAACGAAGGGACCACCCGACGACATTGACACAAGCAGCGTTGCCTCCCGTACGTGGAGTCATCTAATTCAGCCAGTTCGTTCACGCCCTAAATTGACGTTGTCATAACTAGACTTCAAGAACAAACGACATACCTTTGAGAAGCTACGTCTTACAAATTTTAGTCAATTTCGGCTCGGACCCGTTGCCAGAGTCATGTAACAGGACTTGGGGCGTTCAGTGGGAGCTTGGAGAAGAAACTTACAGCAGATGCTCCTGTGGGTGTTGCCTCTTCCAAGTCCTGGACGCGCACTTGGTTCGGAAGTCAAAGTCCTCAGCGAAGACGCCGTTGCTGAATTCGGCAGGAAGGAGAGACGCATCCTGCTTCAGCACAACCCCCAGGGTCGTGCCGGTCACGTGTGTGTAGCAGGTCACACCGCCGTTGTCCATGCACTCCAGCGCGCCTGCGGGGATGGCTTCAATGACAAACACGTCCTGGAGCTTCGCGTTTTCGTCCTTCACGAAGCAGTGCGCGAGGCCGACGGTGACGAAGTCGTCGTCGTTCCAGTCGGGATTCTCGCCTGTCAGGTTGGCAACCACGACGCTGCGTGCAGAGGCAGAGACGGCGCGAACAGAAAGCTTGGCGCTGGTGGCGCGGAGAGCGATTCTGGAGACGGATCCTTGGCAGAAAGCGGAATTTTTGAAGGACACGGACGGGCATGACGCGGCATCCTTGGAATCAACAGGAGACGCGCATGGCGCGGCCAGGCCGGAAACGGCGACCTGGCTGGATAGCGCACTGCAGGCCATTCTGTGAAGGAAGGACTGTACAGGATACTAGTAATTCCTCAGGAACAAGCCTGCAAACACGATGGCTTGCGGTGACTAGATCACTTAGATGAAGTCTCGAACAAGTGATCGCAATTGTCGCTGGAAGCAAGAAGCAGAAGGCTTAGTTTGAAAAGTTGAGCACTTCGGCTTTCCATTTCCTTGGGAATGTCTGTCCCTTCATTGGTGCGATTCTCCCAGGGAGTTCGTGCTCTGGTTCCCCTGTGCTCCTGACTGCCTGCCAGCTAGGTGGGCGAGTGCGTGCATTGCGCTCCGAAAGCCCCGAGGAGGGGGACGAGGCTGCGGTAAGTAAATCCGCCTGCCGAATGAATGAGGAGCACGGAGCGCCTCATCCACGTCCACGTCAGCTGCACGGGCAGCACTTTTCGAAAGGGCCTGCCACATCTGCAGCAATTCCTCGTTCTCGTTAAGAATGCTTATGGATTTTCGATACAGGCGTTTTGAGTAGCAACTTCCAATGACATTAGGAAAACATCCTGCTTTGCGAGCTAAATATTTTTTTTCCTCGCACAATTGAGCCTGATCACGGATTGTGCGTTTTTACCTCCATTTTGCCCATTTTCCCCGAACCCATTCCAGCACGCCTGACCAGCCAACACAGGAATCTCCGCATTCATTTTCCTACACGTTCCCTGACGCCGCCAGTGTTAGTGAAGCAATCTGCGCGATTTCAGGCCGCCGTGCATTCCGGTGACCATGGCGGAACCTACGGCGATGGAAGTGGAGCCAGCTTCCGCTGACTCGAAGCCCTTACCTCGTCCCCTCGCATTCAATGGTAACCACACTAGATGGATGCCCTTTTTCAAGATTCAGGACTATTTAGTATCTCACTGGTAGACCTAATATTACTAGATACTCTTGCATCTTGAATCATGCTGACCTCCCTTCCTGCTGACCTCCCTTCCTGCGGCAGTGCTGCATCTCATCAAGACAGCTCAGGCGCAGCATGGAGGCCGCTACGGCGACTACCAGCGCTACCGGTATGCCTCGTGACTGCCGTGACTCGACGTCGGCTCGCTCATTTTCACTTAACTCCTGTAGTCTTTGACGTTGCCGGTTTAACGGACTTGGCTCGTAATGTTGTTTGAAAGCCTTTACGGTTTCGGCATCTGGGTCTTCGTTCCTGGTTATCTTTCGCCTCTTATGCGTCTTTTTTCGCCCATCACTACTTCCGCCGATCATTCGTACCCAATCACCATTTTCACCGACCCATCATTGCCGTCGTTGCAGCCGTTACTGCTCCGCTCGTCTGCGCCGGCTGTTCCGGTCGCTGCGCTTCCTGCACGGCAAGGGCAAGTACCAGCGCAAGTCGCTCGAGCCCAACACCGTCACCGACGTCAGGTGTGCGGAATGTGCTTGCGGTTTTCCCGCCAATAGTGCAGGTATCAGGTGAGCGGAGTGTGGAATGTGCGTGTAACGACGTCAGGAACCTTCGCCCCCTCTCGCCCCCCCTCACTCCCTCCCCTGGCTCATGAGAAAGAGAATCCCGCTCTCTTTGGTTCCCTCACCTACTAACTTTGCTCGCTTGACTTCCGTTCAGCAAATTCAGCCCAACGCCGTCTTCCTTCTCCTCCCGTCCCCAACTCCCCACCCCCTCATCCCTATCCTTTCTCTCTCTCCCCCACCCCCCATCAGGCATCTGCACATCCCGCTGTTCTCGGCGGAGCGCGCGTGGGCGTACGCGATGGAGCTGAAGCAGGCCATCAGCGAGGCAGGCTCCGCCGCCGCCGCGCAGGCCGCCTTCGCGCGCAAGCGCGCGCACCTGCTGCGCCGCCTGGCGCGCGCCGCCAGATGGGCGGACGGGTTCTCGCGCCTGTGCGCCGCCAGAGCCGACTCCAAGACCGCGTTGGAGGCGGAGGTGAGGGTGGGGGGAGAAGAGCAGGGGGAGGATGGGGGGAGGAAGCGCGGGTGGGGGGGGAGAGGGGGTTGTACGGACCTGGGGTGCATGGGGGATTGGGTAGAACGTGCTCGTTGATGGGGCTGCCCGCTCAATAGTGGCGATTCGTTACTTGTGTGAGGGAGAGTAGTCTAAACGTGATCCCCTTACTGCTTCCTTCCTCGTTCCCCCGTGCGGTGTGTGTGGAGGGGGGGGGGAAGGAGCGTGGGGGGGAGGGAAGGTGGGGGGAGGGAGGGTGAGATGGAGAGGGGTGGGGGGGTGGGAGGGGGAAATGGAGGGGGGTGAGGGGGGAGGAGAGGGGGAGATGGAGGGGAGTGGGGGGGGGAGGGAGGGGTGAGGGGGAGGGGGAGATGGAGGCGGGTGAGGGGGGGAGTGTGTCTGTGTGTGCATGTGCGTGTGCGTTTCTCTGTGCATGCGTGCGTGTGCATGTGTGTGCGCGCGTGTGTGTGATCCTCACAGGCGTATGCGTCCTACATGTGGGGCACGGTGCTCATGGAGCGCGAAACCGACTTCGACGCCGCCCTGCAGAAGTTCAGCCGCGCACGGTGAGCTCGGGGTCGATGGGGGTGTGCGGGTGGAGGGAGGGGGGGAAGGAGGAGTGGGAGGGTTGGGATCGGGAAGGGCTTGGGGCCTGGGGCGCTGCCTTTGCTGTGGCATGACAGGGCAGGGTTGACAGGCCTGACAGAACTGATAGGGCTAAAGGGGCTGCACCCGTTCTTGCAGTTTATTCCAGTTTGCCTGTTTCATTGTGCTGTAATTTGATTTTTGAACCCTCCGATTCCTCAGCCTCGTCTCCCTCTCCCACATCCGCCCTCTGTCCCCTGCTTTTGCCCTCTTCCCTCTTCCCACCCGCCCTTTCTCCCCTGCTTTTGCCCTGTTCCCTCTCCCGACCCGCCGTTTCTCCCCTGCTTTTGCCCTCTTCCCTCTCCCCACCCGCCGTTTCTCCCCTGCTTACCTTGTTCCCTCTCCCCGCCCACCCTTTCTCCCCTACTTATCCCTGTTTCTCTCCCCTGTCCACCATATCCCACTTTTGTCATCCTCCCTCTCCGACGCCTGACTTCTCTTCTCTACTTGTACCCGTTGCCCATTCCCCACCTCCCCCCTCACCCCCCCCCATGCGCCCTCCCCACACGCCCTTCCCCCACTTGCCCACCCTCCTGAGAGCACGCAGCACGGTGTATGAGCAGCTGGGGCGGGTGGGAGACGTGGAGGAGCAGATGGAGTGCCGGCAGCGCGCGGAGGAGATGGAGCCCAGCATCCGCTTCTGCCGCTACAAGATGGGCGCCCACGCCCCCAACGCCGACTCCTCCGCTGCCGCATCCAACCTGCTCGACCTCTCCGCACATGAGGGGCCCGGGGCTGACCTGCTGCAGTCCAAACTCGAGGTGCGGTGGTGGGTGAAGGAAGGGCATGCAGTGGCCTTGACTATCACCTCTTTGACGCAGTCTTGCTTATCTTGTCCACGTATCGTTGCTGCTTGGCCATTGTTCTCTCTTCTCTCTTCCGTCTTCTCTCTATTGTCAGCCTTTGGTCCTTGCATTTTCTTCTATCGTTCTCGAACTCCATCCCTCCGCATTTGTGCTGCTGGTCTGTGCCACACTTTTGTTCCCTCCAACTCAACCACTCACATTACACATGCAGGCGGTAATGGAGGAGGCGCGGTCACGCGAGGCAGCGAACCTGGCGGAGCTTGACTGGCTGGGGCGCAAGTACTCTGTGCTCAACGCCAAGACACGCGTCTGCATCCTCAAAGGTGCCCTTGGACTTGCAGGGGAGGAGTTCGGTTGTTACGTTGTTACGCTGTTACGCTGTTAGGCTGTTACGCTGTTAGGTTGTTACGCTGTTACGTTGTTACTGTTAGGCTGTTACGATGTTAGGCTGCTAAGCTGTTACGCTGTTACGCTGTTAGGCTGTTACGCTGTTAGGCTGTTTCGCTGTTAGGTTGTTATGTTGTCAGGGTGTTACGCTCTTAGGCTGTTACGTTGTTATGCTGTTACACTGTTAGGCTGTTAATGCGTTAGGCTGTTACGCTGTTAGGCTGTTGCGCTGTTAGGCTGTTACGATGTTAGGCTGTTACGGTGTTATGTTGTTAAGCTATTAGGCTGTTACGTTGTTAGGCTGTTACGCTGTTACGCTGTTAGGCTGTTACGCTGTTAGGCTGTTACGCTGTTAGGCTGTTACGCTGTTAGGCTGTTACGCTTTTAGGCTGTTATTGTGTTAGGCTGTTACGCTGTTCGACTGTTAGGCTGTTATGCTGTTAGGCTGTTACGCTGTTAGGCTGTTACGCTGTTAGGCTGTTACGCTGTTAGGCTGTTACGCTGTTAGGCTGTTACGCAGTGAGGCTGTTACGCTGTTAGGCTGTTACGCTGTTACGTTGTTAGGCTGTTACGCTGTTACGCTGTTAGGCTGTTACGCTGTTAGGCTAGTACGCTGTTAGGCTGTTATACTGTTAGGCTGTTGCGCTTTTAGGCTGTTAGGCTGTTACGTTGTTACGTTGTTACGCTGTTACGCTGTTAGGCTGTTTCACTGTTAGGCTGTCACGCTGTTATGCTGTTACACTGTTACGTAGTTACGCTGTTAGGCTGTTACTGTGTTAGGCTATTACACTGTTAGGTTGTTAGGCTGTTGCACTGTTAGGCTGTTACGTTGTTAGGCTGTTACGCTGATAGGCTGTTACGCTGTTAGGCTGTTACGCTGTTAGGTTGTTACGCTGTTAGGCTGTTACGCTGTTAGGTTGTTACGCTGTTAGGCTGTTACGCTGTTAGGCTGTTATGCTGTTAGGCTGTTACGCTGTTAGGTTGTTTTGCTGTTAGGCTGTTACGTTGTTACGTTGTTACTCTGTTAGGCTGTTACGATGTTCGGCTGTTACGCTTTTAGGTTGTTACGTTGTTAGGCTGTTACGCTGTTAGGCTGTTACGTTGTTACGCTGTTACGCTGTTAGGCTATTACGCTGTTAGGCTTTTACGCTGTTACGCTGTTATGCTGTTACGCTGTTAGGCTGTTACGCTGTTAGGCTGTTACGCTATTAGGGCGTGTTACGTTTTCGTTTTAGCCGTTTCCTCCAGACGATGGTCCGCAAACCGTACTAAATACGCGTACTGACGGTTCTGGCATCGCGCCCGGACGGAGGTTAGTCCTGGCGGGAAATCTGGAACATTTTTCCTTCTCGAAATTGGAAATAGTGTAACACTAGATACTGGTTACTGAGGTGCGCTCAGAGTAAAACCGCGTTGCGCGACTTATGATTGGGGGAAGGTAATTCGTTTGAAATCTTCGTAGGCCAATCAAATGACGGTTTGGTTGCTCTTTCCGGCGGACGGACAGGAGTCGTTCGGACAATTATGTACACCGAAAATTGTAAGTTGTTTCAACGTTGGTACGTACAGCAGCGACATCGCATGGTGACAGGCGAGAATTTTCATGATGTGTGACGAAAACGGTTACCCTACAAATGTCCGGACGGCCCACGGTACGGACCATGGAAGTGAAAAAATGTAACACGCCCTTAGACTGTCACGCTGTTAGGCTGTTACGTTGTTAGGCTGTTTCGTTGTTACGCTGTTACCCTGTTAGGCTGTTACTGAGTTAGGCTGTTACGCTGTTAGGCTGTTACGCTGTTAGGCTGTTAGGCTGTTACGCTGTTAGGCTGTTACGTTGTTAGGCCATTACGCTGTTATGCTGCGATGCTGTTCGGCTGTTACACTGTTAGGCTGTTACGTTTTTGCACTACTACGCTGGTAGGCTGTTAGGCTTTTAGGCTGTTACTGTGTTAGGCTGTTACGCTGTTACGCTGTTAGGCTGTTATGCTGTTAGGCTGTTACGTTGTTAGGCTGTTACGCTGTTAGGCTGTTACGTTTTTGCGCTGTTACGCTGTTAGGTTGTTACGCTGTTAGGCTGTTATGCTGTTAGGCTGTTACGCTGTTATGCTGTTGCGCTGTTAGACTGTTGCGCTGTTAGGCTGTTACGCTGTCAGGCTGTTACGTTGGTACGCTGTTACGCTGTTAGTCTGTTAGGCGCTGTTAGTCTGTTAGGCTGTTATTGTGTTAGGCTGTTACGCTGTTAGGCTGTTACGCTGTTAGGCTGTTAGGCTGTTACGCTGTTACGCTGTTAGGCTGTTATGCTGTTAGGCTGTTACGCTGTTAGGCTGTTACGCTGTTAGGCTGTTACGTTGTTATTTATAGGGAGTTGGTTGGGTGGTGGAAGTGTGGATGAGTGGGTGAGAGAGGTGGGAATGGGGGGAATGCTCGGCCCTGCTAACTTGTCTATCCGTTTTGACTCGTTGACTGCTGATGACCCGTTGTTCCCAACAGCACAGCAGCTGGAGGCTGATGTGGCATCTTCTGACGTGGCAAACGACCGTCGGCTGAACCTGTACGACAAGATCTTTGTGGCATACCACGATGCCAAGCGGCTCATTCGCGATGACATGGTACGAGCCGTTGATATGAGCTGGCATGGTGTGAACCGTTGATATGAGCTGGCATGGTATGAGCCGTTGATATGAGATGGCATAGTGTGGACCGTTGATATGAGATGGCATGGTGTGAACCGTTGATATGAGATGACATGGTGTGAACCGTTGATATGAGATGACATGGTGTGAACCGTTGATATGAGATGACATGGCGTGAACCGTTGATATGAGATGACATGACATGAGCCATGGATACGAGATGGGGCATCGTATGTGCCACCACATGGGGCATGGTATGAGCCATGGATTCGACATGGGGAATGGTATGAGCCATGGATTCGACATGGGGCATGGTATGAGGTATGGATATGAAATGAGGCATGGTATGAGGTATGGATATGAAATGAGGCATGGTATGAGGTATGGATATGAAATGAGGCATGGTATGAGGTATGGATATGAAATGAGGCATGGTATGAGGTATGGATATGAAATGAGGCATGGTTTTCAGAAGGAGCGGATCACCTTTTATGCCGTTCTCACTATTCTATTTAAGTGCCGCAGTTGGTTACGACTTTTAACTGGCTGCGAGCCATTCATCCCCCTCCCCACCTTTCTGCCCTTACTCTCCTGCTCGCCCCCCCACACCTCCCCTCCACGTTCCACAGGTAGCAGCGGGCGGGGCGGAGGACGTGAAGGAGCAGCTGGCAGCACTGGAAAGGGCGGTTTCGTGCCTGGTGCTGCAGCGCACCATCCACCGCAACCTGCTGCTCGTCAATTCCCCCCCCTCCTCTCTCCTCCCCCCCCCCTCCTCTCAGGTGGCAGCGGGTGGGGCGGAGGATGTAAAAGAGCAGCTGGCGGCACTTGAGCGAGCCGTGTCGTGCCTGGTGCTGCAGCGCACCATCGATCGCAACCTGCTGCTCGTTGCTGGCGCCAAGGCGCGGCTTGAGAGGCAGCAGCAGCAGCAGCAAGGGGGTGTGCAGGGGGGGCAGCAGGGGCAGGGCAAGGGGGCGGGCGGAGGAGGTGAGGGGAAGAAGGGGAAGCGGGAGAAGGGGCGGGAGGAGAAGGAACGGGAGAAGCCTGCAAGGCCAGAGGACCTTATACGGCTCTATGACACTCTGCTGCAGGTGTGTGGGGTGGTGGAATGCAGTTGGGTGGCACGACACCATATGTGCACTCGCGAGTCGCGACCGAGTGTTTACGAACCTGCCTGGCTGACTGACTGGGGGTTTGGGAATCCCTCTTCATGTGCAGAATGCATCAGACCTGGCGGACCTTGCAGCATCAGGCAGGGACGCCCGCGCCGAGGAGAAGGCACTGCAAGCTCAGCTTGAAGCTAACAAAGCCTGCTACCAGGCCTGCAGGTATTGCTGTTACCGGGGCTTCAGCCTTCTGCTTATCTGGGCATCCTTTCTTGTGCCTTTTCCCTCTCAAACCCACCCTTTTTTTTCAAGTTCTTCCCAATGTTCATTCTGCCCGTTGTTTCCTCCTCTGCAACCCCTCCTCCCTCCTTTCCCCCTTTATTCCGCGGTCCTCCGCCCTTCCTTTCCCAGGGCATTCTACGTGGCACTGGCGTACCAGGCGGCGGAGGCCTACATGGTGTTTGAGTCGACTTAAAATTCTCCCTCCTTTCTCCTTGTCTCCCTTCCACCCCAGGGCGTTCTACGTGGCACTGGCGTACCAGGCAGCAGGCAAGGATGCGGAGGCCTACGTGGTGTTTGGCAGGGCGGCAGCAGATGCAGATCAGGCAGCCAAGGGACTGCAGAAGCTGCAGGAGGGGTTGGGAGCGCAGGGAGGAAAGGGCAAGAGCAAGGGCAAAGATAAGGTGCGACTCTGTTTGCTACCTTTTTTTTCTGTTCTAGCATCAAGAATGCTTGCACCAGAGCATTCGTGTGATCGTCACCGCTCGGCGTGCTGTGTGTCCCCACCTCACCCCATCCATACACACATGCATGTGCGCAGGCATCAGAGGAAACGGCGGAGGAGAGGGAGGTGCAGGAGGTGGTGGTGCGCAGCAAGGCACAGCGGTGTGCCATCCATGCGCGTGCCACCCTCGACGCCATCAGGGCCAAGGACCCCGCCGCCCTTGAGAAGGGCGTGGCAGAGCTCTCCCTGCGCGCCAAAGACAAGGTCCGTGCCTGGTGTTGTGTTTATTGGTGAAGCATGTGTGTGAGTAGGCCCACACTGGTTTTTTTAATAGCTGTATTTATCCAGCCTTCATTGTTCTCCTACTCAGATTTCGTTTGTGTCTTGTGCCGTGTTGTGTCCAGCAGCAGGTGGATGCCAAATACATGACTGAGAACCTGAATGAATTCGTTAGTGCAGTCACTGTGGACTCCACTCCAGGCTCCAAGCTCGTTCCCCACATTGCTCGAGTGCCACCACCCTTCCAAGCGGTGCCCTGCCGGCCCATTGTTCTTGACACCGCTCTCAACGCGATCAATTTCCCGGATCTTGCGGGCCGGGCCAAGAAGGAAGGCAAGAAGGCAGGTGGTCTCTTCAGCGCTTTCTGGGGTGGGGGCCGATCATGATCGTGTGGAAAAGGGATGTTGTTAGACAATAGGGGAAGAAGGTGGGCAGCATCTGAAAGTCACTCGAGCATTCCAGTGGATCAACACTTGCTGTCGCTTGTTTCCAAATGATAGGACTTGATGGACCCTTTTATATGGATTTTTGGAATCTTTGATGGTTGATTTACAATGGTCCCACTCCGAACAGTTTAGTCCCCCACTCCAAACTGTTTAGGTCATAAATTGCAGCTCTTTACAACGAATTTGCTGCTCGAATCTTCCATAGCACGCCACCAGTGACGCCATTGGAATGTTCATGTCTTTGACACGTGTTCTCTGAAGACTGCTCCACGCCGAAATCATTCCCAATGATGTGGGAAAAAAATCTGCTCCCTCATTCGTTGTTACCATGAGTGCTGACAGAAGCCGTCGATTCGCCCTCGATCCACGAGTATGGCTAGGCGTTGGGAATGCCGATGCCCAACCTCGAGGAGCGCCACGGAGGGCACCCGAGATTTGAGCTGGTGTCTGCTTTTCAGGTTCTTGCATTTCCAGCTTATGCAAAGCTCTTGTTTCTCCATAAAGTTGTGGCTTACTTTTTCTCCTTTCTTCGAGCAGAACCAAGATCTCACCTTCCTCGTTCATGCGTTCGGCTGCTTTCGTCGGCGCTCTGTTTGGTAACTACTCTTGATACGTCCACACACATCCATACCAACGTGCTTGATATCAAAGTAGCATCCATGGCATCCGCAGTGTCTAGCATCCCCTCGACCCAGGCCGCTGCCGTTAACAATGCCGTGTCAGCGTCTTCACGAAAGTCTGCATCGACGAATGCTGTCTCGTTCACGTCTACCTTTCTTCACTCGTCAAAGCCGATTACGGCCGTCCGTTCTCGCAAGCCATGCGTTTCTCGCAAGGGAGTCTCCGTTCGTGCCATGGTGGCTTCGACCGACGCTGTTTCCTTCTCAGCCAAGGAGATGGAGCGAGTTGCAGCGAAAGAGGCTCTCCTTCTCGCGGTAAGGCCATAAGTCTTCAGATGGCGGCGATAAGTTCGGGAATCACACGACATTCATGCACAGACTCACTGGGTTTGAACCTGTATTTTGTTGCGAAGCTCCTGCTATAAGGGAAATAACTTGGATCGCATGTGTAGGTGCTGCTCCGTTTGTCTGACGTCGTAGCTACTGTATTCCTGATATCAGGTGAAGGACGCGGGTGGCGCGGAGGCCCTGAGCACAGGCAAGGGCAATGCGGCCGGGAAGATTGAGGTTAGCGAGAAGCTTCTGCAGCTGGAACGCCTTAACCCCACCCCACGACCCACTACGTAAGCTCCAATGTCTACAAAGCTGAGTGTGACAAAATTTTGCCTATCAGAGCATTCGGGATATCACTCGTGCGTAGCTTGTCTGTGCCTCCATTTACTGTTCGTGTGGCTGCAGGTCGCCTCTCTTGGAAGGCACGTGGGACATCGTGTGGGCAGCTACTCGCAACCCAGGTGTCATCGCTACCCGAGTGCTGCTCAAGTAAGCCCCATTGGTTTGTTTGTGGGCCTAAATGCTCTGTTTGCCTCATCAGGTTATTGCATCAGGTTGATTTCTGTTTTTTACTGGTAAAACAATTTTGTGTAATCCCATTCCCTCCTTATCTCTTGCGTTTTGTTGTCTCTCCTCGTTCCATCTAGGCGGTTCCCTACGCAAGTGGCATCACTGGAGTCACTGCAAGTGCAGATCCTGGAGGGTTCCACCAAAGTGACGGCCGGCCTCAAGTTCCTCTCCACGGTACGAGTTTGGAATGGTCGCAGTTTGAAGGGAGCATGTTGTGTATGCAGCAATCGACACAGCGATTGAACACTGAAATTCTTGTTTGGAACAAGCTTTGCTGTCTGGAAGTGAGCTGAATGTTATCGTTCAGTCACAGGCATAGGCGGTCATTGCTTGATAGATTCGTGTTCAAAAGCATACTGTGAGGTGGCACCACGGGTGCGCAAGGGCTTCTTATGCCGTTTCTTGCTACTTCTATTTCTCACAGAGTGTCCCTCTTTCCCACCATGTCGTTGTTGCCATCAGGCTGAGACTACAGTCACTGTGACAACTCGTCTGGCCGTTGAAGGCCCTGTCAGGTAAGAATATCAGCTTGACGCATGGTTTGTTGCTCGAGCCCCGTGGAACGTTCCCCTCCATTCCCTCATTTCAGAAACTTCTGACTTGCTGACTTCCGGTTGATACTACTTCTTAATAACAGAATTAAGGAAGAGTATGCTGAAGCCGTGGTGGCTACCCCTGTGGTGCCGGATGGCAGCATCCCGTCAGCCCTCAAAGGTGTCTTTGATCAGCTAGCTTCTGCCAGTCAATCACTCCCTGCTGCTCTGAAGGACTCTCTTTCCTCAGGCCTCAAGCTCCCGCTCAGTAAGTTCTCCACATGCTTCACCTATTCAGTGGTTGTTTACACCTTTGGAGTTCTGGCCAGTGATGCTGGTTTTGTATCATGTCCCTCCTTGGCATCCAGATGGTGTGCTGACAGGCTATATATTTCATTCTTCTCCCTGTCCAGGTGGCAGATATCAGAGGGAGCTGATTATCTCGTACCTTGATGATGAAATTCTGGTAAGATATAAGGAGCTTGTGAATATCAGCATTTTTTCCATTCTGACAGTTTTTGGGGGTTGTAGCTTGCCTGCATGGCAACATGTTACTGCTGGATGAAGAACCATCTTTGTGTTTTTTGCCTCTTCAGGTGGTCCGAGACCAAGCTGGACTGGCTGACGTGTTGGTGCGAGCCGCAAGCGCTACTACCACTCCCCCTCCTGGGGATGAGACTGAAATTGATGAGCCCACCGAGTAGACCAAACGCATTTAACATGTATGCCTGTACATGTCACCTCTTGTGTTTTGTAGCTCATGTTTCTAAAGTTATAAGGAGTAGTGTTCCCAGGAATCCAGATGAATGTATGGGTTCCATTAGTACATGAGTGCAGACTAAATTTTCAGTGTTTAACTTATAAGATACATATCAATGGAGGTTGGGGTAAAGACTCAAACGTGGCAACGACCCGTTAGAAGCACGATCTGGCAGAAGCGCGTATAGAATCAGTTTGCCTCGAGCCTTGATTGACTGTCACGTCCCAAGACAAGGAGGCTTGGTTCGGAGGATGGTACAGTAGTGGCACGCAAACATCGTGCCCACGAAAAGGTACCCATTTTTTCGAGGCCCCTACGCTCACAGGTTTGATTTGAACGGTTACGTCGGGGAGATGCCTTGGGGAGGTTTCGCAAAGTGCGCCTCGTCTCCCCAGCCTATCCCCCCAAACCCATAACAAGCCGAAAATTGCCCAACAAGCCGAAAATTGCCCAATCAGCTGCGAGACATTTCCCCAAACCATGACCAATCGACCCCCCGCATCGCGAACCTCTGTTGGCCAGCGGTATTTGCGAGGAATTCAGCCTTGGAATTTTCGGGAGCGCGTCCTTGGCCCGTGATTATCAAGGGGGCCAGGCGAGTCTTCTCATGTCGGTACAACAAATACTTCAGTAGCTCTTCCCTCGACATAGTTTGTACCGTCTTGTCCTGTCAGACTTCATCAATCATTACTCCTGCGAAGACGAACGTTTTAGTCGGCGAACTGAGCGCTTGCCACCTTTGTTCCTCATTGGTGATTGCTCTTTGGGACGAATGGTTAAGTAGCTCGCGACATTTGAGGTTAGATAGCTTCAGTTAATGATCCGTGCTTTGCGCACCAATTGTGACTGTTTTGGTGGTAGGTCATATATAGTACGAAATAGCCGCCGCTGGCAGCAGCTCCAGCAGCGTCGACCCCTCAGTTCGCAATGGACGATACGCGAATCAGCATCGTCGCGGGGTTCATCGCAGGTGTCGCAGAGGTCCTCGTGGGATATCCGTTCGACACGGTGAAGACACGAATGCAGTCGCAGGATCACGCGGAGTCGCCACTGCTTCCAGCTCACCGTGACAGCAACAGCCATGGCTGCTCGGGTCAAAACCGAGCGCCTAACAATCAGCATTACAGCTCACCGTGGAGCTGCGCGGTCGCAACGTACAGAGCCGAAGGAATTGGTGGCTTCTACCGCGGTATTGCCGCTCCGATGCTACAAGTAAGCCCGAAATCACCATTAATTGTGCTCTTGTCCGCCCGCCTATGCTTGTCTTCACCACTCGTCGCCGGAATGCAGGACTTAAAGCCGCTCTGTCAACCCGGATCATCCCTGAGCCAGAATTCTCGTTTGACACGGTTTCTGCCTCGTTTTGATCGTGCAGGAAGCGGTGGGCGTGGCTCTTCTCTTCGGCACGCGCGATTGGCTCCGAACAGCAATAGGTGCTGATATCAGCAGACCAGGGCTATTTATCCTAGCCTGCTCCATCATCGGCCTGTTAGAGTCTTTGATATACTGCCCACTTGATCATCTAAAGACCCGCATTCAGGTCCGCGGACAACGGCTGAAACACCAAATACTGCATTCGTCTACCGCTCCCTCTCTCCCGCCCCTGGATTCCTCCAAGCATTCGTCTAACAATGCGAAGGCTTCCGCGATTAACGCGATTGGATTCCCGATTGGAGGGTTGGGACACGAGGGAGCATGCGTATCACTCTCGCTAGCGCCGACTACTGCGTACTGCATAGGCGTAGGTCCGGGTCTCTTGGCGTCGAAGGAGACGCACGGGGATTTGCCTCCTCTAGGCTTCACCATGGGCGTGGTGATGGGGAAGGACATGCACGGCGAGCTGATAGGTATCTTCAGCGCCGCTCGCAGCGTTATGCGGGCGAGGGGAGTGCTGGGATTGTACCTGGGGTTCGTCCTGCAGGTGTGCAAGGAGATGCTGGGCAATGTCGCCCTGTTCGCCACGTATGATGTGGCTCTGGCGCTCTTCAGTGGCACCAGCCTCGTGCCTGGGGGAGCGCATGGAGCGCACATGCACGGCGGCCAATCGTGGATGGCAATCTGGCCTGCGGGAAGCCTTGCTGGAATGGCCTATTATCTGGTAAGCACATGTGAGCGAGGAGGTTAAAAAAACGAGGATTCATTATATCCCGCTATTCTTTCTTCACAAACACCAATTATTCACACCTAGAATTCAAAACATCTGGTATATCCCCTGTGCCCCTCCTTTCCAGATTGGCTTCCCGTTTGACACGATCAAGACTCGCCTACAGACTGACTCCCTCACGCACCCTCGCTATCGGGGCTCCCTCCACTGCGCATGGCACGTGCTGCGCCATGAGGCTTCTTTCTCCGACCTCTATAGAGGCGTCTCTGCTTGCCTCGCTCGGGCAATTCCAGGTTGTGCTGTGCAATTTTTTGTCTTTGAGGCTGCTCACCAGTTCGTCTCTCAGCTGGGGTCTCAGATAGTCCCCAGCATACAACCCGATGGCAGACTGGGAATAGGCGGCTTTGCATATGATGGAAGTACAATAGCAGCAGAGCAGGAGAAGTTATGGGACTTGCTTGCTGGGTGGAGTTAATGGGGAACGCTGATAGGTATATATGTTTTGTTTGTGTGTTGGTGAGATGGCATATTGAGTGCACCTTTGGTGCACCTTTGCCTTCTGTTTTTGAAAGCTGACATGCCTTTCAGGCTGCTTACAGTAGAGAATCCCAGAGGCAGTTTCCAGGAGTGCGATATCCTGCCACGTTCAGCATCAGGTGCATCATTGGAATTAAACTCAAAAATATGATGCAATATAGCCTATGTAACAGATGCATAGCTGCAACTCACCATGTTTGGTTTGAGTTGTACTACCAAAGAGCACGGGAGCAGCCGGTTTCATTATGGAGGTGCATCTCACTGTATCTATGTGGTCTTCAGGTTGCAAGTAAATTTGCGGCTGCCCAAAGCAATCTATAATGGCGCCATCTACCCACACACCTCCGCAGCATGGACGAGCGGAACAGACAAATGATGGCTGTAAACTTACAGTCGCGCTGGACTGATGACGTGTAGCTCTCGTGCTGGCTGATGGTGACCCTATCTGAGCTGTGTTCTTGCTGCTGGTTGACCTGCTTCGTCCTGGTTCTGCGAGTACAACTTTTTAGGTGCTAGACTTGCATTCGGTATAGACAGAATAACGTTTAGTGTGACAGAAACACACCCAAGAGCGTTCTATCACATGCGATACTGTAAAGTGACATTTCGACCCAAGGCGGTTAAGAGAGTTGTGTTACGTTTAGACAGTGATGTCTGCGTTTAGACATGTCTGTAGCCCGTTCTCACGCTGGTGAGAAGGTAAAGAAAGAGGGTGTAGCCTCTCGTGACAACAATCCACGCAACTGGGACTTTCTGCCATCCAGACCATTCGTCTCTCAATCCAGTGAGTGATTTTCGATTCCAGGTTCTGCCAGATTGTCCTGGTTCTTGGTGCCAGAATGTTCGGCCACATCGTGAAACTGCAGAGTGGAAGGAACCCAGAGGGTGGGGGCATCGGACAGGCCTCGTAAAAAATCCAGAAGAGCGGACGATGTTGTTTCTTGACTTGAGATAATGTGCTTTGGCACTTTCATTCTCACGCCGCAACTGTATTAACCTGTGGATTTTGGGGTTAACCTGCCCGCAACTGTATTCACTTGTGGTGTAAAACCGATTGTCCTTGAAACAAAAGGGAAGAGAAATGAACTCTCTTGTAGCAGTTGCCCAAGTTACCCTGTCTGACTACAGTTTGCTTCTGGTCGTTTTCAACTGAGCTTTCGTTAACCAAACCATACAGCTGGGTGGGTTTCCTCCACCCCACCCCACCCTCCCCACATGTCCCTTCCAGTCCCTCCCACCTCCCCCGCCCGCACACTTCGATGCCCAGCTGTCGGCCATTGAAACAAACCCTTCCATCATCATTCACCAAGCCACCTTGGAAATGCCAATGGCTGTTGATGACGCCTGCCGCTGTAACCTGCTCCTCCTCACCCCTCGCGGCTTGCTGCTTTTTCTGGCTTCTTGCTGGATCTCAGCCTAGCTCCTCAGAGCCAATGACGATCGCTCGTCTTGGACTGTTATATGCAACCCTCCCACAACTTCCCCCTAAACCACGTAAATGTATGCTGAGGATCTGATTCACTGTCTGTAATTCAAGCTCAACCTCGAAGCTGGAGGAAACCCCAGCTCAACTCACGCCTTTTGCTGTTCGCTGCTGTGTGCTTTATTGGATGTCAATCCCAAGATCTCAGTATCCTGATAGATGTGAATTTGTTCCGACTTAGCGTTTATTCCAAATAAAACGACGTTTTCCAATCGTCCGACGCTCTCATTTTGAGAAGTATGGATATCATCTCGAACTCACTATTGGTAGTACTATAGTACCCACGTTTTCCTATTTTTTAGTCTATCTGATTTGAGTTTTGCGACGCGACTCATTGGCTTAAACTGAACTTCAGTTCGAACGTTTGTGCGTCAGTAATACCATGGAGTCACAAGGCAATGCATCCGGATCGTTCGTACCGTCACACAGCCGCCCCCTTATGCTTCCGCCATCGTCGTCGGCCACAGTCAGCACTTTCGACTCCGAACGTGTTAATTCCGCGTCAATGGAGGATGGGTTTGGGTTTCGGGGTAGTGGCAGCGGGGGTGACGCCGATGGCGGGGAGGACGAACCGAGTCCAGCGTCCGGTGGGTTTCAACTTGAACGGGGAGCAGAGCCGGGGATAATAATGCTTGGTGGTCATCGCACGCGACCTAATTGGACGCCTCAGGTAATCCTCTGTTACGTAACAAGCTTTCATGCACATTTTTTCATTATGCCGTTCATATTTTACGTAGACACGGTTACAAGCCTGCTGAGCTCCAACATGTCCTTCCGCTCCCTTAATCCCTGTTCCTTTTCTCAGGAGGATTTAATTCTTCTGCAGCACGTGGCGAAGCATGGGACTCGCAACTGGGGGTCGCTTCAGATCGGCGGTTTGCTGCCGATTCGCGATCAGAAGGCCTGCTGCAACCGATTTATCCTTTTGAAAAAGTGCGACGATTTATTTCTTTCAGTGCTTTCTCGAAGTTCGTGTAAGGGACTTGCGAAGTTTGGGTGAAGAGTAGAAAAGTCGTTTTAGTAGCTCTTGAAGTACACCCACGAATGTCTCGATGTATCTTTGGAGGAATTGCTTCTATCGCGAACAACATTATACATTTTCCGGATTTCCAACCCTCGGATCTTATCCTTATCTTTTTGCTGGCGTGCTTTTGCCCTCCTCCACCCTCGTTCCAGGCGTTGCATCAAGGACAAGCGCAGTCTGTCGCAGCTGCTGCAGCGCGCTAAGGACGCCGTTATTCATGACGCAGCCAGGAATGTCAACGCAGCCGCAGCTGGAGCCGCCGGTTCTTCGTTTGTTGCCGGAGCCGCGCAAGCGTCGTCCTTCCACCATGCGTCTTCGGGATCGCCGCATACCGCGGGTGGTTTCGCTGGATCGTCTTCAGCCCTTCACGCTGCTGCCGCGGCGCTAAACCCCCTTGAGGTGCTGCCGGTACGCCTTACACGCTGTATCCTGTTCTTTTTGGTTCAACCGTCTCTTCATTCTTTATTCCATCGCCGTCCTTTAACTCAGTCCCTGCGACGAATGCGATCGTTTCTCGTTTCCGTACTGTGCTACTGATCGCAGAAAGACGGTATTCTTAGTCATGACGTGCCGGCCCTTACATGGAAAGCTGTTGGATGAACATCAGTTGATAAGCGTAACTGACGTTTCCCCCTTCGACTTGTCTTCATGTTTTCCAGGCTCTTACTTCGCCCAGCATCGGCATTAACAGCCAATCACGGGTCTCCTTCAAAGGGGGTGGCGTCGTAGCTGACGTTAGCCGGCCGATGTTTCCTTCTGTAACGTCAACGTCAGCAGCGACGTCGCTTCCCGAAAATGTCCTCCGTGCGACGCTGCTGCGCTCAGCCTTGGCGTCGGCAGCAGGGGGTCCTGCAGACGCCTCCCAACCCCTGCAGCAGCAGCTGTTGCAGCAGCAGTTACTGCAGCAGCACTTGCTACAGCAGCAGCAGCAACAGCAACAGCAACAGCAGCAGCTTAGCTTGTCGCAACAGAGCGCGCAGCATCAGTTGTTGCAGCAGCAAGCAGTGCTGCGCCAGTTCGGTATGCAGCAGCAGCAACAGCGACAGCAGGAGACACAGTTGGCTGCACTGATGCATCAGAAGCAGCAATTATCTCAGTCCAGCTTCAGCCAGGGATCGTTGCAAGGGATAGAGGGTCGGCAAGAGGCGCAGATGCAAGCGCATATGCAAGTGCAAGTGCAGATGCAAGCACAAGTGCAACTGCAGGCTGAGCCTAGACTGTTGCAGAATCAGGCGAGAGAGCAGCAGCAGTCGCAACTGCAGTCCGTGCAGCAGGCTCAACAGCAGCAGCAGGTTCAGGAGTTTTCTCAGAGTCTTCCGCTGGACGGGCTGCAGCTGGATGAGGCGCAACTGGCGTGGCTGAAGCAGGCGCACATAGAGGCTCAGCGGTTCACGCTCTCCCAGGTGCACGCGAGCAAAGGGGAAGAGCAGGGGCACGGGTTGCAAGGCGGACAGCAGCGAGGGCAGCAGGGGGGACAGCAGGGAGGGGGTAATAATGGTGAAGACGCGGGAAGGGGAGAGCAGGGTGCAGGTCATCAAAGAAGTGAGTGTGCAAACGATGGGAGGGGGGACGTCGCACAGCAGGAGTCGGACCTGCAAGGCGTGGATGCTCACAAACGGCAGCAGTTGCAACAGCAACAGCAGCAGCAGCAGCAGCAGCAACAGCAGCAGAGTGCGAGCATGTCCATGCAGCTAGCCAACCTGAGGTGAGTTATTGTGCCGTTGGCCCAAATTGCACAAGTTTTAAAAGGATGACACGAGGGGGCTTTTCTGGTCTGGGTTTTGGCGAGTGATTCCGATTTCGTTTTTTTATGTTTTTTTTTTTTATTTTTTTTTTTTTTTCGCCAAACCCAGCCTGCCCTGGTATTTCGCCCTGGGGGTTTGGTTCAGTCCCCAAAAGTCCCAAATTGCAAGCGCGCTTCTTTTCAAAGTTTGCAAACACTACTTCGTCAAGCTTTAAAAGCTTGACCTGCGCGCTCCGCAATTTGGGCTGCGGGCTTTAATTCATACGCTTTAAACGCGCTCCATCCACCCTCTCATCCCTCACATTATTGTCCTCTCCTTCCTTCCATCGCAGGTCGCAGGTGGGACTTCAGCCCGGGTCGCTGCTCGCCCAAGCACTCAAGCTCTCCCACCAGCCTTCCTTCGCAGCCGTCTCCAATCTCCCCTTCTTCTCTAATTTCCGCTCTGCCACCGCCCCTCACTCCTCCGCGCACCCCACCGAGCCCCATGCATCATCGCCCCACACAGCTACCCTGTCATCTACCAGCACTGTAGCTGCTGCTGCCGCTGCTGCACCTGCAGGTGCTACAGTGTCAGCTCCCAATTCATCAAGCCCTGCCTGGAGCGAGCCCGCGTTCCCCACTGTGCAGTCTGGGGAGGTAACTGACCGCTTCTCTTCCTTCAGCGATTCGCAGTTCGCCTCTGCTGCTGAAATCGGTGCCACTTCGTCCGCGACTGCTGCAGGCATGATGTCAGCTGCTGCATCGGCAGGCCTCGATGCCGGTTGTGGTGGTGCTGTTGTTGGTGGTGGTAGCAATTTAGGGAGTAGAACTGTTGGTGGTGGGTTAAGCAATGCATTGCCTGGGGGCAATGACAGTGGGAGGGAGGGTGGTTCGTTCACCACTGTACTTCGGATGTCCTCAGCTGCCTTCCAGCACCAGCAACAGCAGCAGATGCTGCTGCGACAGCAGTGGAGTGGGCAAGCGGGTGGGGGCCAAGAGAGTGGGGCAGCCAGTGCAGAGCCTTCCGTGCATGTGTGGAGGCCAAAGGAAGACACGGCCTGGTTCCAGCAGCTGGGGCAGTCAGGAGTTCTTGCGAAGCTTGCTGGAGGCATGGACGGGGAGGGCGGGGAGGCGGAAAAGTCAACAGCAGCACCCGCTGCAGGAGGGGGGTCAGGAGCAGGAGCAGAAAATCAAGGGTCTGAACGGGGAGGAGGAATGCTATTGCTGGCAGAGCCTACGTCTGCCAATGCAAGCAGACATGACACCCCGAGAGAGCATCAGCAGGAGAAGCTTCAGTTTGACGGCAAAAGGCATGACCAGCCTGTCGATGCAAGCAACCCCCCTCCATTGCAGGAGCCGCAGCAGCAGCAGAATGAGGCGCGTGATGGGACTCATCAATTGGGCCAACAGGCTTCCATGCTGGGGTTGCAGCATTCCCGCAGGCCTGATGCAATCTTGGATGCCCTCACATCGGGGTCGCAGTCATGGGTGGGTCAGGCGGGGCGCTGGGTGGACGAGCATCAAATGCAGTGGAGGATGCAGAAGGCAGGGGGAAATGCAGCGACGGGTGTGGGAATGGATCAGGCGGAGCAAGCTGCCGCACATGCGGATCATTTGGCAGAGGCGGAGATTCTTCGAGCATTGCACGCAGAGATGGAGGTGAGTGCTTTTTTGTTTGTTGCTTTTTTCGTGGTTTGGCAACTGAGATTCTGTGTATTCACGCCACATGGATCTTGACTTTTTGCAGTCTTTGAGCGCTCTAATGGATTCCTCATCGGCACCGGCCAGTTGAGGACACAAGACGCTGGATTGGTTGTGTGAGGAGTCACTGGATACCGTGTACCATAGCCTTAGGCATCAATGTTTTTTTCTTTGGGGTATTGAGAAGCATCCAATTTCGTGTACATATGCTGGAGCCTGTTCCTGAGTCTTAGTGCTCCACTGTCAGTTTGCAGATATGAAATTTTATTATCCGATTGACGATATTGTTAAAGCGACGGTGCACATTTGCCACCCAAAACCCAGAACCCTGGCGAACTGTTACTGCAGATGAAAAGTGTCTGCACGAAATCCTGGTTTTCGCCAGCCAACACTTTCGCGCTGGCAAGCCTGGTTCAAAAAAAAAACTTCTGAACCCAACACTGCCGAAAGTTGCCCGTCGCTTTAAAGCCGGCAGCCCAAATTGCACAAGTTTTAAAAGGTTGACGCGAGGGGGTTTTTGTGGTGAGGGTTTTGGCGAAAGATTCCGATTTCGCTTTTTTCGTTTTTTTCGCCAAACCCAGCCCGCCCTCGTATTTCGCCCTGGGGGTTGGTTCAGTTCCCAAAAGTCCCAAATTGCAGGCACGCTTTTCTTCAAACCTTGAAAACACTAGTTCGTCAAGTTTTAAAAGCTTGACCCGCGCGGCCCGCAATTTGGGACTCGGGCTTTAATCTCAAGCATTTTCAATGACAATTCTGAACACTCCGCATTATCACGTCTCAGAGGGCGTTCCTGGCGATGGCCTGGACATTAGCCGCTCCAATGACGTGTAAAGTAGCTTTGTGCGTTGGCAACAGGTGTACATCTGCAGCCGCGCACCAATGAATTTCGTGCGCGAACAAACGTCTGCGACCTGTTCGACGTTGAACAAGCCAGGAAAAGCACCCTCGAAAATATTCCTTGCTGAATCGACAACCCTCGCACGCATGGGGTATGCAGTGCCAAATTCACTACCAACACAAACACCCGCTACTTCAATGCAACCATCCCTGTGGTTTTTTATTTTTCCTGTGCCCCAAATGGTGTTTGCCCTCATTCTGGTGTTTACAACAGCGCCATTACAGTTGCACGCTGCGTCAACTACACTACTGAACATCAGTTGTGCCAAAACGTCGCACGGCCGTTGGTGGGCTACCTCGTTGAAGGCACGTGGCCCCAACCCTCAGATGTCCAGACGTTTGACGTTTGGCGTTTGACGTTTGGCGTTCAGCCAGGTTGGTTTTGTCACTCACATTCTGACACGATTATATTCGCGCGCTGTGCTCTGGCTGGATGGCGAGCTTGCATATCGACCGATTCCACCCTTCAAAGAGCTCCCTCGATTTCAGGCCTGAATTCCTAGGGATTACCATATTTCAGCCACACCTGCAAATTCGCTGCCAGCTTGCCCGTTTCTAGTGATTCAGTTGTGCTCCTTGCGACATCGCTTCCGCTTAGCTTATTGATCATAGATTCATGGCTCCTCGTCTGACGTCGTGTCGAGAACGTTAGGTCTAGGTCTATCGCTTACTCGGTGGAGCTGCTGGTAGCATCTTTCGAGAAACAGTAGTTAGAGCAAAGATTTTCGGAAACTAGGGTTATATTGGGGGTATGGATTTCTTTAAAGCGGTATTGTTTCAGGACGATGAGGAGGAAGAGACTCCTGAGACAGAAGAGGTTGAAGATGACAAAAACGAAGGCAAAGGCGACAAGCCCGTAGAAGGAACTGCTGAAGAGGTGCGTAGATTCTTTCTAGCTTCCGTTTCTTGAATTTCGATATGCTACTACAGAAAGGCTGAGACATTGGTACTTAGTACAGTAGAGAACCGCATCTACCGTTGCTATTTTAATGGTTCTCGTGTATATTTTCACCTTTCCAGGGCGAGATTGAAGAGGAGGAAGAGACAGAGGAAGAGCAGCCCTCAGCCTTGTGAGTACGCAGCTAACTTGTTTGGTCGGAGTCGGATGCTCCTACGAAAAGCACTCAGTATCACGGCTTTGTTGCCATTGTCATTTTCTCTCCGTGTGCAACCTTAGTTTGCCGCGTATTTGACGCTATGTCGCATTGACACTTGTCGTCCCCACATGCCATTTACTCATCAGCGGTACCTGGAATCTCGGCAGTCTGCTACAAACAATCGCCACCAAAGTAAGCCATTCACTAGTCCGCACTTCATTTTGACGCAACCTATTAACGCGATATTTTCCTGCTATCATGTTCTCATAACGACGTTTCGCCTTCGCTCAAGCGAGAGGGATTCTTCTGCATGCATGATTGCTCCTCGCCATGACTGCTGTGTTTCTGCGGGTCCTTCCAAACCGCGTCCCCGCAACCCGTGACTGCTGTGCCTGCTGTGTCTGCTGTGCCTGCTGTGTCTGCTGTGCCTGCTGTGTCTGCTGTGCCTGCTGTGTCTGCTGTGTCTGCTGTGCCTGCTGTGCCTTCCGTGCCTGCGATGCCTGCCATGTGTGGCATGCATGCCATGCCTATCATGCGTTTCATGCCTGCTCTGCGTGCTGTGCCTCCAATGCATGCCGTGCCTGCGACGCCTGCCATGTGTGTGCCATGCGCTGTCCCTGAGAGCAGTCAGAGGAGGTGTTGCGGGAGTACAAGCAGGAGCTGCAGGAGTTCGGCGAGGGGCTCAAGAAGGAGACGGAGGAGCTCGTGGAAACCACCGCCACCACCGTCAGCGACCTGCCTTCCTCACTCGAGTCCGGGGCGCAAGCGGCTCAGGTGAGAGCTGCGGAGCCATGGCTGTCCCTGTGGTAACCTCCACTGTGATTTGATATTGAGCGCTGCCAGCTTGTTCCCTCGTCATTGTTCCATCCACACTACATCCCTCGTACCGTCCCTCCCTCCCTCCCTCCCTCCCCCTCCCTCCCTCCCTCCCTCCCTCCCTCCCTCCCTCCCTCCCTCCCTCCCTTTCCCCCCTCGCATCCTCTGTTTGTCCCTCTTCTTACTTGTATCCCCCCCCTCCCTCCTTCTTTCTCCCCCCCCCCCTTCCCGCCCCCAACTCCATCCCTCCTTCCTTCTTCTCTCCATCCCTCTCTCTTTCCTTCCTCTCCATTCCCTCCACAGTTCCGTCCTCTCTCCCCCTCCGTTTTCCCCAACTCACTTTCTCCCTCACTTTCTCCCTATCTCGTCCCTTCCTCCCCTTCCCCATCCCCTCGTTCCATGGCGGGCATCCCTCGCGGGCATGCTGAAGAGTTCGCTGGAGGGCGTGGGCCACACAATCGAGGAGTTCGGCTCGTCGTTATGGAAAGGGTAAGGTTGTTACGTCATTGTCTGACGAGGGAGGGAGGGAGGGAGGGTTTAGTGTGGGGGGGGAAGGAGGGAGGGAGGGAGGGAAAGAGGGAGGGAGGGAGGGAGGGAGGGAGGGAGGGAGGGAGGGGGGGAGGGAGGGAGAGAGGGGGGGAGGGAGGGAGAGAGGGGGGGAGGGAGGGAGAGAGGGGGGAAGGGAGGGAGCGAGGGAGCATTTCAGTTCTGAGGGACCTCAAAACTCGCTTTCATGCTCTATCCTACACGTGTGGAGTCAAGACCCCTCAGTTCTGCTACGCAGACAGCCCCCTCCCCCTTTTATCTCCCCTTCCCCAATCTTCCCCCCTCCCACCTTCCTCTTAGTCACTGTCCCTCTCATTGACCACTTCCTGCCTCGCGACCACCCAACCTGCTGCTCGATCACCTTCCCCTTCCTCCCCCTCTTTGTGCATGGCAGCACGACGGAGATTCTAGCATCGGTGAAGGAGGCAATAGCGATGGTGAAGGAGGAGGTGGCTGCCAACGCTGCCGTCTGCAATCTTCTCTACCCTCTCTCCTCCCCGCACCACCTCTTTGCCATGCAATCTCCCCCTTTCCCTTCCCCATGTGTGCATGGCAGCACGACGGAGATTCTGGCATCAGTGAAGGAGGCGGTGGCGATGGTGGAGGAGGAGGTGGCTGCCAACGCTGCCGGCGCCCGCCCCCGCGCGCCCTCGGCTGCTGCTGGACTCGCCTCCGCCATCCCCAGAGGGTGAGCGTGTGGCGGACGAGGAAAGAAGGGTTTGGGGGTGTGGGGGGGGGGAGGGGGGTGGGGAAAGGGAGTGGGAAGGAGGATTGGATGGAGATGGAGAACGTGGGAGTGGGAATGGGAGTGAGGTGGAGGGGGAGAAGGTTATGTGAATGTAGAAACGAACTGTTAACAATTGTATTATTCTTACTCCCTTGGTGGGCGCCGCACTCCCTTCTTGGGTTTCCACTCCAACAACCGCCTGCCTGTCTTCTTTGCTGCTTTCTGCCTGCATCAACCCTTAAAGTTCTGTTACATGGTGTCATATGTCCTCGCCCCCGCTTCTTGTGTGCATGACCACCCGCCTTCTTCCTTGTGTTGCGCTCTGCGTTGCTGCCGCTGCCAATGGAAGCAGCAAGTACAGCCGCTATGAAGCCCTGGTGAGAACACAGCTGCACCCATCCCATTCTCTCCACTCGGATTTACCCATTCCTTCCTGCCCTGGCCTCCCATCTTCTTTGCCGGTCAATCCTCACTGCTTGCTGGTCCTGCCTCGTTGTCGCCTTCCATCATCTTTCTTTCCCTCTTCTTCCCTCCTCATCCCAGCCCATTCCTCTTCCTTTCTTACCCCTCTTCACCCCTCATCATCCTCTGTGCCATGCCTGCAGGTGAGTGCCATGCAGAGGGACAGCAGCACGTACTGTGACGAGCCGGAGGACACAGAGGACTTTGCCAAGTGGGTCGAATCATTCGACCTCAAAAACAGGTGTGCTCCCACCACCCACCAACCGACCCACCCACCCACCCACCCACCCACTCATTCATGTGGTGATTTTTTTTTTTCTGTTTCGTCTCTGCTTCAATTCCCTGTATAAGTTGCTCTTGAGTCTTCATTTCCTCAGGGGCGTAGAGCCCTTGAAACCAAGGCATGACATTGCATAGTCTCTTGTGTCTTGGGTGGTTCTGACGTGGCTGCTGCATGTGCCACGGCCCACGTGTGTGTGTGTGTGTGTGGGGGGGTGGGTGCATCAGAGAGGCGGACGTGGAGGCAGTGCTCAAGGACAACGCGTTCATGCAGGAGCTGCAGTCACGCATTGGTGAGTCATGATTGCTGCTGCATGTCTTGCTGCCTCTTCTGCCATCTGGCATCTCTCTTGCCTGTGTGTTCTCTCCTGCGTCAACCACTCCCCCCTGCTCCGATGTGCATGGCAGTGCCGTTGATCGTGGAGCGCGAGACCTTCTGGACGCGCTACTTCTACCGCCTCTACCGCCTGCAACAGGCCGAGGACGCCCGCGCCGACCTCGTCAAGAGTGAGCCTCCTTCATGCCTCCACTCAACACATGCTTCCAGCACCCCCCATGCTTTGAACACGTCAGCTGGCCTGGCATACTCTCTGCCATGCTTCTTCCCATGACTCAGTGACTCAGGATGCATCTCCCTCAAATGGGCACATTGTCTTGCCACCCTGTGGCTGCGTGGGTGCAGGAGCGACGACATCGGAGGAGGAGGACCTGAGCTGGGATGTGGACGATGATGCAGACGACGCCCAGAGCAGCCCTGCTGCTGCTACTGCTGCTACTGCTTCTGCCCACCACGGCACCGCGGGTAAAAGCGATGCTGCTGGTGCAGATGCTGCTGCTGGAGCGACCGCAACTGATGATGCTGGTGCTCCTGCTGATGGCAATGGCAATGCCCCTGCTGACGCCTCCCCTTCTGAGAATCCTGAGGAGGCAACGGCTATGGTCCCAGCGGAAGAAGAATCAGATGCGGGTGAGGATGCTACTGCGGGTGCTGGAAGGGGATGAGCTGATTACGAGCGATATCAGGATGTCTAGGCCTTTCCTTGGCTTTTTGACTGATGGTGTCCTTCTTGGCTGCGAGTGTGCGTGCAGGGACAGTGAGTGAGGCAACGAGGAGTGACGAAGCGAAAGATGCAGGAGCAGGGGAGGGCGAGAAGGAGAGGGACGCATCGAGTCAAGCAGCGACATCACCGCAACCAGGTGATTCTATACACTGTTCTGTCAACTAATACACCCACTATCCAGCTTGGTATAGGGGCCTAGCACAGTGTGGTAACTGTGCAAGGGTGGGTGTGTTGCTGAATGTGGTGTTGGCGGGGGTACTACCCTTACTGTGACTTGTACGAACTCACTCTGTCATGGTCATCGGCCCCTGTGTGCACGCGTCTGCTAGGGAAAGTGCCGCTATCAGAGGTGAAGGTGCCCCGTCTTGAGGATGCCGGGCTCGAAGACTCAGCGTTGCCCTTTTCTGACATCCAGGTTTGTGACTCAAGCTTTGTTGGGCAGGCTCAATTCTTTCTCGCCAGTGCAAGACTGCCAGGAAGTGCCTGCAACTGATAATGGGGTTGTACTGGTTGGTGCCTGGTGGTTGCGTCGGTGCTTGTATGCATGTGCTGCGTGGGGCCAACCACAATGCGGACACACAACAACCATGCGATGCGACAAATGTGCAGGCTGCGTTTGAGATTGCAGCCGGAGCGAGGCCAAGGGGTAAGCATGGTGAAGCGGGTGTCGTCCTGCACCACCCTGCCCTGCAGTTGCCATTTACTGGTTGTGTCCTTCAGGGAACACAATACAGTGTCACTGGATGGCATGCCTGTCTTCTTTTGACATCTCTTCTTTTCCTTGTCTGCCCCCCCCACAGAACCTAGTAACCGCAGCAGCAGCAGTGACAGCTCGGCAGGCAGCGAGTGGCAAGTGGTGTCTAAAGATGATGCTTCTAAAGAGGACGGATTGAAGGCATCCCAACTCTCTGCTCCTGCTCCTACAACAGCAGCTGACCCTGCTGCTGCTGCTCCTGGTTCTGATATGTCAGAACCTGCAGCTCTGGGCCCCCAGCCTGCTGCCGAACCTACAGTTGCCAGCGACTCAAATGCAACAAGTGCGGAGGGCGAAGGGGGGAAGGGTGACGAAAACGATAAAAAGAACGAGGCAGAGGAGAGGGAAGGGAAGGGCAAGAAGGAAGGTGGAGATGGAGACGAGGATGAGGTAAGACATGGATCAGCCGTCTTTGCAAAACTTGCATCGAGAAGTGGGGTCGATAATGGGCACGATGGTGCATCATATGGTTGGTGAGTTTTTGTTTTGTTTTGATAGGTAAGCACAGTGGTCATTCATTATGTGCCTGTCCGTGTAGTCCTTGTCAACTGATGCTTGGCGTGGGTATTGCTTGCAGGATTGGGGCGAATGGGAGTGAGGAGTTAAAGGAACGAAGTTTTATGAATACCTGATGCCAGTGTTGTAGGCAACGAGTAAATAGGTGGTCTTTGCTCAGTTCTGTTATGATTTGATCCCCTTCGAATTTCTAGATACCGTGTACATTAGGAATCCAAGCTGTGTATTCCGGAAGTTTTGTAGGGGCTGGCTTTGGTTGGAACTTCTACCGGGCAACCTTGGCTGGGCCATTGTTATCACGCGTGACACCTCTAAATTCTCTTCCAATCCAGTGCTCCAAGATTGTGGACTGTTGTGTCTCCGGTTTGGGAGAGGAGGTCCTGCCAGATTCGTCGTGAAGTGCAATCGAAGCCAAAAAGCGTTTTCTTCCGATCTCGTGGATTTGCAGTGAAGGCTGCAATTTTTGTCCTTTCTAATTCCGTGGCGCAACCTCAACCAAGCACGCGTTTCGAAGGAGAATCCTGGGAAGTTTCGAACCGACGTGACACGTTGTTCAAGGCTGGATGAGTTTGTTGAGACATCCACTCTTCAAGTGGTTGGTTTGATGTGATCAGGGTGGACCACATGACACACGTCAACTTGGATGCAGCCGTTGTCCTGTGTAGGACTTTTTTTCGGGCGCACACATCTACCCAACTGTCCTTTATTTGGGTATCGTTTATGCGTTAGTGGTACAGTAAATACTAAAGACACATTGACGCTCTAGTAATGTTAAAGCCCGAGTCCCAAATTGCGGGCCGCGCGGGTCAAGCTTTTAAAACTTGACGAACTAGTGTTTTCAAGGTTTGAAGAAAAGCGTGCCTGCAATTTGGGACTTTTGGGAACTGAACCAACCCCCAGGGCGAAATACGAGGGCGGGCTGGGTTTGGCGAAAAAAACGAAAAAAGCGAAATCGGAATCTTTCGCCAAAACCCTCACCACAAAAACCCCCTCGCGTCAACCTTTTAAAACTTGTGCAATTTGGGCTGCCGGCTTTAACATCCTTTCTATAAAACATTTGGCTCGGAGAGTATTTTCACCGACCATTCCTGATGGCGTCATCTCCGACGGTTCTGTAGAGGATTGGATTGCATGTCGACATGGGCCTGCGTGAGTCCAGTGGTTGACATCTGTCTTTCCTCTCGACGCCTCGCATGCGAGCCGCGATGCAAATGTCCGTTTCAAACCAGCGACACAGGTCAGCGGAGCACCTTCCCCAACCGCTAGACACTTTCGCCCCTTAGTTCCCCTCGCCTTTTGCGCCGACACCAAACCATCGCGGACCTTCTCCCAACGTCGTGCGCAACCACCGCTGGCTGGAGTTTGCGGGCCAATCACGCGTGCTTACATTTTCGTTGTCGTGTCAGCAACTTTCGCGCCGACCACTAGGTTTTGGTTGGGGTTGGCATGGAGATGACCCTCTGAGGTGGGGTTGGGCCGACCAAAGCCAACCCCAGTCCGTGCCCATCGTGCTCCCTGAAGCATAAAAGCGTGGATTCCCCTCAGCCCTGTCTATCTTCACTCAACGCAAACCCACCCGTCCGAACAAATCAATTTCGCGGCCATCCCAACCCTTTCGAACCAATACACCCTGTTTCCCCCCAACGCCTCAGACTTACCCTCGAGATTCCCTCCATCTTCCCCATCTCCGTTCCGCCACAGGCTCCGCCTATCCGAACCCACCACGGTCTTGCCCCTCCGCCCGCCACTTACTCCCCTCCCCTCTTTTCCCTTCCCCCACGTGCTCCCCTTTCACCATCCGCTCCTCTCCTTCCATCAGGGACCCCAATCTCCTCGCACAAACAACTCACGGAGCTGCTATAACAAGCCCGCTCCCAACTTATTTTCTTTATACCATCTCTTTTTGAGAGCGGATTACCGCTCTTTTCTCCAGCTTTCTGGTAGCTCGCCGTCTCGCCCGTGACTTCCTTCTACTTCACTGAATTAGTCGCAAGAGCCGTCTCTTCTACCATGGCTGATACGCGTCAAGTAGGATCGCTCTGGACTCCGGAGGTAGGTTTTATGAATTTGCAGAATTCCTAACAGGGTTGTCCTCCTCGAAGCCACTTCGTGCTCGTACCGCAGCGCAACGCACTGTAGTAACGCGCATCTGCTCCGCGGTATTTTTATCCGTGCAGGAAGATGTAATTCTTCTGCAGCACGTGGCTCGCTACGGCACCAAGCATTGGGGCTCGCTTCAATCCAGCTCAACGCTACCCCACCGCGATCAGAAGGCGTGTTGTAACCGTTTTATTCTCCTGAAGAGGTACCTTGACTTTTCTGATCTTGCCGAATCAGATGGTCCTGTCATTCCGCGTGCATAGACATATCATTCTCGCTTCGTACTTTCCCCGTCCGTCCGCAGGAAATTCTTTCAGGCTCGAGCCAAGGGTCAGAATCTTCAGACCATCTTTCCCTACATCAATGTCAACTCTCAGCCTTCAAGCCCGTCGGCAGCGGTGGCGTCGTCGATGCTTCACGCTCCCGCATCCCCCACTTCCACGGAAGTCGCGCTTCGCGTGAACGTTTCGTCTCGCGTCATCACCAAGCGCGCCGCAGCGCCTTCCCTTTCAAAGCCTGCAATCCTTCAGTCCGCTCTCGCCACGTACGAAATCCCGCCCTCGCTGTCCTTTCTAGAAGTTTTAGGAGTTAACCTGCCCTGATCATGATCTGACTTAGGCTCGGTGTTTTGGTGTTCACTTCTGCAGTGTTCAAGAAAAAGACGCATATGGCGGCGGTTCTGTCTGGATGCCAAACCTCGTCGACGCGCAGCGCTCTCCCGCTGTTTCAGATCCCTCGTCTCCTCTCAGCGCCTCCCACGGCCGTCCGTCTTTGCAGCAGGAGCAGCAGCAGCAGCAATTACAGCAGCTGCTCGTCACTATTGGCCAATCAGCGAACGCCGTGAGCCAAGCCGCGATGCAGTTCGTTAACGCCGCGTCGTCCGTCAACCCTAGTACTCCGTAAGCACGGAATCGCACCGCTATGTCGGTCGCTCTTCTTGTGTCTTCGCGCTTTCTGATGAATTCTTCATTTCTTCTTTCTATTGCAGATTTTCTGCCAATCACGTGAGCCAGCAGCAGCCTCAGTCCCCGACTTCCCCCGCGGGCCGGCAGAGCGCAGCGGACGCGGTGGTAAACATGATTCTGCGCAAACTCGCTGGCGACGCGTCTTCCTTCGCGAAGCATCCAGTCGCGAGCGCAGCAAGCCCCGCGTCGTCCAAATCGGACGTCTCCGTCGAGCCCGCCTCCGCGGCTACTCCCTTCGCTCCCCTGCACGACGCCTCGTCCCGCCCCTCGTCCGCCGCACCTCGCCGTCCGCCTCTCCTCTCCGCGCCGCAGCGCGGGCCGGCCGCCGTCGTGCCGTCCGCCGCGACGTCCGCCGGGTCGTTCCCTGCGGACTCCGGCGCTAGTCTGCAGCAGCAGGTGGTGCCGGGATGGGAGGGCGAGACGCAGAGCGACGACGACATGCTGCTGGCGTACCTGTACGCGCGGGGCCACGCGCAGGGCCACGCGCAATCCACGGCGCCAGAGGGGCATAAGAAGGAGACAAGGGCGGAGTGCGCTGCGGTGGAGGTTGAGAAGCAGCAGGAGCAGCAGGTGCAGCAGGTGGCGAGGCAGGAGGAGGCTAAGCAGGAGGCGATGGCATCAGACGCCGCGGACATGTCGTTGCTGCTGCAGCTGCACGAGGAGGTGATGGCCCTCGAGAAGCTCGTTGCTGCTGGCGCGTCCGCTGCGACCGCTGCTACTGCTGCGCCTAGCACCACCCCCGCCGCAGCTTCTACGTCAGCCTTGGCGCCTCTCCCGCCGCGCGCGTCGAACGCGTCGTTTTCCAGCGCTGCTGCGTCCGGTGCAAGTGTTGCTCTCGACAGGAGCGCCTCCCAGCGCCCTGACGCGGTTCTGGAGCAGGTGTCGAGCGCGCCGGGGCGCATGCTGTTTGGGTTCAGCCCGGTTTACGATCTCATGGCGCCTGGCGCCTCTTGGGATGCCCATGCTGCTGCTGGTGATGAGGCTGGATGGGATCTCAAGGAGATGGTTGATGTGTCAGCGTTCAACCTGGATGCGTCTGCTACCTTCCTGGCGTGACATGTACAGAGTGACTCGCGCGTGCACCTTTCAACGAGTGCAGTGGTGCTGTGGTGATGGTGGTGCGCAGAAGCAGGGGTTTCTGTGTCCTGCTGATTGCACCGTGGAGATTCAGCACCATGCCGTTTGCTCTGCAGGAGCTTTCTTTGCAAGGGCGTCTGCTCTTGTTCCACCTTTCTGCTCTCTTTGGCTTTTGCTTTTCCTGACCTTTGTTAGCTCCAGTGTTTAACCTTTTTTGCCGGGGATGGCTGGCAGCACTAGCAGAAGGGCGGCAGGTGCAGTGGTGCAGCTAGCTCTGACGGCTTCTAGCCGTTTTTTTTTGCCGCAGTGGGCGAAGGCTCGTTGTGTGCATGCTTTTGCTGTTCCGTGCCCTGCCTGTGACTGCTGCTGTGTCTGTTACGGTAGACATTAATCCCAGGCTCCTAGGAAGACACTGAGGCACTTGTTTTGTTTAGTCTGGTATGCTGTATAACTTGCATTATGTACCATGTCCCACTGCGACTGGAAAGTTTTTTGAATCCAGTAGAGACAAACAAGGGAGTCACCTGAGTCCTTTCAACACATCGAGACCAAAAAGTAACATGCAACCTTAGGTGTCTGGTGTTTCTGTTAGCGATCATGAGATAGGAGAGTGAAGAGTGACTCTAAGTAGACATGACGCTATGACGAGTCGACTATGTCCATACCGTTTGACGTCTCGTAATTGCCACAGCAGCACCCGTGATCTAAGTCCTCACGCATTCTCCAGCCCTTGACCAGCGACGTTACACTTTGCTGCTGTCGTCGTAACTCGTGTTTTCCTCTTCGGTCGTTGCGCTCTCCGCCCATCCGTGCACCTCCCCATGACGCCATGGCTTCAATCTCTATCCTCGCGCCGCATCTCGCCATTCGCCGTCTGTGCCTCAACCGTATTCCACCACTATGCCCGTTGCTGTCGTCAGATCCACTTTCCTCGTCGAATCGCGATTCGCAACCACGAAGGCACGCATCACCAATTCGGAGAATCCAGTGGTGCCAGTCCGAGCAAACTAGGTCCGTGCCTTCGCGCTTTCTGGCAGCAGTCGGTGGAATACCAGAAATGGATCCGACAGCTTGCCCCGTCTCCGTTATCGTCTGTTCCCTCCGTGATCATGCCATCGCCGTTATCACCTCATCTGCGATCTCCCGTACATGTAGAATATCACTCGAGAGGTCGGCTCAGGCAAATACGCTGCGGATCGCAGAGCCGATCGCCTGCTCTCTTCCTAGGTCGTAGCACTCGTGGATTTTTTATGGCTGACGTCAGCGCGAGATTCTCTGAGCGGCGTTACTCCCCACCCCCTGCCTGTGCTGCCACCCGCGCTGGCGCTGATGTTCCGAGAGCCCGTGCTGAAGCGGCGGACGTGGCGAGGGCCGGTACTGACGTGTCGGAACATGGCGGTGACGTGGCGAGCGCAGGGAGCACGAGGGAGGCGGCGGAGGCAGCGGGGCGCGGGAAGGGGCTGCTGGCGTTCTACGCGGACCACCACGTGGTGCCCCTCCCCGATGGCCACCGCTTCCCCATGGACAAGTGCGCTTCGTGTCACGATACGCCAGGGAATGGCGTTTGTTGGAAAGACGTGCTTATAGAGAGAGTGATTCGGGGAAGCGGACGAGAGAGAGGAGAGAGAAGGTGTCGTGCGGTCAGAGGTCCGCCATGCATGGCATCGTATGAGGGCATCACAAAGGGCATCGTATGATGCCCTCACGCCCATCCCTGACTGCCATCCACCCATCCCTCTGTGATGTGTGCGCGAGTTTGCTCCTGATTGTGCCTGACTGTGCCTGATTGTGCCTGACTGTGCCTGACTGTGCCTGACTGTGCCTGACTGTGCCTGACTGTGCCTGACTGTGCCTGATTGTGCCTGATTGTGCCTGATTGTGCCTGACTGTGCCTGACTGTGCCTGATTGTGCCTGACTGTGCCTGACTGTGCCTGATTGTGCCTGATTGTGTGTTAGGCAGATACCGCACCACTCGCCTTCTCCTGCAGTCAGATGCATCTCTGGTTCGCATCCTGGCCGTCCATCCCGCGCCCCTTGTCTCATGGGAGGAGCTTCAGCAGGTGCATGAGGAGGGGTAGGTGTGTGGAAGGGGTGGGTGTGTGGGAGGTGATGCGCGTTGGGAGGGAGGCAGGGCGTGGGACATGTGCAGGGAGGAGCGGATGGGTGGCGTGACTGCGTGCACGAGGCATGCTACTGCGCTCTATGCCCCCCGCCTTCCACCTTTCCTCCTCCTACCTCCCTAACCCTATCTCTGCACCCCCCCTCTCCTCTATCTTCCCCCTCTCCTCTATCTTCCCCCTCTCCTCCCACCCAGCTACCTGACGCGGCTCTTCACACACGCCCTCTCAGAGCAGGAGCAGCGAGTGCTGGGCTTCCCCTGGTCGTCGCACCTGCTGCTGCGCTCTCAGGCCTCGTGCGGGTATGCAGGGGCTGGCCGGGGGAGTGTGGGTGCTGCCTGATGCCCATTCATTCACTTCATTCACTGCCTTGCCTTCCAACGCGCAAGTCTCTGCAAGGTTGTGCTTGCACCCATGCAAACCGCCGCTGCCTCGTCCACTTGTTACCCCCTGTGTGTGTGTCTGTGGCCCCAACTCCCTCCGTGTGCTTGCATGCATGCCAGTGGCACTGTAGCAGCCACCCACGCCGTGCTCATGGGGCTCAGGCGGGCGGCTGGGGTGCTGGCGGGCGGCACACACCATGCGTTCCGGGGACACGGGGAGGGCTTTTGTGAGTGAGTGGGGGTTACGGGGCGGGGAGATTCTGGGGAGATTCTGGGGAGATTCTGGGGAGATTCTGGGAAGGGGGTTTTGGGAGGATGGTTATGGGGAGGGGATTATGGAAGCTGGTGGGTGTGTGCTGGTGGTCTAACGGCTTGGTGAGTGGGGGAGGATGGGGAAATGGGGGTGCTGTGAGGGTATCAATGACTCCACTCCTTCACTGTCTCACCTTCATCTTTCCTTTCCCCGCCCTCTTTTCTTCACTCTCCTCACTCTGTACCTTTCTTTCCCTCACTCTCTTTCCTCTCCCTTCCTCCTTTTTTGAATAAACAAAAAGCATGAATCATTCTCCTTTCTTCTCTCTTTCCTCCTCCCTCCACTCTTCTCTCCATTCTCTCCCCCTTCGTCCTCCCCAACCCCCCGGCCAGGTGTGTTTAACGACATAGCAGTGGCAGCCGTGGCAGCACTCACGCACCATCCCACCATCTGCAATGCCAATCGGCCCATCCTGGCCCTTGATCTCGACGTGCATCAGGTGCGCACCAGCAGCATGCACAGCCCTGTGTGTGTGTGTGTAGCTTTTCACCTCTGAATATCTTTCTCTCACGTCACCCCATCACCACTCACCCTCAGTCTCCACCGCTGCACTCCCCTTTCCTCATCATCCCTCCATACTTCTCTCATTCAATTGCTCATCCTCATCACTGCCGTTTGAGACCCCTCATTTGATCGTTCTCGCCCCTGCCTTCTCATACCCCCCGCCAGGGCAACGGCACGGCGAGCATATTCGAGGGCGACCCACGGGTGGTGACATTCTCGATGCACGGAGCCAACAACTACCCCTGGCGCTCCAAGCGCCGCTCCAATTATGATATAGAGCTTCCTGATGACACGGGGGACGCTGCTTACCTTGCCCTGCTGCAGGAGTGGCTGCCAAGGCTGTTTGACCAGCACCGGCCGAGCCTCGTCATTTTCCAGGTCAGGCAACAGGGTTGGCAGATGGGTGGGGATTTGAGATGGCTTGTTATGGTTCATGAAGCTGCTATCATATTGGTGGCAGCAGGCTTCACTATGTTGGTGAATGATTCTCTGTTGTGCTTGTGCTTATACAGGCAGGGGTGGATGCTCTTAAAGAGGACAGTTTTGGCAGGCTTGCAATGACAAGGGCCGGCATGCTGAGGAGGAACAACATGGTGTACAGTGCATGTACTGACAACAACGTGCCATTGGTCATCACCATGGGAGGCGGATATTCAAGACCGCCTGATGGTGAGAGTTTTCCTTGCTGCAGGGAATGGTAGCTTAGTGCTGGTTGGATTGAGTTGAAATTGTTTGCTTGACATTTGTTTCGTGATTTGTGTGCAGCTTCCATCGCAGCACATGCTGATGTGTATCGGTCAGCTGCTTATAGATTCTCTCATTTGTGAAGCCGAAGAAACAATTTAGACGTTATGCAAAGTAAGCTTAAACGCTATTAGGCATTAGGTGAGTCCTTTTAGTTGCATGGTTGCTTGTGTGATTCCGTGTCAGAGCCATGTATAATTCATAAATTGTCAATCCTTTATGTGGTGTTGAACACTGTAACGCGTCTCGCTTGCACTGTTAGAGAGAACCGAGAACATTCACTGCACAAGTGCCCTTCCTCGTCGCTTCTCGCTGTCCTCGAAGTTCCCCGCGAAGCGTCATTGCTTGGCGCACGCTGTGTGGAATTTGCGCCTCTCCCTCACCGCCTGCCTGTTGTCGGCCCTGCCCACAAATTTGCCTTGAACCACATTTCACGAATTCCACACTCGTATTTCCGCTTGCTCTGCTTGCCAGCTGCAATCCTCCGCGCTTCGTGCTTGCCTCTGCTCTCGCCTCGTACAACCTCGTTTAAATACCGTACTGCGCGCTGATGGCTGCTGCTCCGCCTCTTACAGTTAGTCCGAGCAAGGCGGCGTCACCTTGCGCGGGCGGGGAGGTCGCGCCAGCCATCCCCGGCATGACGCTGAGCCCGCACAAGCCGACCTCCGCCGCCACCGCCGCTGCAGAAGGGCCGCTCTCCATCGTTATTTTCGGCGCGTCGGGCGATTTGGCGAAAAAGAAGACGTTCCCCGCGCTCTTCAACCTCTTCCAGCATGTACTCGCCTAAACAAAAAGAAAAGCATCCGCATTCGACGCAAGCCCTTTCTCTGCGCCACTCGCTTCCGCGCGCGTGACGGATCTTCCGCCGCGACTCTCCCGCTTCTGGTCGCCTCATGGTCTCTCCACTCCTCTCCCCACGCGCCCCCCCCTTTCCCCCACCTTCTTCCCCGGTCGGCGCAGGGCTTTCTCCCCGCGGGGGAGATCCGCATCTTCGGATACGCGCGCTCGCTGATGACGTCGGAGCAGCTGCGCGAGAAAATCAAGGGGTGAGGGGGAGGGTCAGAGGAAGAGGGTTATGGCCATGGGAAGTGGGAAGTGGGAGGTGTGAAGTGGGAAGTGGGAAGTGGGAAGTGGGAAGTGGGAAGTGGGAAGTGGGAAGTGGGAAGTGGGAAGTGGGAAGTGGGAAGTGGGAAGTGGGAAGTGGGAAGTGGGAAGCGATGCTCTGGACCACCGGGAGGGGAGTTGCTGCCATGCTGCCGTTTTGCGTGCTTGCATGCCACGTCCTTACATGCCACGTCGTTGAATGCCACGTCCTTGAGGGCCATGCTGTCACTGTGCTGTTCTTAAGCGTGCCGTGCTGCTGCTGTGTATCTGCGTCGCCTGCTCGCCCGTCCCTTCCCCCCAGCTACCTCAAGCCCAAGGGCGACACGGCCCCTGGCAAGGACCCCGTCGCAGATTTCCTCAACGTCGTGAGTGCCCCCAACCCTTGCACCGCCCTGCACCGCCCTGCATCACGTCACGTTGCCTGCACCCTCCCTGTGATTGTCCTACCACATCCCCCCCACCTCCGTGGCCCCCCTTATCCCCGTCACAGCGGGGACTTCTCTCTTCCCCCACCCAACCGTCTCCGCTCCTCCCTCCCCTCCCCACTCAACCACCCCCTCGCCGCTGCATCCGCAGGTGCATTACATCCACGGCCCATATGACGGGCGGGACGGCTACGCCAAGCTGCAGGAGGCCATGCTCGCATTCGAAAACACCACCGCTCCCCCCGCCGCCACCAACGACAGCACCACTGGCAGCGGCAGCACCAGCAGCAGCAGTGGCAGTGGTGGCACGACGCGGCGGCTGTTCTACCTGGCGCTGCCGCCATCCGTGTACCCGCCGGTGTGTGCGGAGGTGCGGCGCTACTGCATGAACGCGCGCGGGTGGACGCGCGTGATCGTGGAGAAGCCGTTTGGGCGCGACCTGGCGAGCGCGGAGGCATTGAGTGGCGAGCTGGGGGCTCTGTTCAGTGAGGAGCAGATCTACCGTATTGACCACTACCTGGGCAAGGAGGTCGTCCAGAACCTGGTGCGCGCATAGGGGGGGTGGGGGGGAGGGGAGGGGAGGGGGAGGGGGAAAAGGGGGGAAAGGGGGAATGGGGGGGGGGGAAGGGGGGAAGGGGGGAGGCGGGCGGGGTGTAGGGAAGTATGGGGGGATGGGTTGATTTGGAAGGATGGGGAGTGCTGGAGTGGTTGCCTGAAGCAGTTGCCATGGGACTGGCTGTGCACTCACTCCCCCACCATGCCTTGTGCTGCGCCTGTCTGCTCTCCCCTCTGCCCTCCGCCCTGCGCTCCCCCCGTCCACTACCAGTTGGTGATGCGCTTTGCCAATCGCTTCTTCGTGCCGCTGTGGAACCGAGACAACGTCGCCAATGTGCAGGTGGGTCATGGGTGCAGGTGGGTCATGGGTGCAGCCTGGAGGCATGTGAGACGTGGCATGTTGGCAGCCATCACTCATACACGCACTTCCTTGACACCACTGCCTCCCCTCCTCACCTCCCCCCACCTCTCGCCTTTTCCTCCACATTCCATCCTTCCGTCACTCGTGAGTTGCCTCACCACCACTGTCTCTCACCCCGCAATGTATCCCCCTCGCTGCGGCAGATAGTGTTCAGGGAGGACTTTGGCACGGAGGGCCGTGGAGGCTACTTCGACCAGTACGGGTGGGCGGCCCCTCCTCCCCCTGCCTCTGGTCTTCCGCTCACTTGCCGTCTGTTTCTGCATCTTACCATGTCGATTCCATACATTACATTGGAGCCATGTGGTGCGGCTGACATGTGAATGTTCGCATCCCTCTTCCTTTCCACTCGTGCGCCCCTCCCTCCACCCTGGGCAGCATCATTCGGGACATCATTCAGAACCATCTCATGCAGGTGCGCCGCCCCTTAGCCCTCTCCATCGCATGCCGTTGTCACGTGCCGTCCCTTGTAATTAGCCCCTTGCTCCACTATATCGAGAAGCCAATGTGGGTACTTCTTCTGTCGGCCTCGCTTCACTCCCTTACAATGCCAACTACTCCCACCCTCTTTCCCCCAACCACCAAGGTGCTGTGCCTCGTAGCTATGGAAAAGCCGGTATCAGTACAGCCGGAGGACATTCGCGACGAGAAGGTGAAGGTGCTGCCAGCCTCACTGCACGCAATGCACCCGCCCCCAACCCCTCCCCCCTCCTCCTCATTCCCAGGTGCTGTGCCTCGTAGCAATGGAGAAGCCAGTGTCAGTGCAGCCTGAGGACATTCGAGACGAGAAGGTGAAGGTGCTGCGAGCCATCCAGCCCATCAGGGAGGACGAGGTGGTGCTGGGGCAGTATGAGGGGTACACCGATGACCCCACCGTGCCCCACGGCTCCCACACGCCCACCTTCGCGTCTCTTGTTCTGCGCATCAAGAACGAGCGCTGGGATGGTGAGAGGGGCTGTGTGGTGTGCTTTCATGGTTGCCATGCAGTGTGCACTGTGCTTTGGCTGACTTGCAGCACCTTGCAAGCTGGCGAGTGCTGTGGGAGTAAAGCACCAACGACATGGCCGCACCCCAGCAATATCCACTGCGCTGCGTATGAATGAACCCTCTCATAACGAGACTTGTGTCACACAGTACCACTTTCTGTCTTCCACCGCCGCCCAGCCATTACTGTCAATCCTTTGCGTTGATTGGGGTTTGCAGGAGTGCCATTCATAATGAAGGCGGGCAAGGCGCTGGAGTCACGCAAGGCGGAGATCCGAGTGCAGTTCCATGACGTGCCGGGCGACATCTTTGGCTGTGAGCTCACTAGCACTGCGATCATTCACATGCAGTCCACACACTTCGCTCTCGTGTGGCTGTTCGTCTTCTTGCCCTTGCTCCATCTCTCCGCCAGTCATCTGCTCATAGTGGTCACATTGTTGCTCCTCGCTGCTTCCTTTCTCCCCACTTTTCTTTTCTCCCATGCATTGCAACGGTGGTGTTGCAGGTGGGCGGAACTCACGGGACGAGTTTGTGATGCGCCTGCAGCCATCGGAAGCCATGTACATGAAGCTCACGGTGAGAGATGAGGGGTGTGACAGAAGGGGGATGTGAGGGAAGAGGGGTGTGAGAGAAGAGGGGTGTGGTGTGAGAGAAGAGGGATGTAAGAGAGAATTGGTTTTCACATGATGCATATCGCTTGCTGCATATCCGAAGGCTTTAAGGTGATGGGACTCACAGCATTGTGCATGGTTTATGTTGCATGATGCATGGCATGGTGCATGGGGCATGGTGCATGGCTTGGTGCATGGCTTGGTGCATGGCATGGTGCATGGGGCATGGGGCATGGAGCATGGTGCATGGCATGGTGGCAGGTGAAGAAGCCGGGGTTGGAGATGGCAGCAACAATGAGTGAGTTGGATCTGAGCTACAGTCAGCGCTATGCAGGGGTGGTCATCCCTGAAGCCTACGAGCGCCTCATCCTTGACAGGTCAGCACAGACAGCCATGCTGCTGCCTGCACTCCTGCATTCCGTGTGCCTGCCTTGTCGTGTTGGCCATTGCATGCTCTGTCCTGTTAGGCTCACCTCTTTGGCCGTGTTCCAAGCATGCATCCTCCGTTGTGCATATTCGTGCAGCATCAACGGCGACCAGCAGCACTTCGTGCGCCGAGATGAACTCAAGGTACGGCGAGCGCCAAGAATACCACCTGGATATTCTTTCCTACTTCGTATGCAGTAAAATTTGTCATCTTAATGAGTTAGCATTTGCTGTGCAACTGGCACAAGGCTCCATGGACGCAATCTATGTCTGCTGCCATCTCTGCGTCCCTTGCCATCCCTACAATTTCTGCCATCTCTGCCACTCTTCCCGTGCCTCCTCTCACAGGCTGCATGGGAGACCTTCACGCCTCTGCTGCACCGCATCGATCAGGGCGCCCTCCCTCCGCACCCCTACAAGCAGGGCAGCAGAGGCCCCGACCACGCGGACGAGCTGGCGGAGAGGGTCGGGTACCGCCGCACAGAGGGGTACTGCTGGATCCCGCCCACCCTGGCGGAATAATATGGTCCACACGAGGAATGCTTTCGTGTGGGTTATCCCCTTCTCCATTGGTAGAAATTACTGCGTATTTGAATGGAATCACTTGGTTTGTCACTGCATTGTATTAGACATTGCTGTCTGGGTGTTGATAAGATTGGCCTTGTACTTCTGCAAGATATCGTTTCGAGTAGTGTTCATACAAAATCACATACATCCGACAATACATCAGCAACACTTTAACCACAATACGCTCACAATGCGCACTGCAAACCTTCAGGAGAGACTCCTTGAAAAATGCTTCGTCCAGCCCAGGGCTCGAACGAGCATGAAGGCCTGCAGAGACAGGTAGGTACGAGGGAGTAAGTATTCGAGCAAGCAGCAACCAATATCGAAAAGATACGAACGCGGGTGCTACCAACAAGCTGCAGAAACAAATTATCAGGAAGAAGCGACCATAGCTATCGGTAGGAAATGTCCCGGACGACAGGTCAACAAGAGCACATGGAAAGGGTGCACTAATTGGTTTAAAGAACGGGCTATTTTGTTCTCCGCTCGACAAATGACACTTCCCAGGCATCGAAAGGCCAGGCAAGCAACGCCTCGCCAAGCGGGATCTAAGGAGGAAGAGTAGTGAGCGCAAGTTACAACCCACGTACTCTGTCATCAGGTTGACATCTGGAGCGCTTGATGTCTACACAGGAGACCCTTTGCCTGACCACACACAACGAAACTCGAACAGGAACAAACGTAAACAAAGGATCACCGGCGTCAGGATGAAGTATGTCAATATGGAGGGGTCAGACAATTGTGGTGGCGGGGACCTAGACTGATAACTGATTGCAAAGTATTCAAGGGACGTACATAAATAGCTCGGAAGAGCGGTCTGGGCCAGAGAGGGTCAGCTCTCCAAAAATCATAGGTGGTGGGTGGGATGGGATCGTGCAGAGGAGCCGAGATGAGGTGGTGAGCCACCTGCAGTAACCAGGCGCACATCGCGCACTCGCCCAGTGACCGTCGCCCAATAGCGGAGCGCCATTCATTCGCTGAGATAAGATACCTCTAGGAAGACATCTGGTATTCGTTGACGAACACCTCTCTATGGGTCATCTCTATCTAGGTTGCCCGCGTTTTCCTTTTATATTGAATCAAATCTCTATTGGAAGACAGCTTTCAAGAAAACACAACCTAACAATCACTCTACAGCAAATCATGTTTGGAGATTCGACCTACAACTTCGTTTATTAATCCTATCCATATCCTCCCTGCGTTCCTGTTCATTCCCTACACAATCTGACAATCGGAACACTGGAGTGGTCGTCACAACTGCTGGGGGAAGCATATGCCAGGAACCTTCTCCTTGCGCTTCGATCATCTCTCTCAGTGGTAATGTAGGCCCAGGCAGCACGACCCTTGCCTTGTGTGGCACAGATAATCGTTGACCCCTCTCAACTTCTCCATCTGTGTCCCTTACCACCACGTGTCCAGCCTGGGAGCTGGCTTCACACACTGCAGTACTTGAGCTGGGACTCAACCGCGAGGGCTCGCCAGGGGTTGGTTGGTTGTGGAAGAACGGGGAGAAGTGTGGCCCTGCCTCAATCACACTGGCTGGACTTTCTCGTAGAGCTGCACGCACGGTGCACGAGGCAACGGCAGGCACTTCAGCTGCAAGCGCAGCACCAGTCACTGCTGGGATGTGTGCCAATTCAGCTGCGGCCGGGACTCCTTCTAGTGCACTTGCAGGGCGCGCGTCACAGTCAGCCTCCAGCATGTCATTTGTTGGTGCTGACGTGGCAGTATCCTCCAAATCCGGATCAGAAATCTCTGCTCTACCCAACACTGTCTTTGCATGTCTGTGCTTTTGACTCCCCAAGTCACAGTGAGCTTGCGGAGGAAGTGGAGACCGAGCAGGGGGGAGGGCGCACGCTCCAGTTCCGCTATTTCTACTGCTGCTGCTGCTCCTGCTTCTGGCAGCAGGGGGGTTGCCGTTTCTGCTGCTCCTGCTGCTCCTGCCCTGCGAGCTATCCATGGGAGAGGGCCCTGAGGGGAAGCAGGGCAGGGAGCTGCCGCTGCCAGTTGGATTGGTGGCGACTGCAGGCAAGGCAGGTGCACTGGAGTCACAACGGGAACTGTGGGCCGCCAGGGATGAATCAGGGTTGGAATCACAGGGCATGATCGGCCCGCCCTGCTCTTGCACACAGAGCGACGCCACGCACAGTGTATCCAGCGACAGCTGCGACGCAAGTGACGGCTGCTTCTGGTCGACGTTGCTTGTCTGTTGTGCGCGGCGCAGCAGCTCGACGACGGTGCTCATGGAGGGGCGGGCGGCGGGGTCGCTGTGGACGCAGGCGTGGGCGAGCGCTGCCATGGTGTGCAGAGCAGCAGGGGGGGGCAGTGAAGGGCAGGCGAGCAGGCGCGGGTCCAGCAGGTGGCGGTAGCGGGATGGCTTGGCGAGCAGCGGACGGGCCTGTAGGGATGATGAGGCAGGCGCATTGGAGAAAGGGGATGGGGATGGGGACGAGGGAGGACGAGGGGGGAAGAGGGAGGAAGAGGGAGGAAGAGGGGGGAAGAGGGAGGAAGAGGGAGGAAGAGGGGGGAAGAGGGAGGAAGAGGGAGGAAGAGGGGGGAAGAGGGAGGAAGAGGGAGGAAGAGGGGGAACAAAGAAAAGAGGCAACAATGTAAATTTTGAGGGAAAATGGGGAATAAAAGAGACGAATTCACTGAAAAAGAATGTGAGCAGCCATGATACGAAGGATAAAGAACTCACCCAGAGCACGAGGCTTTCCTGGCCGAGTGGCCTGGAGGTGTCAACAGCCTTGCGGCCTGACAGCAGCTCCAGCAGCACCACCCCGAAGCTGTACACGTCGCTGGGCACCATTAGGTGGCCCGTCATTGCGTACTCTGGCGCCACGTACCTGCACCACAGGGGGAGGAGAGAGGGGCGGGGGGTAAGTGTGGGTGCAGGGGAGGGCGGAGGAGGTGGGTGGAGGGGATGGGCGGAAAAGGGAGGAGGGTGAAAACGATGGTTAGCATGGGCAAAGGGGTCCATGGAAAGGCGGTCAGATGTGTGGGTGATGCATCCATTGATCATGTGCATGTCTCATCCACAGCGGACCCAAAGGTGCCCCCGACTCACCCAAAGGTGCCCATGACGCGTGTGGACACGTGCTCATCCACCCCTTGTGGCGCCGCCTTGGCGAGCCCAAAGTCAGCGAGCTTGGGGTTCATGCGTGCGTCCAGCAGGATATTAGACGGCTTTAAGTCGCGGTGAATCACCGCCGGCTGTGACCCCTCGTGCAGATACGCCAGGCCCCGCGCCGCACCCACTGCTATGCTGACCCGCGCCGGCCAGTTGAGGAAGGAGCGATGGGAGTGCGGCCCGTGCAGCCACGAGTGCAGGCTACCGTTAGGTAGCAGCTCGTAGCACAGCATGTGCTCGCCTGGTGCTACACAGTAGCCCAGGAGCTTAACTAAGTGGCGGTGGTGCAGGCGAGATAGAACCTCCACCTCTACTAGGAACTCTCTGTCGCCCTGCCGGCCCCCACGGTCCATCCTCTTTATTGCTACTTCGATAGGAGCAGCAGGGGAGGAGGGGGTGGAGTGCGGTGGGGGTGGGATGGTGCCGCGGTAGACTCGCCCAAATCCGCCCTCCCCCAGGACTGACGATTCGTGGAAGCTGCAGGTGGGGTGGAGAGGGGAGAGATGGAAGGAGAATGAAGTGGCAAAGGGAGGAACGAGAGAGGAATGGAGGGCTGCTGGGGGTTTTGAGGGCTGAGGGATTGGAGGGAAATGGGGGGCTGGTGGGGGTTTTGGTTGAACTATAATGAGATATGTAAGGGTTAAGGGGAGAGAGTGAAAGTAGAGTGGCAATGGAGTCACAGCGCGAGTAATTGGGATCAGGATGTGAGTTACGGATTCGTACTTGTTGGTTGCGAGAGCCATTTCTTGGAATGAGAACTCCCGCACACAGGAGAGCCCACCCAATCCTCCCTTCCCGCTGCCTCCTGCAACCCTCCCATCGTTGACGCCCTCACTGCCCTGCCGGTGACCCAACCCTGGTGTGGGCAGTGCAGCAGTGGATGCAGCAGCAGGCCCCGCATCACTAACCCCAGCCTTATGGCGCCCCAACAAGGCCGCTCCGTCCTCACTTGCACCCATCCTCCTGTACGCCCCTGCCGCCCCTGCCGTGAAACCAGCTGTGCTTGACCCGAGGCAGCAAGGGGACGAGCTATCCGCATCTGCATCCCCATCCGCATTCTCATCCGAGTGTGCAGGAAGGATTGGGTGGTGCAGGTCGCTGCTTGCCCGCTTGCCCTTGATCAGCACCTCTGGCTCAGCTGCACGTGTGAGGATGGGGAATGGGAGAGGCGGAGAGATGGGTCTGTATGGTGGCATGGAAGGTGGCATGATGGGCATAAGCGCAGCATGGAAAGCACATGCGTGGCATGATAACCACCTTAAGTCGCCAAGCAAGACCATGCTTGGAATAACAAGCGCATGCAGACCATACAGGCCATGCACGCACATTGCATGTGACGCACGTACATGGCATGGCGTCATCAGTGGTGCGGCGAGGCACACACGCACAGTACAGCATGGCACCCACTGCCACTGCTGCCACCACCACTGCCCCCCCCACCAGCAGCAACACCATGTTCACGCTCATCCCCTGCTGCTCGCCCCCATTCGCCCCCGCTCCGTTCCCCCCTGCCTGTGCCTGTGCGCCCATCCCTCCCACGGCAGTGCCCGAGACAAGGCTGCTGCTACTGGAGCCGCTGTAATTGGCCACGCCCCCTGAGGCAGGGCTGCTCCCTCCGCTGCTGCTGGTGCTGTTGCTGCTGCTGCTGCTGCTGCTGCCACTCGCACTGCCAACGACATTGCTGTTACCACTGGCATCGCTGGTGGTGTAGCCACCACCTTTACCACTGCTACTACCACCGCCGCCACTGTTGCCTGGGGCTGGTGCGGGCGGAACGGGCGGTGGCGACGGCGCGGGCAGGGAGGGAGGCGAGGCGGGCGGCAGCAGCTGTGTGATGGCCACGAGTGAGTACTCCCCGTACAGCCTGGCATCCAGGTGTATCTGGTGCCGCCTCATCCGCGCGTCCACCTGCACCAGGAAGCTTCTGGGGAAGGTGGTCTGATAGCGCGGCAGCAGCAGCAGAGTGACGACAGCGGCGGTGTGGTCGGTGCGGGAGAGGGAGCGGCGCAGGATGGATGTCTCGGGTAGGCGCAGCTGCTCCGCCAGGTCCTGATAAACAGGCGAGAGGGGTGGGGGGGGGGACGCGCACGTATTCTTGAGGCGCCTCAAAAGCAGGATGCACGAGTCGGGCAGGCGCCGCTGCTCCGCTAAATCCTGATGGGCGCAAGAGGGAGGGGTTAGGGGGAAGGCGTGCGCGCATGGAGGCGAGTCGTGTGAGACGCTAGGCGGTGGGCAGGTGAGCGGATGAGTGGATAAGTGCTACATGCATGTGTTATGCGGGAAGGGACACACAGACGGCTGTCACACGCCGACTGTCATGCAACGTACGTGGACGAAGGATGCGAAGTGCATCTCCACGGCCGTCGCGTTGGACAGCCGCACCGCCAGCTCCGCGGGGTGCACGCACGCGCACCGCCCCTCCGTCGCGCTCGGACTCAGCGCCTCCCACTCCCGTTGCGAGCACGCCCCCGCGCACACCACTGGCGGAGGTGAGGGCGAAGGCGGAGGCGGTGGCGGTGGCAGTGGAAAATTTCCGCTTTCCCCGTCTTCTGACCCGTCATCCCCGTGTCCGGGGTCGGCGTTGGTGTGGTTAACCGGCGCAGTTCCCTCCAAGTGCTCCGATTCCCCTGAATCATGCCGCTCGTCTACACTGTCCATCTCGCTTTCAATGTCTTCCGGAACAGGAGATTCCTGAATCGGGTGCTCTGCTCCGTCGCTGTTGACGTCAATGTCTGCGTCATCGTTATCGTCAACGTCATTGTCAACGTCATCGTGAATGTGTACGTAACGGCTCGAATGCGGGCTGCGATTTACCGGTCGAGTGACGGGGAGACGAATAGCGGCTGGAGAATGCACGGGCGTGAGTGAAGAAGGGATAACGATCAAGTACCAGGCACGGATTTAATGAGGTTAAAGGGAGCGAAAATTGTGGCGAAAAACATTAGAAGATGAAGGGAAGGTCAAGTAGGCTGGGAATGCGGTACTACAGACAAGTGTCTGTATCCACGCTCTGCCGGTCAAGCCCGGCTAGCTTGTCGTGGGGCTCACCTGTTGGGATAGTGGTTATAGCCGTTACGATCACAGTCAGAATGGTTAGCTGAACAAATACTGCGGGTGTGATGCGAAATCGTGAAGGTCCAGTTCTCGGCGACCGTGGCCACGGGAGACGTTGGATTAACACCATTGATTGGGGAGGATATGCGAGGGACTCGATGAAGACTATGAATAGTCTTACTACAAGCAGACGGAACTACTATCAGCTGAAAGAAAGGCTTCGGCTAATGGTACGCTTCTACTTTATGGCATTTGATTGGCAGCCTCTGCTCCTCCTACTGGAATCCAGGGTACGAATCCTGTGAACCATCTGTGATAAAAAAGTTGAAACGGTCGTCATTCTTCGCCGAGACATCGAAAACTCAAACAGTTCCTGCTCTCAAGTTATTCGGGACTGAAACGAGCTGCATTTGGCATGCGTCACTAAATCGCCACATTTAGGATTTCTGACTTCTCATAAGTCACCTGAACGACCACCCTCATGAACTCATTACGCGACTAACGAAAAACAATCTTTCGCCGCAACGCGAGAAGCGTCAGGCGACTGACGTGCAGAACCTCAGAGACGAGCTTCGAGAGCAAGCAGCCAGGAAATGCTGGCAGCAGGAGAGTGTTGTGGTGAGCGAGGGTTGCTCAGCAATGGCTGGCTCGCCTTGGGAATTTCGGTGGCTGTGGGCTGATGAGCAGCCCAATCCTTTCCACACCGATGGCTGGCGGAAGTACTGTAGGAAAAAGTCTGTGAGCGCACTCCCCCCCAAACCTTGCAGGACAACGCTGTCTGGGGGAGGAGAGGAGCTACCCTCCCCCCACGTTTTCTGATTGTGTCGCATCGCATGCTCGGCATGCGCTGGCGCATGGAAACGATCGCTTTGTTTGTCGCATAGACGGAACAGCGAGGCGCGTAGGCGCTTGCGACTGAAGATTTGACCAGTAGGAGCGTGTGACCAATAGGATGCAACGAAAGAGGGGCTGAGCCTCGCAATTGACGAGCCAAGAAACACCAGAGAAGCAACCAACCAAATCCAAACAAGACCTCGCGCAACGCTCACAAAACAGCCTTGTTTTTAACGTTTCTGACGCAACATGCGAATACCTATTTTTATGAAGGAAAAATATACCTTATACATACAACAATAAACCACATACTTTCCAGATGTGCTATATACGGGCTCCAAGTCCAAGACCCTTGGGGCGTAGTTCAGCCTGCACAGGCTCGGAAATGCCCTGCTTGTCCTTCCCAAGGCCAGAGCCAACGCGGAAACCCATTTGTGCCATCATGCGCGACCCGAACCCCCTCGTGTGCGCCTCAAAACTTGCAAAATCTGCTGCCACACCAGAGCTGCCCGCACTGCTCCTACCTTCCCTCCCTGGGCCACCCCTGACACCTCGCCCTCCTTGGCCTCGTCTAGCATCTCCGCTGCCCTCCCTACTTCCCTTCACCCGGCCTCTGTTCTGTACATTCTTCCTCTCTTGGCCACTGGCCTTGCCAGCCGCCTGTCCCTGCTCCTGCACCGCAACAGGGGCCCCTGCACTGGCAACAGCAACAGCATCTATTGCCCTAACACCCACCACGCCACATGTGGTACTCACACCACCGGCTACAGCCACACCCCTTTCTGAACCTTCCTCATTTGTCAAAACCCCTGAAGCCTCCTCTACTTCTGAGCCTGGCTGCTGCACATTCTGTACAGTCACATTAACCTCACTCACCTCCTGGTCGGCCTCATCTGTTACAAGCACATCGGTGGCCATGATACCCCGTGACACAAACACCACAGGATTCGACGCATACCCCTGCCTTCCTGACCCACCACCCACCCGCCCCTCCCTCACTCCCCGCCTCCCACTACCTCCCCCAGCTCGCACCAGCCCTCCTCCCTTCCTCCTCCACAGAGTCTCCTCCTCTCCACAAAGCGCTCTCTCCCTTCCCCTCCGCCCCTTCCCCTCCCGTGCCATCTCCCGCAGTGCCTTCTTCCGCGCTGCCTTGTCCCGCTGTATGCGCTCCCCCAGTGCCTGCATCAGTCGCGCCTGCGCCTGCGCCCTCTGCTGCTTGCGCGACACACGACTCACCTCCCCCGGCACAAGCCACTCCTCTTCCTCCAACTCAAGAAACGCATCTTCTGCCTCACTGCTTCCCTCACTTTCCCCATCCTCCTCACTCTCGGGACTCCCATCACTGTCCCCACCCTCCTCACTCCCATCAGTCTCCTCACTCTCACTCCCTTCGCTCTCCTCCTCCCCACTTTCATCCTCCTCATCCTCGTCATCATCACCGTCCTCATCACTCCCAATCATCAGCATCATCTCCTCCATCTCAGCGATCCCATGCTCCACATCCATGTCTTCCATGTACCGTGCCAGCCGCCGCTCTCTGTAGTCCCCGCCCTTCCTCCCTCCCCGCTGCCCCTGCCCACTGCTCCCTCCACCACACTCAGCAGCAGCGGCCCTCGCCAGGTTGAAGCGCCCGAGAATCTGGCAGGCAGGGACGAAAGGACGGCATAGAGGTGGCAGCAGTAGTTCCAGAGGGAGTTGTGGAGACATGCAGCGGATGCACGGGGTGGAAGGAAAGGAAAATGGCATTGCCTGGCACTGCCCAACAAACTGCCCAACAACAGCCCACCCCCACCCCTCCCCAAAGCAGCATACCTCTTCCAGTCGAGTCATGTCATCTCCCTGTGGCACTGCAGTGTGCCGCCCAGACCGAAATAGCAGCATTCTGAATGGCAAGACAGCAGAAGACGAACGTGTGCAAGGAATCATGGAAAGGGGCACAAAGAGGGAATAAAGGTCGTGAGAAGAGGTGGTGGGAGAGAGGTGGAGGGGAGCAAGCAGGCATGCGGCACAAGCATGCAAGGGGAGACCAAGGAGGTGATGAGCAAGAGGTGAAGTGGGAGTGAACGGAGAGAAGGGCGATACTGCACGGAGAGTGGGAGCACGTACTTCCTCTTGCCGCTCTGCTGCACCGTGGTGGTCAGGCGGTATGAGCGTGCCATGGCTTGCACCTGGGGGAAGGGGCGGGGGAGACGGTGGATGGGGATTTGTGAGAAGATTGCATGGAAGAAGCCATGAGCGCATGAAACTCATTCGTACAGTGCTGGCATGCACATATGCACAAAAAAACACACGAGAACATGTGACTTATGCTGTGTGCTGGAGCAGGTGCAATGAGCAACGCACCATGGAGAACTGGTGCTGTGTCAATGGTGGCGACGCAAAGACGTCCACTCGCCCCACCGCCACCTGCTGCATGCCCTGTGCACAGGGCGGGGTGAGGGCAGACCCAGAGCGGGGGCAAGAAGCATTAGTCAGATGCCAAGCGTCAGACTGTGACCTGACACACAGCGCGCAGCAGCATCAGGTTGAATCGGGCGGTGCTTCCCACGGTGGCTCACCTGGTTGAGGCACATGAGGTCCACGTCAGCAGCATCGGGGTTGAAGCCCATGGCGCGCTGCATGCGCTTCAGCTCCATTGCCTGCTTCCTGCGCCCCTTCTTGCTGCCCGCCGCTGCCAGGTGAGGGAGGGGGGGAGATGGGAGGGAGAGATGGAACATGGGGAGTGCACACGAAAACGAGTTAGCTTTCAGGGCATGCGGTCCACACCCTGCCTTTTTTCTCCCCCACACTCTGACCCATCCGTCCACATACTGATGCACCTCTCACCTTTAGCTGCCTTCTTTGCTTGCTTCGCCAGGGCCCTCTTCGCCTTCCTCGCAGCCTTCTTTGCCCCGCGCCCCATCCCCCCTCTGCCACCACTGCCCTCCGCACCCCCTGCTCCTGCTCCTCCTCCTTCCTCCGCACTCCCCCTTCCAGCTCCTGCGTGCCCTGCCCTCCCCCTCCCTGCTCCCCCTCCTCTCCCCGCACCCCCGCCGCCCGCTGCCCGCCCTCTGCCTCGCCCCAGGGCCGCAGTGCCCCGTGGAACAGGGGCAGCAGAGGCGGGGCAGGGGGAGCAGGAGCAGCAGAGGCCGCGCCCTTGCCCTTGCCTTGCTGGCGGCGAGCCAGCTCCCGCTGGTAGGCCGCCTCAAGCTCTCTCTCCCACTCCTCGCCCAGCTCCTCCTCCATGCCCTCCTCGCTCTCCCCTTCCTCCTCCCCCTCTTCCTCCTCACTCTCTTCCTCCTCCCCTTCACTCTCTTCTTCCTCCTCCCTTTCGCCCTTCCGCCCCCCCTTCTCTGAATGCCCTTCCTCCCCTTCACCTTTCTCCCCCTCCCCATCCACGCCAGCATCCAGCTCTCCTGCTTCACTGCCCTTCCTCGTTTCGTCCTGTCCTGCCGCCCCGCCTGCCCTCGATCCTCCTCTGTCGCCCGCCTGCCCCCCCTGCTTCGAGCCCCTGGCGCGCTTGAGGTGGTTCCAGAACGCCTCGGGAGAGGGCACGGAGCCACCAGGGCAGTACCCCAGCCCAGTGTGACGCTCCTCCTCGTACCACACTCCGCCTTCGCCCTCGCTCTCGCTCTCGCCCTCGCCCTCGCTCTCGCTCTCGCCCTCGCTCTCGCCCTCCACTGCATCTGCTTCTTCGCCGTCCCCCTCGTCCACCTCCTCATCCTCGCCCGCCTTGCCTTCGTCCTCCTCCTTGAATGTCTCCCCTGCATCTTCCTCCCCCACTTCTTCCTCTGCCTCTTCCTCCCCCACTTGTTCCTCTGCCTCTTCCTCCCCTGCGTCTTCCTCTGCCTCTTCCTCCCCCACTTGTTCCTCTGCCTCTTCCTCCCCTGCGTCTTCCTCTGCCTCTTCCTCCCCCACTTGTTCCTCTGCCTCTTCCTCCCCTGCGTCTTCCTCTGCCTCTTCCTCCCCCACTTGTTCCTCTGCCTCTTCCTCCCCTGCGTCTTCCTCTGCCTCTTCCTCCCCCACTTGTTCCTCTGCCTCTTCCTCCCCTGCGTCTTCCTCTGCCTCTTCCTCCCCCACTTGTTCCTCTGCCTCTTCCTCCCCCACTTGTTCCTCTGCTACCTTGTCTGCGTCTGCCACCCTACCCTCCGTCACCACCACCTCTTCATCCGTCTCCTCCTCTTCGCCCTCCTCCATGCTCGCATCGTCGCTGTCATTCACCAGGTTATCCATAAAGTCCAGTGCCACGTCAGCATCGATGCTACTATCGCTCCCCTCCTCACTCTCTTCCCCACTCTCATCTTCCTCCGCACTCTCTCCTTCTCTCCCCATCCCACCTCTCCTCCCCCCACCCCTTTCCCCACCCCTACCCCTCCCCCTACCCCTCCCTGCAACCCCACCCCTTCCACGTCCCTGCCTCCCTCCACCCACATACCCCTGCCCTTCATACCCCCCACGCCAACCCCCACCTCCACCTGTCGATACAGTCACACCACCAACAGTCACATACCCCACGTCCTCTACTCCCCCCTCCAACATTCCGCCCTGCCCCCGCCCCCACGCCCACTGCCCACTCCCCACCTCCACCTGCTGCTCGTCTCCCCTGCCCCTCCTCCCCCCACCGCCCCTGCCTCTACCTCTCCCCCCACGCCCCCTTCCCCTGCCTCGCTGCCAACCCGCCTCACCCCACTGCTGTCCTTCACCCCCTTGACTCCCTTGACCCACTTGACCCCCTAGACCTCCCTGGCCTGGTGACCCCCCTGGGCCTCTACTTCCTTGCTGCACTCCATTGCCGTCTCGCCCCTCCTTCTCCTCGCCTTCCGCCCCTCCCTCCGCCTCCCCACCCATGCCGCCCGCCCCTATGGCCTCCACGCCCACGTGGAGCCTCTCAAACCGCACTGCCACGTCTGCAGGACACGTAACTTCCCCTGCTCCCGCTGCTCCCACTGCTCCTGCGGACAGAGGCAAGCGCTTGTGCCTGTCATCCAAAACAGGTAAAAGGCCCACCCTCTCCTCCACCACAGGCAGCACCTCGCACGTTCCTGCAGCAGACCCTGCCCCAGTAGCTGACCCAGTAGCTGACCCAGTAGCTGCCTTAGACAGGCTCATGGCACCAGCTTCAGCGACAGCAGAAGCAGGAGGGGCAGCAGCAGCAACACACGGTGCATCCGAGCGGGGCTGAGCCTGTGCGTGCGCCCCAGTGGAGGAGCCACCTCTGTCGAAGAACACAGGCAGCACCGCCAACGCCCTGCCCTGCTCTGCTCCCACCGCCGGCCCCAACACAGCTGTCTCCCCCACCTCAGTCATGGCACGCCCGCGTTCGTCCTCACACACCACGCGCAAATGCCGCTGCAGCGCCACCTCCTCCCTCTCCACGCCACTGCTGCCCCCTCTTGCTCTGCTGCCCCCTCCTGCTCTGCTGCCACCTCCTGCTCTGCTGCCTCCTCCTGCTCTGCTGCCCCCTCCTGCTCTGCTGCCCCCTCCCACCTGCGAGTCACTAGATACAGTCTCTGCTGTCTCCCCACTCCTGCTCTGCTGCCCCGTCCCATCACCTCCTCCTTTGTCGCCCTGCACTTTCTCCTCCACCACCATCGCCTCGTCCTCTTCCTCCCCTTCCAACCCCCTCTCCTTGGCATCCCCTCCGTCCGTTCCTTCTTCCCCATCCCCTGCGTGCGCGCCTTTGTCCGCCTGCTTCCCACCCTCGCCGTCCCCTCGCAGCACTCCGCCTGGCCTAAACGTCCTCGCGGTACCCTCGCCCGCCCAGCCACCACTCGATACCTCCACCCTGTGGGAGCCGTACCCGAGGCCCCTGTGGCCGCTTGCACCCGCAGTAACACCACCAGCAGCACCTCTCCCGCCCCCCCGACCTTGAGCCCGCGAGGATCCGCAGGCCAGCCTCAACCACACACCGCGCGCCTTCCTCCCATGCCACTCCGCACCGTTGCTCGATCCCTGCCCTGCTCGCCCCTCTGCCGCTGCCGCTCCCCCAATGTCCTCCTTACCTCCGTGCTCTGCCGCACCCGTCACAGTCATCTCTCTCTGCTCTGAACCCCTCGCCTCGTCAAGGTCTCCTGTGTCATATCCTCCCCCGCGAACAGTTTCGTACTCGTATACAAATTTCACCGCCGAGTAAATGCCCCGTCCGCTTGCTGCTGCACCGCCGCCGCTAGCGCCCGGCTGCCGAGGCTCATTCCTCCGCGGATTCTGGCCTTCATTCGACGGCTGCGCGCCGATGCCACGGCCACGACCACGGCCGGCCCCCATGGCGCGTCCTCTGCCTCGAAAGCCTCGGCCTGAAGCCCCGCCATCCCCAGCCTCGTTCGCACCGCCTCGCCCGTCCGATCTTCCTTGGTCGTTCGGTCTTCCCCTGACTTCGTTTGCAGTACCGTGAGGAGCATCGCCGCGTCCTCTTCCCGCCGATCCACCATTCCGCCCGCTTCTTCCGCCTCCCCGGCTTCCTCCACCACCAGCCCCCCCTCGCTTACCTCCTCCGCTGTTCCTCCTCCCCATGATCGTTGCGTTGAGAGAAAACAAACCGTCCTAAATTGAGAGCGCTGACTGGAACAGATGCACCAAGATCGCACAAACCTGCGAGCCTACGAAAATCGACTTAACGGGAAAGCGCTTGGGAGTAGCAGTGTCAACTGCGCGCCTTGCCCAATGTCCTACTCTGTGTGACTGCTCTGGAGCTTATGAGATGCTGAAATACGCTCTGGTGTGGTGGCCGTGGAGGACAGCATATTCTCGTACACAACATGGATATGCGGACATTCAGTTTCAGTGAACTGCGCCGAGGTGCGGCAAGAGGGCTGACGCGTTTCGGGCATGCAAGGCAGCATGGTGTGCAGGACACGTCACATCACTTCCTTGGGAACTCAACCGCCATGGGTTTGGGTTTTCATTTGCCGCTTGACTCGACTTGATCGACACCTTTACTCAATAACCTTATGGCTTGACTTGGAAAACACCTTTATCAGGAAAATCCACAAAAAAAAAAATCTCTTGTTGAAGAGTCTGTACAGGAACAAAACTATCATGTGGAGGTGGTTTGTGTAATATCACAGCGTGGGCCCCTGGCTACTGTGTTGCTTGAGCAATAATGGAGGACAAACTGCCGCCCTGCTCCTTCGCTGTCTCCACCAATGTGTCCTGTACAGGGAGGAAAGACGGGATCGTCAGTGAGGCGGCTGTTGCAATCAGTGAGGATCGAAGTACAATAACTGGGTGGAGCGTACCTGAGCCGCTATCACTCTTGCAACCGACTTCTTGCTCGACTCTTGTAGCTCTCCTGCTATGAGGATTTCATCTAGTATATAGTATGCCTGGAAGGTCAGCACAAACACATTGGATGGAAGGTTGTGTTTGAAAACAGCAGGATCAAGCCTACTAACCTAAACAGAGAAACCACAGAACGAGAGTGCCATTAATCCAATCCAGGCGTACCTTGTGGAAGTTAAAGATGAGATCAAGCTCGCAGACCTGCAGAATGATAGAAGCACATGGAGAGCCGTCATTAGAGGCTAGTGCAGGTAAACGGCAGCACCAGAAAGAGCAAGCATGGAACCGAAAGTGGGAAGAGACGGCGTCTTACGTTGGTGAAGTAGCGGTCGAGCACCTCGACGTAGTGGTGGATGATCTCGAGGGTTTCCAGCTCGTTGTCGTTGATGTCCACGCACATGCAGAAGTACAGGCTCGCGTACCTGCAATGCACAGCCACACCAGCGTCGCGAGCGTCAGCTGGCTGAGGCACTTGGATCTTTTGGCAGACTTCAGCAGACAAGCGCAGGTTTCGCTTGCAAGGGAACCTTTTAGGGGACTTTATCAGACAAGCGTAAGCTTCCTTGCAGTTAAGGGCGAGCTCACGAAGTCGAAGTGTCTTACCGCTTGTAAACAACCTTGTAACCCCTCCAATCCACGAAATTGCATAGCTTAGCCGGCCTGCTGAGTATTGTTCCTGACAGCTCCCGGGTGATCTGGCATATCGACATCGACTCAATACATTAGCTTCACAAAAACTTAGGGCCTCGCGAATCCAGTCGGCACGCACCATGAGAGAAAAAACGGTGTTTCACGACTTGAAAGGCATACCTTCGTCCGTTCCTTCTGAGAGTACGCGGAATACCATTTTGCCAGCCTGACCTTCCCTTGCCGGCTAATGAGGAGGACGAAGTGAATCTGCCATGAGGACGTCCACATCGAAAAGTAAGCACTCGTACAGATTTCGAAATTTTACTACCTCGACTTTTCGCTGCAAAACTCACCATACTCGATCACGTCCCTAATCGACGGCTCTGGAATTGTCGTACTCGTAGCCCAAAGGAGGAGTTCAAAATGGCGGATCAACTAACGGGAACAAATGACTGCCAAGACACACGCAAAATAACCGATGAGACGGACAGCATCTCATGGAAACCTTGGGACAGTGCGAGCACCAAAATTGAGGCTGCGTTCTGCGGGCGCATTAGCCCGCATCAATGTACATTGCAATTTTTTCTCGACGTTCCAGGAGCCTTCTCTGATAATCAGCCCGCAGGTTATCAAGGCTCGCGATAAGCTCTTGATTGCCGAGGCAAACCATGCCCAAATGCCTGCAGAACGGTCTTTTTGGCGACCACGAATTAAAATGTCGCCGCGTTCCGCGGTATTTTTTCCTTGATGCGCGCATGATGCAACGCCGAGAAGACGCATGATGCGCGCATCAGCTCGAATTTGAGCCATTTTTTTTCAAATTTCCGTCGGGCAGCCCAGTACATGCCCTTGGGGAAGGCGTCAGGTATGTGCTTCCCTGCTTCGACGAACCCAATAAATTGAGGTCGAGATTGGGAATGTCTAAATTTCAAATCTCCATTTCCCGATTTCCCAGACCTCAAATTCAATTTTCCGAGCCTCTATTTTACAATTTCAAATTCCTCATTCCCGAACCTCAATTTGTCAATGTGCGGATCCATCCGAGCCTAGGGCGCATCAGAGCTGATGCGCCCGCAGAACGCAGCCTGACTGACGGCTAGAGATGAGTTTCGATATTGACGATAACCATTTTGTGCGGAGAACAATCTCTTTATGGGTACTAATATTTGTGTATTTGAGGCTTTTATCGGCGCACATTTATACAGCAGTTTCCCACGGCGAACCTGCCGACATTTTTTGCGAGGCCGGTACGGCGTTGGTTCAGAAGCTGCTGCTGATTCGCGTCACGACCTGACAGAAACGTGCGAAGCGCCTGCGGATATGGCGCTCCTGCGAGAGCTGGTGGATCAGCCCAGGAAAACACAGCCGGCTGAGTAGGGGAGGCGCATTGAGCAGCACAGGCGGCATGATGCGTGTGTGTTAGTCGAAACATAAGCCCATTCGGCAGACTGCAGCTAGAATTCTGTTCTTCCAATCATGGCACGCATATATTCGCGTCGATCAGCTTGTTGCCGTCGAAAGACTTGTAGTTTCAGATCAGAGGCACCGTCTACTGTGACACTGTAAATATCACGCAGTAGCGTCTAATTACACGTTGTAAGAATCAGAACTCGGTGCAGTGTGGGGCTACTAGGGATACGATACGAGGACCAATGCTAGCCAGATGATTCTCCGGCAATTAATCTTGGCGCTGCAGGCCCTCAAAATGCGAACAGCCAAGTCACGGGACTTCTCTTTCATCTCGCTGCTCCGCAGCAAGCGCTGGTCGTTCTATGTCGCCCTCTTCCTCCTTAGCGCCTTCCTCGTCCTTTCCTTCATCGTGACGTCACCCTCATACGGTCGATTTCGCTCCCAATTTGATTCGTTCATCTCGCCGCCTGCGCTTACCAGCATTGACCTAACAGCCATGGCGGCTGGGACAATACCGTTCAGAGAGCTTACTAAAGACGGGTACTTCCCGCCATGTCCATCCAACTGGACCCACCACATCCCGTGCTACGATCCAAACATCGCCGTCCACTTTCCCTTCGCAGACAACGTTTTCCGCGAGCGACACTGTCCGCCTCCTTCCGCCCGCCCGCGCTGCCTGATTCCCCCTCCCCCGGCTACCAGCGCGCGCCTGCCTGGCCGGATAGTCTATGGAGCGTGTGGCGCAACAACGTGCCGCACTCAAAAATGCACAAAGACCCGCGGAACGTCCTGTGGATGGAGCTACGTGGCAACACGTGGCACTTCCCGCACGCCCTGACGGCCATGCCCGAAGCGGACGGCGCGGAGCGGTACGTGGCGCAACTGCGCAACTTCATTCCGTTCGGCTCGCGCCTCCGTACGGCGCTCGACATCGGCGCGGGGGTGGGGGGGTTCGCGGTGGAGCTGCTGCGCCAGGGCATGATCACCGTGTCACTGGGCCCGCGCGACGGCTTCCGCGGGCAGGCGCAGTTTGCGCTCGAGCGCGGGCTGCCCGCGCTGGTGGGCATCCTAGCGACGACGCGCCTGCCGTTCCCGTCTCTCGCGTTCGACCTCGTTCACTGCTCGCACTGCCAAGTCCCCTTTGGCCTCCCCAGTACGTGCGCCGCTGCTCCTTCGCGCTCTCTAGTGCCCCCTCGCATATCCCCCGCGCACCCATTGCGTGCTCCCATGCTCTTGCACGTGCGAAGCTCAACGCGCACCTGCTCATTGCGCGTTTGAGTAACATGTCTCGTCCCGGTTTCCCCCCCCCCCCTTTCCCCCCTCCAGACGGCACGCACCTGTTGGAGGTGGATCGCCTTTTGCGCCCGGGGGGCTTCTTCGTGCTGGCGGGGCCGCCCGTGCGCTGGGCGGGCAGGGCGGCGGAGTGGCGCGCGCTGCGCGCTAAGGCGCGCGCGCTGTGCTGGCGGCTGATGCTGGTGGTGCCGCACGTGGCCATCTGGCGGAAGAGTAGGGGGGCCGAGGTGGCAGGGGGAAGCGGGGGAAGCGGAGGGGATTGGAGATGGTGTCCTGGCGCGGAGGGATATAGAGAGGCGGAAGGGGAGGGGGGAGGAACGGGGGAGAGAGAGGAGGGGGGAGGAAGCGAGAGGGAGGAGGCGGAAGATTCGCAGGAGGGAGGGGCGGAGAGAGAGGAGGGGGGGGCGGCGAGAGAGGAGGGAGAGGTTGATGAAACGGGCGAGGAGGGGGGAGAGGAGAAGGTTGAGGAGGAGGGCGGGGGGGAGGGAGAGATGGGCGCAGAGGTCTGTGCAGAGAACGACAACCCCGACGCTGTGTGGTGCGTGCCTGTGCATGCCAGTGCTGCCGCCCCCCACCGCGCTCATGCACGCTGGCGCTCACCCCTAGCTCCGCGCCCGCCCCTCTCGTACCCACTCCTCATCTTGCCCTCTCTGCCTCCTGCTCTTCCCCTGCCCCTCTTCCCCTCAGGTACTCCCCCTTGCAGTCTTGCGCCACCCGCCCTCCCCCTCCCGCGTGGAGCCTTCCCCCCTGGCCGCATCGCCTGTGGTTCGCCTCCCCCCGCATCTACGCCGCCCCCCTCATGCACCCGCCCCCTGATGCGCCGCCCAACGTTTGGGGCGGGGGCGCTGAGGGGAGGGGGGAAGAGAAGGGAAAGGGGAAGGGGAGAAGAATGGGGAAAGGCAAGAGGAGGAAGGGAGGGAAGCGGAGGAGTGAGAAACGATGGATTGAGGAGAAGCCCGAGGAGCCTACAGAGGAGGACAGTGGGATGCAGGCGCGGGATGAGAGGGGGGAGGAGGGCGAGACAGAGGGGGCGGAGAAGCAGGTGGAAAGGGCCGAGCGGCAGGAAAGGGAGAGGAGCAGTGAGGAGGTTCCTGCTGCTGCCGCTGCTGCTGCTGCCGGTAGGCGAAGACTGCTGAGCTCTGATGTGCATGGCGATGGCGAGGGTGGAGGAGGGCAGACACGTGTGGTTGACACTCCTAGCAGCAGCAGTGCGGATAGTGGGGATGCCAAGAGGACAGCCGTGGAGGCGGCAGGTGCAGAGCAGGGGGGGCAAGGGGCGGACGCGCATTCAGTGAGCATTGGGACGAGAGACCCAGAAGCGACAGCAGCAGTTGCATCAGGAGGAGGTGGAAATGCAGCAGGGGACGGTGAAGCAGAAGGGAGGCAGAGAACAGAGGGAGAGCAGGAGGGGGACGAGGGAGACATGCGCAAGGCACTGAAGGCAGAGCAGCAGAAGTCACTCATGAACGCAGCCTCATCGCAGTACAGCAAGCGGCAGGGCACGGCACTGGCAGCGCTGTCGCCGAAGCAGAAGCGCATGAACATGGAGAGCAAGCGCTGGGGCAAGCGACTGGCGCACTATGAGTTGCTGTTCCTGGGGGACCTGCTGGGCTACCAGGGCAAGAGGAAACGGCACAAGGGCGCGGAGGGGGATGGTGGAGAGGCCAAGGCGGAGGAGAGCGAGGAGAAAGGGAGGAGCAAGGAGGAGAGTGGGCCTGGGAAGGTCCGGAACGTTCTGGACATGAACGCGGGGGTTGGGTCGTTTGCGGCGGCGCTGCAGGGGAGGGAGGAGGACGGGGAGGAGCGAGTGTGGGTGATGAACGTGGTGCCTGTGAGCGGCCGCCTCAACACCCTTGCAGCGGTGTTTGACCGCGGGCTGGTGGGCACGCTGCACGACTGGTGTGAGGCGTTCTCGTCGTACCCACGTACATACGACCTCGTGCACTGGCAAGGCGTCTCCTCCTCCTTTCACCCGTGAGTGCCCCTGCCCTGCCTGCTGCTGTGAGCGGGGAGGCGTTGTTGGCCGGGAATGGGTGGAGCAAGAAGCATACAGCGTGGCACACTCATTCAATGCTGTGCGCTAAAGACACAAGTCAATCACTTGACAAGCATGCATGAGGAAAGGTTCTAATACTTAGGTTTCCCCCACCCCTCTCCCTGCGCCTTACAGGAACCGATGTGACATAGATGACGTGATTATAGAGGTGGACCGCCTGTTGAGGCCAGGAGGCACGGTGATTGTGAGAGACCTGCCCGGCGCCCTGGCGGACCTGCAGCGAGCTGCGAGAGCAGCGCACTGGAATGTGACGGCATACCTGCCCGAGAAGGGCAGCAGCAGAGAGCACTTGCTGGTGGCTCGTAAGCCGCTGTGGAAAGTGGATGCACGGGGGGTGATTGAGATCGTAGACACTGATTTGTAATGGAATCAGGAATCGTCAAAGCCAAGTTGAATTGCACCGGAGCGACAGACTTGCTGCGTTGCTGCGAGTGGAACCTGGGTCGCCTAGGTGAAAGCCAGGGCTGGCTATCCAGGCTGGCTTACAACGCATGTTGGGAGGAAAGTCTGCACACCCATAAGCATAGCTGATACAGCAGCAGCACCCCTTCCACAGCACCGCCACTGCACACGACAAGTGACAAAGAAGTGCATAGGCCAATCAACTGCCCTGGGCAAAAGCAATGAACGACATGGAGGAGGTGCGCACAACTCGGGGCGGCATCAAGTGTATACATATGGAAACCTGACTAGGGTTGATGTTTCAAGGATGGCATACCATTCCACTGGGTTGATGTTAGGATGGCTAACCTAGTTTCTTGCTGCCTGATGGTCAAGGCAATGGGTGTGTTGGCTGAAGTGGGGAGGACTGCTCTGTATATCCCGTGAGGCAGAAGTCTTTTGAGACGTCTCAAAAGTCCCGTGAGGCAGAAGTTCTAAACAGGAATAGGCTTTACCATCTGAGAACAGCAAGGTAGGGCAAAAAACTCCGTTGCCGGGATTTGAACCCGGGTCGCCTGGGTGAAAGCCAGGTATCCTAACCAGGCTGGACGACAACGGATATCTGTGCAGCAAAACAAAAATATACTACCGCTAACTAAAAATCTCATCACACCATGAATTCGCTGATCTCCTATGTTGGATTCGCAGATGATAGCAGGTACTGAAGCCGTGCCTTGGGTGCGGGCCGGCGTGGGTGCAGTCAGGATCCATGGCCGCGGAGCAGCGCTCTCCAGGCGTTCGCTCCTTGAATCGGCGCGCCATGAATCAGCGCCGCGGAGCCCGGCGAGTTCCACTCGCGCAGGATCACGCCTCCCACGCAGATTCGCGTGCCCAAGGGATGTTCTCAGCGTCGATTCCAAGATAGCGCTGCGCGCGACGTGTGACCGCGTGGCAGGCGGAAGAGCTGGTCGGCGTGCAGACCATGGTCGCACCGCCGCGGCAGTACCTCGCTGCCGCTCCGGTAATCGCGGCGCCGTGGCTCCTCGCGCGGAATTGGGGGATGGCGTGGGGAGTGGTGCGGCGGAGACCAGCCGTGGAGGCGGATCGTATTTGAAGGGTGCGGCACGGTTCTGGCGCGACGCACGGTGCGGCGAGCGGAGAGAGTAGATGTGACGGTGGAGGGAGAGTGAGTGAGGGGGAGAGAGGTTGTAAGGGGAGAGATTAAAGAGAGGGAGAGAGTGAGGGAGACAGGATGTAGTTTTCATGCCCGTTCTCCTTCCCACCCGCAATTCCCCTTAACTCCCGCGTGCCTGTCCGCCCGCCTGCAGTTCCGCCTACTCCGCGGATGCGCTGGGCGCGGAGATGGCGGCCATTGCGCTGCCGGCGCTGCTGGCGCTCGCCGCCGAACCCGTCGCGTCCCTCGTCGATACGTTCTACATCGGGCAGATGGGTGAGAGCAGATGGGTGAGAGCAGATGGGTGAGAGCAGATGGGTGAGAGCAGATGGGTGAGGGCAGATGGGTGAGGGCAGATGGGTGAGAGCAGATGGGTGAGGGCAGATGGGTGAGGGCAGATGGGTGAGGGCAGATGGGTGAGGGCAGATGGGAAGTCGCTTCGTTGGGCAGATCAATTACTATAGTCAGCTGATTAGTCGGAGAGGTGGTTTATCTGGAGAGTAGGCGATGATTGCACATATTTTTTGAATATGAGTGTCTCTTGTCTCATGAAGCAAGCGGGTGCATGGCATGGCATGGCATGGCATGGCATGGCATGGCATGGCATGGCATGGCATGGCAGGCACGCACTAACCCATCGTCTCTCTGCGCCTTGTCTCTGCCGTGCTGCGCGCCCCCTGCCCCCCTGTGTGGCGCGTGGCAGGCGCGGAGGAGCTGGGGGGGGTGGGGGTGGCGGTGGCGGTGGTGGGGGTGGTGTCCAAGGTGCTCAACGTGCCGCTGCTCAACATTACCACGTCCTTCGTCGCTCAGGATCATCACCTCCTCGCACGCCCACCGCACCACCAGCCTCACCACCCACACGCCTCGCATTCACTATCCTCCGCGTCCTCCGCGTCCTCCGCCCCCTCCGCCCCCTCCGCCGCCTCCGCCCCCTCCGCCGCCTCCGCCCCCTCCGCCGCCTCCGCGACCTCGTCCAAGCCCGTGGTGCCATCCGTGTCCGCGGCGCTGCTAATGGCCCTGGTGCTCGGCGCATTAGAGGCGCTGCTGCTGGCGCTGGCGGCAGCGCCGCTGCTGGGGGTGATGGGCGTGGGCCCCGCGTCGCCCATGCACGCGCCCGCGCTGCAGTACCTGCAGGTGAGGGCGGTGGGGTCGCCCGCGGTGGTGCTGTTCCTCACGGCGCAGGGCGTGTTCCGCGGCCTCAAGGACACTCGCACGCCCCTCGCTGCCTCCGGTGAGCCCCAAGCTTCACCTGGAATAGCGCTTCATGTCACAAGAGGGCTTCAGGTCACAAGAGGGCTTTAGGTCACAAGAGGGCTTCAGGTCACAAGAGGGCTTCAGGTCACAAGAGGGCTTCAGGTCACAAGAGGGCTTCAGGTCACAAGAGGGCTTCAGGTCACAAGAGGGCTTCAGGTCACAAGAGGGCTTCAGGTCACAAGAGGGCTTCAGGTCACAAGAGGGCTTCAGGTCACAAGAGGGCTTCAGGTCACAAGAGGGCTTCAGGTCACAAGAGGGCTTCAGGTCACAAGAGGGCTTCAGGTCACAAGAGGGCTTCAGGTCACAAGAGGGCTTCAGGTCACAAGAGGGCTTCAGGTCACAAGAGGGCTTCAGGTCACAAGAGGGCTTCAGGTCACAAGAGGGCTTCAGGTCACAAGAGGGCTTCAGGTCACAAGAGGGCTTCAGGTCACAAGAGGGCTTCAGGTCACAAGAGGGCTTCAGGTCACAAGAGGGCTTCAGGTCACAAGAGGGCTTCAGGTCACAAGAGGGCTTCAGGTCACAAGAGGGCTTCAGGTCACAAGAGGGCTTCAGGTCACAAGAGGGCTTCAGGTCACAAGAGGGCTTCAGGTCACAAGAGGGCTTCAGGTCACAAGAGGGCTTCAGGTCACAAGAGGGCTTTAGGTGAGATGAGGGCTTTAGGTGAGATTAGCGTATTAGGAGAATGCAGCAGAGAATACTACGTGCACAGCCTTTGCGTTTGGAGAACAAACTACAATCCCTGGTTTCACTCTCTTTCCACCTGCCCTCCCCTCTTCTGCAGTGAGTGGTAACGTGGTGAACATCCTGCTGGACCCCATTCTCATCTTCTCCTGCGGACTGGGCGTGTCAGGCGCTGCAGCCGCCACGGTGGCAGCACAGTACGGCATGGCGGGGTGGCTGCTGCTGCAGCTGAGCAGCACAGTGCAGCTCATCCCACCCTCGCTCTCCCTCCTCTCCTTCCACCGTTTCTTCAAGTCCGGTGAGACCTGCCACTCACAACAGAGCTCGCATCAGCATCAGCATCAGCATCAGCATCAGCATCAGCGCATCAGCATCAGCGCATCAGCATCAGCATCAGCATCAGCATCAGCATCAGCATCAGCGCATCAGCATCAGCATCAGCGCATCAGCATCAGCATCAGCGCATCAGCATCAGCGCATCAGCATCAGCATCTGCAGCACAGCATCAGCATTATCATCAGCATCAGCGCATCAGCATCAGCATCTGCAGCACAGCATCAGCATCAACGCATCAGCATCAGCGCATAACCATCAGCGCATCAGCATCAGCGCATCAGCATCAGCGCATCAGCATCAGCGCATCAGCATCAGCGCATCAGCATCAGCGCATCAGCATCAGCACATCAGCATCAGCATCAGCATCAGCATCAGCGCATCAGCATCAGCGCATCAGCATCAGCGCATCAGCATCAGCGCATCAGCATCAGCATCAGCATCAGCGCATCAGCATCAGCGCATCAGCATCAGTGCATCAGCATCAGCGCATCAGCATCAGCGCATCAGCATCAGCGCATCAGCATCAGCATCAGCATCAGCATCAGCGCATCAGCATCAGCATCAGCATCAGCATCAGCGCATCAGCATCAGCATCAGCATCAGCGCATCAGCATCAGCATCAGCGCATCAGCATCAGCATCAGCATCAGCGCATCAGCATCAGCATCAGCGCATCAGCATCAGCATCAGCAGCAGCATCAGCATCAGCATCAGCAGCATCAGCATCAGCATCAGCAGCATCAGCATCAGCATCAGCATCAGCGCATCAGCATCAGCATCAGCGCATCAGCATCAGCATCTGCAGCACAGCATCAGCATCAGCATCAGCATCAGCGCATCAGCATCAGCGCATCAGCATCAGCGCATCAGCATCAGCATCAGCGCATCAGCATCAGCGCATCAGCATCAGCGCATCAGCATCAGCATCAGCATCAGCATCAGCGCATCAGCATCAGCGCATCAGCATCAGCGCATCCGCATCAGCATCGGCGCGTCCGCATCAGCATCGGCGCGTCCGCATCAGCATCAGCATCAGAATCAGCATCAGCATCAGCATCAGCGCATCAGCATCAGCGCATCAGCATCAGCGCATCAGCATCAGCATCAGCATCAGCATCAGCGCATCAGCATCAGCGCATCAGCATCAGCGCATCAGCATCAGCGCATCAGCATCGGCGCGTCAGCACAGCGCATCAGCATCAGCATCAGCATCAGCATCAGCGCATCAGCATCAGCGCATCAGCATCAGCGCATCAGCATCAGGATCAGCATCAGCATCAGCATCAGCGCATCAGCATTGCGCGCATCAGCATCAGCGCATCAGCATCAGCGCATCAGCATCAGCATCAGCATCAGCATCAGCATCAGCGCATCAGCATCAGCGCATCAGCATCAGCGCATCAGCATCAGCGCATCAGCATCAGCGCATCAGCATCAGCATCAGCGCATCAGCATCAGCGCATCAGCATCAGCGCATCAGCATCATCAGCGCATCAGCAGCATCACCATCAGCGCAATCAGCATCAGCATCAGCATCAGCATCAGCGTCAGCATCAACGTAGCATCGCATCAGCGCATCAGCGCATCAGCATCAGCATCAGCGCATCAGCATCAGCGCATCAGCATCAGCATCAGCATCAGCATCAGCGCATCAGCATCAGCATCAGCATCAGCGCATCAGCATCAGCGCATCAGCATCAGCGCATCAGCATCAGCATCAGCGCCTCAGCATCAGCATCAGCGCATGAGCATCAGCGCATCAGCATCGGCGCATCAGCACAGCGCATCAGCATCGGCGCGTCAGCATCAGCATCAGCATCAGCACATCAGCATCAGCATCAGCATCAGCGCATCAGCATCAGCGCATCAGCATCAGCATCAGCATCAGCATCAGCGCATCAGCATCAGCGCATCAGCATCAGCGCATCAGCATCAGCATCAGCGCATCAGCATCAGCATCAGCATCAGCAGCATCAGCATCAGCATCAGCATCAGCGCATCAGCATCAGCGCATCAGCATCAGCGCATCAGCATCAGCATCAGCATCAGCATCGGCGCGGTCCCGCATCAGCATCGGCGCGTCCGCATCAGCGCATCAGCATCAGCATCAGCATCAGCATCAGCGCATCAGCATCAGCGCATCAGCATCAGCGCATCGCATCAGCATCAGCGGCATCAGCATCTGCGCTCACGCATCAGCGCATCAGCATCAGCATCAGCGCATCAGCATCAGCGCATCAGCATCAGCGCATCAGCATCAGCGCATCAGCATCAGCATCAGCATCAGCATTAGCATCAGCATCAGCATCAGGATCAGCATCAGCATCAGCATCAGCATCAGCATCAGCGCATCAGCATCAGCGCATCAGCATCAGCGCATCAGCATCAGCGCATCAGCATCAGCGCATCAGCATCAGCGCATCAGCATCAGCGCATCAGCATCAGCGCATCAGCATCAGCATCAGCATCAGCATCATCAGCATCAGCATCAGCATCAGCGCATCAGCATCAGCGCATCAGCATCAGCATCAGCGCATCAGCATCGGCGCGTCAGCATCAGCATCAGCGTCAGCATCAGCATCAGCATCAGCA